AAGACGCTGGAGTCGAAGTTCTTCTTTCGAGCATGGGCCTCAGTTCAAACTCTGCTTCGTTCCTTATCAGTGCGTTCACAACCTTCCTGATGCTTCCTTGTATAGGCGTTGGCATGAGGCTTATGGATACATCTGGAAGAAGGTACGTTCTAGTTCTGTTACTGTTCTGCACCGTTTTCATTTCCACAGCTGGAAGCTCTGTTTCTACTCTTTATAAATCAGATTTCTTGTTTTAGATAACTAAACCACCTGTTTGGGCTAGTTCACCTATCAGTTTACTATAGCCCAATCATCTTGAAAATTATATGCAATAGATTTTGCCTAGCTATATTTGCTATCATTTGTATGGTTTTGGAGTATCTGTTGATGACTGGTTGTCAACTCAAGGCAAGATTTACGGGAACCAAAATGTTATTGAAGGAAATGTAAGCATGGCCTGGTTTTGATTTATCTGTGACACATTGGAACATTTTTGCAGGACGCTGCTGCTCACTACGATTCCAGTGCTCATCGTGACGCTGGTGGTTCTGGTCATCTTTGAACTGGTGACCATAAGTACGGTTGTGAATGCAGTGATTTCGACCGCTTGTGTCATAATTTACTTCTGCTGCTTTGTGATGGCGTACGGGCCTATTCCTAACATCCTCTGCTCCGAGATCTTCCCCACGAGGGTCCGTGGCCTTTGCATCGCCATATGCGCGCTTGTTTACTGGATATGTGACATCATCGTCACCTACACTCTACCCGTGATGCTCTCTGCCTTTGGCCTGGCGGGTATCTTTGGCAGTTATGCGGTTGTCTGTGTAATTTCATGGGTCTTCGTCTTCTTGAAGGTCCCCGAGACCAAAGGCATGCCCCTTGAAGTCATCACAGAGTTCTTCTCCGTCGGAGCGAGACAGGTTGAGGCTGCCAAGAACGAGTGACCAAATGTTTGTTGGGTATGCTCTCATCCCTACTCAGGTTAACATTCTCAAGAAGCCGATCAAGTTTGGGTTCGATTCTGACCAAAAAAAAAGTTTGGGTTCGGAAAATTTTGCAGATTATCCTTGTATTCAAGTTCTCACCATGCCTTCCAATTCAAAAACGATTATTTTGTTTTTATCCTGATGATCTTGCTCAGAAAGCAATGAAATTCCATCATTTAAGAGCACAGCATGAAGAAGCATACTTCTAGCCAATTTCCCTTACTTACTTCACAAGAAAACAGTCACCCTCATTCATTTAATTTGATCAACAACTGGATGACACTCTCCAAAATATTTTCCTGAGATGCACTTTTTCGACCATGCGGCCGACACAACAAGAGTGATTCAAAGATGTTCTGGTTCGTCGCAGCCTTGATAGCAATAAGATCTATGTAGGTACGAGTTTTTTAAAGAGAATGGAGACCATATAGAGACCATAAAAGTCTATTTCCACCTTTTCTCTTTGCCTTGGAAAATTAAGGGTGCCTTTGGTGGTGGAAACTTTTTCAGTATTCTGTCTACAACTCCTTAGAAATTTAGAAAACCGGTCGACAAAACCTCGAAAGTAGTTGCCGTCCGGCATACAAATAGTCGAAGCTTATTGTTATAAACTGAAAATGTTGCTTTCCTTGGTTCCCAAGTTTTTGCAGTGCCATTTCTCTCCACCTAAATTGGGATCAAGATTCATCGAGACATCACTAAACCCTAGGAGCCCCAAATGAACGAGAATAGGAAATTGGCTTCCTAATTTGAACTTACCTCCCACGACAAGTTGGGCCTGAGACAAGCCCACTCCTCCCTGGACTTGGGCCTGTCCGGCCCATTTCAGCCATCGCGGTGGGCCATTCCAGACCCCGTCGCTTCGCCCGACCAAAATGCATTTCACCTCTTACTTTCCCTCTCTTCCGTCTCCGGCAAACAAAAGGCTTCGCGCGAGCCATTGGGAAATTGCAGTTGCAAAACATGCATCGTGCATGAACTACCAGCACTCGAAGGATCTCTTGGCATGAACCGTTTCTTGCACGCAGCGAGCACGTACTGCCGACTCCCGACCGGGTGGGCCCGACACCATCCGAAGGGCAAAAGGGTCGATTACTCCGGCGCACGTGCATTCCGGCATAACACCCAAATATATATACATATATAGGAAACACGTCCTCGTCTCTCTCGGGGTCAAGCCCCAATCCTCCATGAGATCCCGGATTACTTCGCCGCGAGAAGAAATCCGAACCATGCGGCCGTGCTCGCCACAGGGACGTGCCTGACTCGGTCCCTAACGGTGTGTCGTTAGCCCCTTTTAAAGATGCTGATGATTCAAAAGGCAAAGAACGTACACCACACGAGAGATGCCCACGGAGTCCCAAACGGGGTCAACATCTTGACTCTTTGGAGTGTCACAAACATAACATAATATAATATATGGTATTGGACGGCTCCTGAGTGGAAGGAATATGGTCGTCGCCCCACTAATCTAATGGTCTCCATTGCGTGATTAGGAAGGCGTAAACAGTCCGAGAACCATCTTCAATGGGGGAGAGAAAGAAGGCCGGCATATTCTTGGGATGACCATTTCTTAATAATATCTTTGGGACAATATTTTATTAATTCATGTCGTTTCCACTAAATTTGAGGTTTCGGATAGTGGCTTGCGTGGAATTTCTGCCGTCAAAATATTAGCAAAAAATATTATTAAAAAAAAAGGGGGGGAAAAAAGAAAGATTTATTTTGTTGTTTGTTTATTATCACAGCCAAACCAAACCCCATTACCTTTTCAGCGAACCAACAACGGCCATGTGCGCACCGTGACATTTCCAGCTCTTGAGGCACGAAAGGTACACAAGAGCAGCACTCGCATTCTGGTATCATCCTTAGTTTGGGTCACGAGCCCTTGTTAGCTGCTTAATCGAAACGGAGTCGACGCACGTGACGAGGGCTCGATTTCGATCAGCGAAGACGCGCACCGGCGTTTCGTCGTCGGGTTTTCCACTGGCGACGTGGGCGACGACGTGATGGAATAGTCCTTCGCCGCCTTCCGAGAAAAAGGCCACTCGTACCATCGATAAACAAATGGATTAACAGAACCCAACTGATTTGCGAAATTTGTCCCCCCTGTAAATCGAGATTCATGTGAAGTACGGACAGAAGATCGAGAAGAAATGACAAGGGGCGTCGTCAGATTTACAGATCGGATGTCTCGCCGATAATTTCGATAAATAGGTCGAGAAAGATTTTAACTTTATTCTTTTATTGTCGCACCAAATTACGGGTGGTTTTTATGTGGACGATCCATGTCACTATGAAGTCTCCGTTCCGCTGCACTTATGGAGAAAATTGTTTGAACAATCATAGTGCTGTATAAATCAAATGGTTGGTTTTTTTTTTTAATATATAATTCCCACCGAAGAAAACGTAAGGAGATGGAATTCTCCGAGCAGAAGGAAGAAAGGGTTGACTCGAGGCACAATTTTTCTACACAGCGCCACTCAGTCAACGGGTGTGCTAGTTATCGATTGCACAATTTTCTTTTTTATTTTTTGGTTGGTCAGTCAAATCACTCAATTTGCTTAACTCAGCTATTCGCTTTCTTCCTTGATTTTCACTCTTTATATAAGCAAGTGTCCCCGTCAAGAACAAACTTTGAAAACCCGGTGACCCAATTCGCCATAAAGATGAACTCGAAAATCGTAATACTTAGGATTTGCTTGAGGCACCTTTTGTTTCGCGAGAAATGTGACATTTCTGAAAAATATTTTTTAAGAAGTCATTTTTCATGAAAGTGACAATATTTTTCGTTGTTTGGCTAAATCCTGAAAATAAACTAAAAAATATTTTCCGCCGTTTGATACGGAAAATCTTATTTGATTTTCTTGAGAAAAATTACAGAAAATTTCGAATTTTTATATTTATTTTTCTTTTCTTTCTTTTTTCTTTTTTCTTCTTCCTCGGTCGGTCACCGGCACGGCTGACGATCGGCCACAAGGCGAGGGACAAGCTCACCCAAGGCTGACGAGGCTCCACCTCGCCTAATCTGACAATCTTGACCTTGCCTCATCCGATTTGGCGAGCTCAACCAGGCCAAAGACTTGGGCGCCGAGATACACATTGTGACAAGTCTTCACTATATGCACCATATCCGGGCATTTACCAAAATATATGAAGACATCTTTTCATAATCCGAACAAATTTTCAATTTCCCCATATCGGAGCCTATCTCGATAGATCCATGTCCGGACAATCATTCGCAGACTCCGGGAGGGAATAAAGACATCCCACATCCGTTAGCGGCTGAAAGTTGGTCCTCAACAGCAAAAAGCAAATCAAAGGGAAAAGGAAAGAACTGCAAAGAAGACAAAACTTGGAGGATCAATGGAGTTGAAACGGCTCAATCTTGACAGCTTCTCTCTCTCTCTCTCTCTCTCTCCACCCAAACAGAGAGATTCTTTCCTTCAACATTTGGTGGACATGAACTCTCTCTCTCTCTCTCTCTCTCTCTCTCTTTCTTCCTTCATTTTAATTTGTCCCCCAAAAAAGAAAAATGGGTCCTCTCTGGTTCTGTTTTTTCTTTGATTCCATTGGCCCAGCTGTCAAATAGATCAAAGCTCTCTCTCTCTATCTCTCTCTCTCTCTCTCACTCCACCCAGCCATGGATCCCACCCAAGCTCATTGAACACCCAACGCTAGGAGGACACCTGGACCAGACAGGAGGAGCCAGCCCGACAGGAGGAGCAGCCGCCATTGATGGCTTGCTTAGGCACTGAGTAATGCCCTCCGCTCGGAGTCAGGAAAGCGAAGGTCGTCAATGGCGACACCCATCAACCAGCCCATTCGATCAAAGAAGAGAAAACAGAGGCAGAAGCACCTAATCTCCATGAATTTCCATTGAAATTAAGCTTGGGATTCAACCCTTTTTCAGGCGTGATATGATGATTCCTGTGAACCATATGGGCACTAACCTAACGTATACTGAGACCAATGAACATCATCTTCGTACTAAAGCTAAGCAATCTAAAACCGACCGCCCAAGAGAAAAAAAGAGGAAGAATTCGTGTTACGGCAAGAACCCGCCGCTGTCGTGATCTTCTCTTTGCTTCATTCTGGACTCCTCCTCGGCTGTGCCGGAGATCGAGCTCGAGCCCGGGGTCGCCGCCGGCAAATTTCCGCACTTGTCGCACACCGCGGTGGCGGCCACCAGAATCCGGCGGCAGGACGGGCAGGAGGAGTGCGATCCGAGCCACGGGTCGATGCAGGCCACGTGGAACGCGTGCCCGCAGTGGGGCAGCACCCGGATTTCGTCCCCGTCGGCGAACTCCGCGAGACAGATGGTGCAGTCGGAGAACCGGGCGGCGGAGTCCGGGGTGAAGGTGAGCTTGGGGAGGGAGCGGAGGATCTTCTTCTTGAGGCCCTTGTTGGCCTTGGAGGGCGGCGGAGGGGGCGCCGGGGGGGGAGGGCGTGGGGCGCCGGCGGCGAAGGAGGAGGGGGAGGCGAGGCGGCGGAGCCAGGCGCAGCGGGCGACGGCGACGAGGCCGAGGACGCATATGAGGGCGCAGAGGAGGGCGGCGAGGATGACGACGTAGTCGGAGTCGACGGGGACGGCGGCCTGGGGAGGGCCGGCGGCTGCGGCCGCGGCCGACGAGTTGGCGGCGGCGCCGCCGAGGAAGCGGTGGCGAGTCATGAGAGAGGCAGAGGGAGAGGGAGAGAACGGAGTTCGGTTTATGTTGTCCGAAAGGAGGAGGAGGGAGATGTGGGTAAAAACAACTAACAACTAACCTCCTCACCCGCTGATTTTTGCTCGGCTCGGCTCGGCTCGGCTCGGCTCGGCTCGGCTCGGCTCGAAGGGTGGGGTGCTTGGGTGAAATTACTTTTACAGAATTGTCCTCGCCTCCATAAGAATATCCATGATTTGTGGCCCTCCCGCGGATTATATGCCTTTTGCCCAATTTGCCATGATTATTGATGATGTTCAAAGGTTGGGGTTTGGCATCACTGATTACACTTTCACTTTTACCCTTTTTCTTTTCTCTTTTTTTCAGTTTTAACTTGGTTAAAATTTGACTTTCATCCAATGCGAAACACTATATTTATAATTCTCAACAAACTCAAAAAAAAAAAGGGTGCCCTTAAAAGTCATGTGAGATATCTTCGTAACTTTTTTAAATTTTATAGTTGTTCTATTTTTAGGGAAAACTCCTTTTACAATTTTCGCGGCGCGTTTCGCGTGCGCGCATGCATAGCAAGCATGTTCAGCATCAAGCATTATTGCATGCGCCCGCTGCATGCAAATCCACTCTATCTCAGCTATCGATCGCACGGGCTCCACATAGGGGTCACAACATTTAATGGTCGAGATAGAATCGACTCGATTCGAGCAAAGGTGGTGGTTGAGTGCCAACTTTGTATGCCGAGAAAAGCTTACATGGCGGGAAACAGGCAACATGCGAAAGGAGTTTGTCCTTGCTTTTTTCAGGAACACTGCCCTCCCTTGCCTCTACGGATAATACATTCCAACCGGCATCTTGCTTATAAAATTACTCACGGAGTTTGGCTCAACAACACAATTCACCTACTTTCAGAAGGAAGAAAATGCGTCTCGAATATGAAATTCCGCGACTTCAGATCACATCTACATGAGAGCTAAGAAGCCTCTCAACACTCCTGACCTCATCCTCTTCATCCGCACCAGAATGTCACGGATAGTAATTTACTTCTTCTATTTTCATATAGAGAGAAACTTCAAAACGGGGCAGTACCTTACTGGCCGGATGTCCATCGCCTCACCGACCGGATAGCCAGTGGTAGGGTAGGGTAAGCTTGATGACTCCGATTGTTTGTGCTCGTCGAATTACTTAATTTGCACTTTAAGTTTCTTTATCTCTGTCCACTGCTCTATTTGATGAGTAAATTGGTGAGAGTGAGGGTTCAAGGAGTCCAGCAGACGCTCGAATTCGTCCAATAAGCTCAGTTGTTTAATGTTTTGAATGCGACTGGTGTAAATTGCTGAACTACAAGTAAACTTTCCTTTCACTCAAAAGTTTTGTCATCCACGCCGGTCGTCATTTGGAAAGTATTTCGGAAAGTGCACACTATCGTAAATGAGATGGAAAACTTTGTCTCTAGACCTATTTTTGACACTGGCATGGTGGACAGAGCCAATGTTTAGGGTTTGTGTCTTTTCAGTAGAGGCCAGTCCCAGATCTTATCATTAATTTCTTTCAGTGTGATTGACTAGGTCTGCTTGAACGAGTTTAGGCAACATCTTTTCCACTCTAGGTTTATGATTGCTTTCTTGAGAACAGTATGCTGTTTTCTTAGTTATCATTTTTAAGAGTTATTTCAAGAAAAATACATGTAGGAGTCAAACTTGCAAGATATCCAATGGAAATGATGCACATATCGAGCAAGAGTAGTATATGCTAATCAGACTTCTCGTAACGCATCTTCATTCGAGTATGCAAGTAGCAATTCGAGGTCCTGCTCGAGGATAAAAAAGCGATGCCGCGACAAATGGGCACTCTTTAAATGATGGGCCCTCCTAGAAACAGAGGGCAACATGCTTCACTGAGCATGAAACGGGCCGTTTTCCATCTGCGCAATCTCAATTGAGCCTGGCTTAACAATGGAACCTCAGCACAACATCTAACTCAAATTCGTAAACCTGACTGCCTCCAGACCCAAATAAACAACACATGAAGTAAATAAACCGCATTTATTAAAGAGCTGATCATCTACTCGTTGACTAATGTAGCTCACTGGGTATCCAACAATACAGAAAACCAAAGGATGTGACATCCGGAGTAACATATCTTAAAAAAGAATAGATCCAGTTCCGCTCCTTCATAATCATAGGTCGTACCTCACATTCCACCTACCATTGGTATCTGCATTGAAGGTCCAGTTGTTTTCCTTAACCTGCAGATATGGCACCTGGAAAGGTTTTCGCAATCAGAGTCAACAACCGCACATAATTTTGAATTTGTTTAAGAGCATTAGGTTAAATGCGGTGATGGGCCAGCCGCCAGTCCTTATGTGACCTTATGCTGATTACAGAGCACTTCTCAGTAGCAACACAGATGCACATGTACACATTTAAATAAGGACATATACCAATAAAATGGTTAATTAGAGCGGAGAGGGTGAATGGAAATGCCCGACTATTGCGTTATGTTTTGTTAAGTTCATGAAGGCGTTATCTATCCTATAAGAATCACTTTTCCCCACCACACCCGAGATCCACAACTCGTCCCTTACCCCTCCACTTCCAAACAACATAGATGCCATTGAAGCGACATCTATTTGGGTAGCAAGGTTCAGTTCTCAGAGCAAAAGTACTTTCTAGTTAGACAATCAAACATCCATAGCGACATCTATCTTAAGGAACTACAGTATCAAACTACGACCACTTCTTTAACCCAAAGGGGGAAAAACTATCAAAATTACTCCAGCATTAACTTGAAAAGAGAACCCAGTCACAAGCCTTGTACTCAGAAAGGCATGCTGCATATCAACGTTTAAAGGAGCCATCAAATAAACTGTTATAGATGTCACGAATTGCACAGACTCAATCTTACCCAAGATTTTTCCATCCACCAACTGCAATTTAAGATTATGCTGAAAGGTCACAAAAAAAATAAGCAACACTGGAAAACCAAACAACACCAAATAGGTACATGACTCCATGGTTCATACCTGGTCGAACATTTCAATGCCTAGTTTGAGTCTAACGTCTTGGTCCTTCTGAAAATTGAAAATGCTCCAAGAAAATTCAGCACCTCCCCTGGACTTCCACTGTTATCATAATAAACATGAGTTGCAGTGAGAATATGTAAAAGGCATAAAATTCTCACGTTGACTAACATGATTGCAGAGCAGAACAGGTGAAGCAGGAAAGCCCGATAAAATAGTAGGAAACCGTTAGTGCATTAAGCTCCGAATTCGTTTTAAGGTGTTTAGACATCAAGAGGATAATGAATCGATCAACTAGGGACATCTTACCCCATATTTAATCACACTACACCAAATACAAGGCAAATGAAGAATTTCACGAACCTGCTTAAACTCTTTGTCAACATCACACCGTCCTTTCACATTAAAGCTCAATAGTCTATCAGTAGTCACAGGAAACGCTTTCTTTGCACGTACATTATAGCGGAGCTTCCCATTTTTATCAAACTGCACTCCTACGCCGAGGCTAGCGGATAGCTACAGGACAATGGTGCAGATGAAGCAAACAAATGTATAAGAAGCATCCCAATGTGCCATGAGAGATGTTGAGATAGGAGAACGATAAAGTCATGCAGAATAAATCACTCACATCCGGATAGAAGTGGCGTATCATCGCGCTAAAATAACCCGGAGCCCCCAATCTCGTGTCGAGCTCTCCATGAAGCTGACATACAACAGGGGAGAGAGAACGTCAGCCTAGATCATGTAAAGCAGCAACCTTTCAAGTAGCAATTGAGCATGAACTTCGAGGGTTCTCGTCTCATGCTAACACCAGCTCAAGCTATGCTAACTACGGGGACATCTTCGTCCTCATAACAGCACCAGTGTCTGCTCATGCCAAAAATCAATTAAGAGAACCCGGAAAGGTCGGATACATTTCCCCTCAAACTCAGCCTATCTTCACGCTCTCTTCTCTCTTCTCTACGCTGCACTAATTCCTTCCCGTGGATTCAACAGACCCGGCACTTCGCTTATCAGACATTCGACCATCTCGCGCGAACTCTCTTGACACTCTAGCAGACCAATTTCAAGCGAGAACGTCGAGGCGCAGGTAATACCCAATTGAATACCAACCCAGAACCAGAGCAGAGAAGAGAGATTGCACCTGCAAGAAGGTCTTGGAATCGATGGGAACCTTCTCTTTGGCGTGGATTTTGAGAGACTTGGCATCGCCCCAGTACCTTAGAGACGTCTCCATTTGGCGAAGAAACGCGAGGTTATCGGCGGGGATGCGAGCGCGAAGACGATAAAACCCTAGGCTGCAAGGTCGGTGGCCACCTGCTAGTCGCCGTTCGCACGTCGCCGGTAGCCGGTCGCCGGAGGATGTGGCGTCGTGCTAGCGGTATCTCGGAACGCTCGGGGAGTTTTCACGCCTCCGCCGAGGGAATGTTTATATACTCGCGGGGAGAATCGCGTCTCGCCTTTGGTCCTCCAATGAGAAGGAGATAACGTGTCCCGTTCGGCCATGGGCTTCTGGGCCTCCGTACGCTTCCATCTCGTGGTGGGGCGCAACGGGTGCGCCGTTCCTCAGGAGAGGGAGATTCATGGGACAGTTCGTTACGGCCGGCGACACGTGAAATCAGATAGAAATTCATGACATGTGAGCGACCGTGATCGATCAATTGCGTTTTATCATCGCCGTCGCGTGGTGGATCCGGGAGACGGAAATATTTTCTCGTCCGTCGCACCGATGAATAGCTCGGGGGACATGCACGGGATGTGTAGGGTACTTAATCGATGTCCGAGCAACGATGCTCGACTCGAATGGTGGGTCTCCCACGATTGGGATGGTCTCCTCGTGTTTGGTGTATCGGGTCTCGGGGTTAATGTAATTTTTGTTTTTCTACTTCGAAGATTGTCGGAATAGGATTTATGCTCAAGATTGTCTTTCGGACTAACTAGTTATGGCTTGTGTTAAAAATGAGAGCATGTATCAAATCTTGGGAGGATATGTGATACATGGAACATCTACCATCAATGCCATAATTGATTTTATTCATGTAACGTCCATCACACGATCAATAGTTTTACGGTTTGGTGGAGTAACAAAGAATGAAATGATATATGCATTGCAATTCTTGTGTTAGTTTGTTGCGAAGGAATGAGATAGAAAGAATTTGGCGATTCCTTTTCTAGCGTTCGGAAGACTTTGGAATGGAAAACACTAGTATCGAAATGTCTAAAATGTCCTAAAAAAATGTAACAAAGCGACGAAAAAATTGTGTGATAATTATTTTAATAATTTTGTCGATGAGCATTACATCTTTTGAAAGAAACAAACAAGAAACTGAATCGCAACCCTAATTAACGGATCCATTACAAGACATATACGTCCATGTCACAGGAATGAGCTTAAGATAAGAGATGGATCATCGAGTATCCTTGCAATTTCTTCCATGATAAACTTTCGACACCTTTGAAAAAAAGAAAAAAAAAACTTTCGACACCAGCATCGAATTTCATATGTATGGAGAGGAAAAAAAAAGCATATGAGCAAATCGTTGTGCATTTTTCGAAGATGCTTGAAGGATTGCGTTAAAAGTGTCTCAGATGTAAGAAGTTATGCTTTCCTTGGGTGATCCAAAAGTCATGTTATTAAGTGTCTCAGATGTAAGAAGTTATGCTTTTCTTAGATGATTCAAAAGTCATGTTATTAATATCTCATATATCATATACCGAAAAAAAAAGTCTCATTTATAAAAGATTGTACTATTTTTAGAGCCCAAGTAAACCGTTGTGCATTTTTCTACTTTGGAAAACACCGCTTTCCATCTCAAATAGAATCACACAGCAGAAATGACCAAATTGCCCAAACTTCAGAAAATATAACTCCGCCCCAACTCTCAATTCACCCAACATAAACTCTAGCTTCCGGGGAATGGTGGCGGATCCTCGGTTACCAAAAAAAAAAAAAAAACTCTAGCCTCCTTTCCGACCCACCATATGAGCTATAACTTCAGCCTCCTCCATCCACCCTGACCCACCACCGGCAGGCACAATTGTGGCAGCCGAATGGAGCCATCGGCCCGCTCTTGGCTACCCGGTGCCCACAGGGCGGTTGGGTTAAAAAATTTTAATCAGGGTTTTGCTTTGGAAGGTCGGGGGAATTTAGAGGATGTGCAAGGGTGATTTGGAAAGAAAATTGGTGGGTCCAACATGAAAGCAAAAGATGCAAAATGGTATTATAAATAGTAGAGGATGGAGAATTGGAGATATTGGCCGATCTACTTTTTGAAAAGAGCAAGTAATAAAAGGAGAATTAAGAGAAACGCTAGCAGTAAGACGTAAGAACACAGAAGACATTGTAAGGGAAAGAAACTTTCTGAGTTAAAATTCCCTAGATCACAACAAAATTTCTCCACCGTTCTTAAATATTGCTAATCAGGCCCAAGCGAACAGAAAAAGGTAAGTCTCCCACCTTCTTACTATGGATGTCGAAGAGAAGCCGTAATGATGAGTGATGGACAATAGTAGCGACCGGGATGTCATAATTCATCTATGAAGTCCAGAAGATCATCAACCTCCTGTCTCAGTGCAGTTATCTTGTTCTGCTGCGAAGCTATCCGGTTCTCAATTTCACGTCCCGAAAGCTTCTTCTCATAACAGTCTACCACGGTTGTGTGCTTAACCATCAGCTTGTCTTGCAACTCTCTCTCCTTGACCACCAGTTCTTCCACCTACATACAGAAAATCAGGATATATTCCTCATAATGCGACCAGTCAGTTTCCCATCAAGAAACACACTGGACATTCTTCATCTAATAGATTACAACTATGATCATGTATATACAGGACAGCTTTGTTTTCTCATCATATGTTCTTTTCTCTTTTTTATCAAATCTCTCATCCTATGTTCAAGAGACAAGTAATTAAGAAAGAAACTTGATTTGCTTGAACCATGTCTAACACAAACTTATCAGATCTGAAGATCCAGATCCGATTTTTCTCTTGATATTCCCAACCGCTTAGGTCACCCTAACTGTACACCCAGCCCAATGGGACTCTCCTGAGAGTCCAACCACAGGAAACCCCTTTTCAAACCATGACAGCGTGTCAATTTAATGGCTCAACCATTACTCAAACTAGTTCAAGCGGTCTCAGTCAGTCGGTGTCCAGCTCTGTAAAAACATTCTGTTGCTAAAATTTGTTTTTTTTGGCTTGCGGGGGGTTTTAAGCTCCTGGACAGCCTCTACAACAGAATATGATCCATCAACCAAATGTACAAACAAATTCACCCAATTCTGATAGCTGCAGCAGAATACCAATATTCTGCCGATAAAAGCAAAAGGCCGCAATAAATTAAACGGTGAAACTGTAGCGGATTAGTCCTGAATTTTCTTGCCATAACAGGTATGAGAAGGAATGGCATATCTAACCTTGGGCAATATCTGAGCAGCCTGGGGAGAATTTTGCAAGAATGACAGCAAGGGCTTTAATTCCTTAGAGAGCTCTTTCAACAGACCATCTGCATGTTTGCGTGCTGCCTTACAAGCTTGAACATCACCCATCCTAGAAAGATCACGCAGAGATGCATCCAGCTTGTCATGTACCATTAAGCATCGGTTAACAAGATTGTCAACTTGCTGAATCACAGATTGGACCTGCAATAAAGAGACTGAAGTCTTCATTCCATGCACTCTCTTGCATTGCAAACAAAAGCACGAACCAGAGGCAAACTCCTTACCTCTTCCCATTGAAGCTTTGCCAAATATGATGCAGACGACTTGGAGATTGACAAGTCAGCATGCACGTATACAATGCAAGCAACAAAAAGGAGAAAAAATCCAGAAATCAACATCATTGGCTCCCTGAACATTGAAATACTGTTAAACTTGTAATAAACCTGCAAGCAATTGGAACAATAACTCATTAGATGGACATTCCAAATAATTCCACTATTTTGTCTAGATGCTCAAGAACCCAAAGAAAGCAATGCTTGAAACAAGGAAATCATTCATTGCAACTCTCACTATTCACTGCACTAATATTTTGATGAGACCTCTCCTGAAAGAAGAAAATGCATTGAGTTCCCTATAGTCCATGAGAAGGAGAGACTTATTTGACACAATTGAATAATCCGCATGTCCAAAGTAAAGGATTTACAACTGTACTACTGCTGATTTTGCTCTCCCTCACCACAGTAATCTCATAACTCAAAAACCTGTTCCAGTGGCAAAATCTAAATCTTAATCAATGGAAATAGACTGCTATGCTGACATAATGACCTGAAAAATACATATGCACCATTACTTAGCATTCTGACTTCTACGTGCGTGAGACGGTGTTATATTAAAAATATCAGCTTCGGGCAATTCATTATCTCGGGAAGATGTAAGCGTACCTGGAAATACTGATCAAGCTCCGGCACAACTTTACTCTTTTCCAATGCTATTACTGGTCTGCCAATAACATCCAAGTGGGAAAATTTTGTCTGCATAAAAACATACTTTATCTTTTATTTAAGGATCCAGAATGAGAGAACCATAGCAATCAGAAACATAGGAAAACTACAGAATAAAGAAGGAACAAAGGGTGACAACTTAGAAAGTAATACCTCTTGCCATTGCTTAACAGGAAATGGTGCAGAAACAGATATATCTCGAGAACCTTCAGGCAAAACAACCTGTACTTCACAACAATTTAAGGACTTATAAGAATATCGATGGATGTGTCCATAGATTATCTTATATCTATCATTAGGTGAAATATCAAGAGATGTACTCCTTAATCAAAATGTATGTGTCCATGTGCGGACCTACGACTCTACGAGACTGTGACTTCAGAGGAAGGGAGACAGAAAGAGGGAGCAACAGAGTTTCCTGAAACAGGAATCCCATTTAAGTACTCCAGACACTAGAAGATCCATATATCCCAGGTCCCACTTATTCCTGCCATTATGCTAACTACCTTCTGCATGTTCATTTGCTTGTGCTTTGTAATGCAAGCTAAGTATGAAACTAGCTTCTTCGATGACTAGTATCAGTAGGCTTTCTATTTGTCCAACCTCTATCACCATTCTCAACTACTGTTATTAAGTGCAGAACTAAGAGCAACAACCAATTTCACCTTTCCAAGTCAGTTTTACTTCGTGCTCTTGCTGCCGTCTTTTTCTTTTCGACAGTTGGGGATGGTCTCAATTAGTTGCAGACCCAAGGACTTCCAAAAACTAACTCATTTATATTGCCATTTTCACATATATGGACTTTTTGTTGACTATTTAAGAAAAAGTGAAATAAAAACAACTTACCTTCACAATGAGGGTGTCAATAATGATTTCATTTATAGGAGAGCCAAAGGTGATATTGAGGAAGCGTTTTCCATCTAATTCAAACAAAAAATCCTGAAGAGGCAAGCCATAACCAATTGTGAACGCAGTTCTCCAACCACCAAACATCGGGTACCTAGGTTCAATTTCCAGCTCTGTCTGTACCCATGATGAAAAATGTGTGAAAATCTCAAATTACACGAGAAATTATGGAAGCAAATATTGTGAAAATCAGATTGTCTACCTTTCTAGAATCACCCCAAAGATGAGAAGTTGAAATGTTGCCAATTGCATCCCTGTAATAGACAGAATGAGCTCTTGGAGGCAATTTTGCCACGAGATTTTTGAAAGCTGATGCGCCTCTAATGTGTGGTCTGGCCTGGTAATCAAGCCTGCAGGATGAAGGAAGTAGCTTATGATAGGCACAGATGCCAAACTTGAGAAAAAAACTAAAGGAGCACACGAAAAGCATAATCATACCTAGAGAATTCTCCCTTAATTTGAGAACCGCCATGAACAAGGTTATAGTTTTCAGTAACCTGCACATTACCCCAGTGGGAAACTTCTATTTCTCGCACCAATTCTCGAGCAACAACAAAGGGTTGGTTGCTCTCAAAATGAACAACTATAGGTGAGTATGAAAAGGGAGCAAGATTCTCGTAAGGACCATATTTGATCTCTGAACCTTGAACCTTAGTGTTTTCTAGTTTCGTGTAAGATTCAACTCTTGGATGAGGCAGTTTAACAGTGAGAGACTGGACCTTGACAGCATAAGGTGAGAGAAAGTACGCACTTTCTTCAAATACAAGCAGCTGAGTATCAGCCTGAGTAATTTTTTCAGGAAAAGGCAGTAGTGAATGAGTAAACACAGCTGACACGTCAAAAGTCAAGCTCGCCCCCTTCCCTAGTCCACCCTCGGGTAATGACACTGAATAGGCAACCAAGGCCGGAGGCAATCCTTCACTGTTGAAATTTTCAACAGGAAGATTGACAGCAGAAGCTTTTGCTTTCCCTTTCCCCGGGCTAGATGCAGCCATCAAGTATGCCAAGTTTTTTGCCTGGCGTTCAGGAAAGACCAACAGAACCTCTGATACTGAATCCTTTCCCGTGTTCTCGACCTTCATTAAACAGCGAAAAAATTCAAGTAAGAGAAATCGATTAATCGAGGTACTAACAAGTTCAACATGATCATTTGCCCAAATCTAATAGCTTAAGATAAGGAGTTTCACAAATACCAAGGAAGTCAGAGCAACTCTCTACTGATGAGATCTAGAAGAGAAAGAGCAAAAATGTAGAAAACATAACAATGGCAACACAATTGGAAGTGACCGCACCTTCAGTGTCGAGACAATCCGCACGATGTGAGATGTCAAATCAACCTGCAAGAGAACACGAACATCATTAGCCCGCTAAAGATTGTGAAATAAGAGAACTAAACCAAGAAGCCACATTTCCACTTTCTCGGGTTGCGCAGACATCATATTTAAACCCAACAAAACCCATCGGAGCTTTCGACAAGCAGAAATCCTTTAGATTTCCAGCAGCCCATCCACATATCGTAATCTCTCATCATCCTCAGGACAAGAAGATCGTTAAAACCGACCACTCAAGTGAAAAACCCACTACCATACGGCCAAACCACCCAACACGAGTCCAAATCCTCCAAAATGCAAACCAACTCAAAACCTACACATCCTCAGAACCCGCCCCTGTCGCATCTGATTCAAACACCAAGGCCTTCACAGCGCCATCTCCATACTCAAAATTCGCGAATCGGACATCAACGATCTCAATAACCTCAAGGAGACAAACACCCCCCCCCCCACCTAAACCTGCTCGATACGAGCCGGATCAACGAGTAACAGCAGCCAAAGAGCTCGCAGGGAGGACGAAGGAGGAGGAGGAGAAGAGAAGAGAGAGAGAGCGACTCACGCGCCGATCGACCCTGGTCAACACCAGATCGGAGAGCGCCGGCGTCGAGAGCAGGGCCACCGCGAGGACCAGCAGGTCGAACCTAAACCCCATCTTCGTGCGCGAGGAGGAGTCGATCGTCTCTCGGACTGGCATGTGAATTTGTGAAGCAAGTGCGGACTCTCTATCGTGTGTGTCGAGACTTTTGCGGTCTGGACTTATGGGGGATGATTGCATCTTGGCCCCTGGGTTTTTGGGATTTTTGCAATTTGGCCCCCCGGGTATCTCGATTTTTTGCAATATCCACCCCCCAACACTTTGAAAATCAGTTACGATGAAGTCCCTGTAGCTACATCTCAATGTTTTTTTTTTTTTTGGCCGGAAGTCACATCTCAATGTGAATAGTAACTTTCTAAGAGGAACATCACATTTGGCCTATTAATAGTTTTTATTTTTTCTCCATGTGATTGATAACTTTCGTATGAAATTCGGGCATGTGGTTGTACTAAGTAGTGAACTCGGAGTCATGCTCTGGCAAGAAAGGGCGTGCCTCGTCGTCGCCGGCGAGGCTCGAGCCCTCGCCAAAAGCCGTGAGGTCAAGGTATTTGCATTTCAACAACCACTAATTTTGTAGTAGTGTAAAGTAACTTCACTTTCATAATTATTAAGAATTTAGTAACTTCTCTCCGCTTAATGGTTACTTTTTTAGAGAAGTAAGTTTGAGCATATTTTTTGGCTAGTAATTTATTGATGTAGTTACTAGTTTTTACCTTTGTAAGTTGCTTATCCACATGATTAACGAATACTAAAAAATTACCAAAAAAATCCTAAACATATCACACGATCGGTTGTGCAATAAAATTTCGAAAAAAATTATAAAAATTGTCCATGATAGCGTCGGCCGTGCCACGTAAAATAATCGGCATCCACATCAGCGATTTCCCATAAGAATTGGCTGGAAGGACTCAATCGACAAATTGTCAAAAAATTTATGATACAATTATCACAATTGAAAGCTTTAGAGTTGAATTGGTATGAATGTAATAGATTTATGGCTTTTTTGGTGATTTTTCCTATATAAAAAAAGTGAATATCAATATATCTATAGTAAGATTTTATGAAAAAAAAATAGTAAGCTTTTATGGATACGTGATTAGGTGCTTTCCAAAAAAAAACAGAAGAAGAAGAAGAGAAGTGTAACTTTTCTAAATTGCGAAAATAAAAGGGAATGACATTGGTAAACTTCAGAAATAGCAGTGCTGGAGAATTTGCACTTGCATCCCTAGAAAAATACAGTACACGCTTTACATTACATTGTTCTTACTAAAGCATTGTCGGATGATTCCTCCTCGAATTACTGCATGGTTGGATGGTGAATCCTGAACATAGCTTCAGGAACATAGTTCAATTCCTGACATCAGGTTATTCCAAACACAGCAACGGCAACAGCAACAGGCAACAGCAAGCCCATTCCTAGCCGATCTGCAGAAACCAAGCCTTCTCCTTTACATAAGATTTCCAATAGCTAATTGATTGCAATTCGTCTTAATGACATCAATATCATACAAATGAAAAGATTAAAAGAAGCAAGACAACCTATCTTTGATTCATTTTTTGTATAATATGGCACCAAATCAGAGTTTTAAGTAAACTGAAAGTACTGAAGATTGTGTGTGCACCCAAGGCCTTCTGCAAGTTCAGATATGTACTGATGCAACTGATGAATAATCATCAACTAGAAAAAGAATAATTGATTCTCTCTTCAGTTATTGAATCTACCTGTCTGCTTCCATTTGCCTAAACAACGCGAAATGTACAACAGCTAAGTAGAAACTGTCGGTACTTCATCTTGTTCATGTAAACCCAATGCAAAGAGTTTCTCCCTGATCTGATGCAGCTGATTTACAACTCCACCGATGCTCATTCGTCTTCCTGGCACTTCGTTCGAACAAGCAACTCCAATATTATACACCATAACCAAACACTCTTGAAATATGCCTTCGCTTTTGGAAGGCCAATGCTGGGGACTGTAGGGGCCAAAATGGCTCTCTCTTTCTTGAAGCAGAATACTATCCGTAATTTCGAGCACTCGTTCAGGCAAAGCTTTTGCGACAAAGCCATGAAGAGTTAAATTATCTCTGAACATGTCATCGATTGGACTTAATCCTGTGAACATCTCTAGTAAGAGAATGCCATAACTATAGACGTCACCTTCTCTTGAAACATTGCATCCCATTGCATATTCTGCAACACATTTAAATCATAGTGCAGGTCAAATTTGATGCACGGATCATCAATCATTATCTATTATGCATAAGACCATAAGAGTCAATATTTGCTACCAAGTTTCGCATAGGAAGACCCATCAATTACTTTGTTGGGTAAATAAACTTTCTTGGAGAGAGAGAGATTACCTGGTGGAGCATAACCGATTGTCCCTCTAAAACCCACAGAGCTCACTGCAGTATCAAGGGATGATTCAATAAGGAATTTCGCCAATCCAAAGTCGCCAACATGTGCGACCATCTCAGCATCTAAGAGGATATTGCTTGGCTTTAAATCACAATGAACGATGGGGATGTGGCACTGGTGATGAAGATAATCCAGTGCTGAAGCAACACCAATAGCAATATTTATCCTTCGAATGAAATTCAACTTCTTTGCAAGCTCATTGCAATGAGATGATGTTACACTAGGGTGCAGCCACCGTTCTAGGCTTCCATTGTCCATGAATTCATAGACTAAGGCCTTAAAATCATTTCCTTGATAATCACTACCCGAACAAACTGTCAATATCTTCAAAAGATTTCGATGTTTGATGTTCTTTAATGCCTCGCACTCGACTTTGAAGCTCTTTAGAGCACCGTGACGAACTAAATGAAGAACCTTCACGGCAACAGTAATTCCACTAACCTCTAGTATACCCCTATAAACAGAACCAAAGCTTCCACCACCGATCAAATTCGTTGAAGAAAAACCGTCTGTTGCTTTTAGGAGTATTCCGTAAGATACATTTGGACATGAATCATCCCTTGAAATTGAAACCGGTTTCATTAGTGTCTTCTTCAACCAACAAAGATATATGAAAGTTAGAATAAGAGCTATTCCAAGAACTCCGAAAATAATTGAAGTGGACAATACCACTAAATTGATCTTTTTGCTCTTGGAGCTTTTGGAGATGCAGTTGGGGAGGTGAAATTCTGGTAGCCCACCACATAGCTCATCGTTCCCAATAATAGAAGTACCGGTAGCATTCCTAAAGACTCCTTCACTTGGTAGCATGCCTTCATACTTATTGTAGGATAAATTCAAAAGTTTCAAGGAACGAAAATATTGTTAAGAATTTTGGAATTTGAGCCGACAAATTGTTGCATGAAAGATCTAGTTCTTCAATGCCTCCTAACGATCTAATTGATTGAGGAATCGACCCATGGAAGAAGTTGCCTCTCATCCTCAATGATGTCAATGCAGTGCAATCACCTAAACTACTTGGGATTTCACCTACTAACAAATTGTTTGAGATGTCCAACGCAGTCAAAGTTCTCAAGTCGCCAACTTCTGTGGGTAGAATCCCAGTCAAATGGTTTCGAGATAAGTTCAGAATGATTGTTAATGATGAGAGACTCAAAAGTTGCAAGGGAATAATACCACTAAGATTGTTTTTGGACAGATCGAGCAAATTAAGAGACCGGCAATTTGATAGACTTGAAGGAATTTGCCCATGAAAGTTGTTCCCACCGAGATGTAGGCTAATCAACTTGGTTAGATTTCCTAAAGAAGATGGGATAATCCCTCCCGAGTTGTTATCGCTTAATTCCACAGTGGATAGATTTTGTAAATACCCCAAATTGGGGGGGATAACACCTGAAAGCTGGTTGAGATTCATAAACAATAATTCCATATTGACTAAATTCCCAATTTCTTTAGGAATGTCACCAGATATTTGATTCTCATTTACTGAAAATAATATGAGATTGGTGGAAAAATTACCTATGCATTTAGGTAATGCCCCGCCAAACTTGTTCCTGTCAATACCCATGTACTCTAATTTGGTGCTATTAGTTAACGAGCAAAGGAAGCTCAAGTCTTCAGGTTTTCCACTGCCAAGCTGATCAGCAAAGATTTGAAGCCAACTAAGCTCATACAAATTTTCCGAAGAAGGTACTTTCCCGGAAAATCTATTACCTCCAAGTTGAAGCCTATCAAGCTTTGTGCAATTCGATATAGACAGAGGAATCGGTCCCTCAAGTTGGTTCCCACGAACGCTAAAAGATACAAGATTGGGAGTTTGAGGCCTATGCCTGCAGGAAGAATCCCCTGTATCTGGTTGTCTCCAGCATCAAACGTAGTTAGGGAAGAGAGATTGAGTAACGACGATGGAATCGTACCCAACAATCCGTTTGCTCCTATGCCCATGAATTGAAGTTTGTAAGGTGGCCTAGAACTTCAGGAATGCTCCCGTCCAAGTTGTTCATGGTTAAAAAAAGGATCTGTAGGGAAGATAAGTTCCCAATGGAGGAAGGGATACTCCCAGTTAGATTATTAGCATACAAAGCGAACTCTTGTAGCTTCAGCAATTACTCGAGCTCTCCAGGAATTTCTCCAGTTAGTTCGTTGTTCCCAAGCTCGAGGATGACCAGATCTGAGCAACCCGATATGTTTTTGGGAATTTCGCCAACCAAAGAATTGATGGTCAATCTTAGGATACGCAGGCGGCGCAACTGGCCGAGCTGTGGAGGGATTTCTTGATTAAAACTGTTGTTTTGCAGCCACATTTCCCTCAAGAAGCTGAGGTTTCCGATATGAGGAGAGATTGATCCGAACAGTCCTTGTGATCGCAAGTTCAGGATCGTGACCCTCTGGTGCCTCCGGCCACATGTGACACCGTACCACTTGCAAAACCCAACGCTATTGTTCCAAGAGTCGAGCACCCCGAAAGGATCTTCGGATATTCCGGCCTTAAATGCGAGCAGCGCAAGTCTGTCTGTTTCATTGGTGGTGGAGGAGACTAGGTTAAAGCACAGTGCAAGAGCAAGAGCAATACCAAGGAGCAAGTGGCATGATCGAAGCTCTGCAAAACTAAGGCTTACGGGTTTCATGACTCGAAGCCGAAGGTAGCGGGTAGCTATGAAAGCAAAGGCAAGAAGGAATAAGAGGCTGGCCAATCCCATCTTCAGAATAATGAAGAGATCGCTCAAGTAAACGATCTGCACTCGGTAGTCATTGAACAGCGAAGCCGGCCAATCCCATCTTCTACCATTGATTCTGACTCTGGAAAAGGACCTTGTCTGGCCATATATGCATGAGAGTCAATCTGATGTGCACACGTTGCAGACTTTTTTACCGACACATAAGAAATAGGAATGCGTGTTTCTTTATGATTTCGCCTTTGAATTAGTCAACATAATCAGTAATCACCTCCTTATATATATTACATGAACCAAAATTAAAATATTTTATAAGGATCATCAATGCTGAATAAGTAATTTAAGTGGAGGAGAATGCAGCCTCGAGATAATTATGGCTCGACCACAAAGCTTCATTCTATCCAACTTTAGTATCGTTGATCTCGAGACCGTTAATGAATTGTTGATGCTTTCAGTTGCCGGAGTAGATCAGCCCTTATCGATGTTCCTGGCCATTCTTGGATGCTCTGACTAACATTCGGAAAAAGAGAACCGTTTCAGGATGGTATAGACTCGTGCCTCCAAACAAACAGAAGTCCGAACTATGTTACATTCAGAGGGACCACTTGGGTCAAATATGTTCACTGAAAATGAGAGGATCTGTCAACTTCCTGCAACATACATAGCCACATATGCATGACGAATAACAGAGTCCTAAACGAGTTAGCTCACGAACTGATCTGTCAATCCATGGTTTGAGCTATGGTTTGGGAGACGTAGTAGAACTGCCTGCATCTGCCGCCGCACTAAAATCACGGGGTGAGAGGACCCTTATAGTTTCATTCTCAAAATTGTCCAAAGACAAGCTCGTCTGAAGACGCGGCTTTTGATTGAAAACATCCATACGGCGGGCTGGAGTGGCAGGACCACAATGGACAAGTAAGCTAGGAGTGAGCTGTGACTCCTCATTATAATGCGGGAAAATTTCAATTTGGTACCCAAAGTGAGTCATTTTCTCAAAAAGGGGTCCAAAGTAGACAAAGTATAAAATAAGGGCCTAAAGTGCCCAATCAGTCTCAAATAGGGGCCCAAAGTACCCAATTAGTCTCAAATAAGGGCCTAGGTTCGCCGGCCGGTCAAATACTCACCGGCCGGCGAGCACGTCACAGTTCCGACGATCGGAACAGGAGCAATTTCGTCTTTTACTTCTTCTTTTTTTCTCTTTTCCTTTTGCTTTTCTTCTTCTTCTTTTTTTTCTCTTTTCCCTCCGCCGGCCATAGCCGAGGCCGGCAAAGGCCGCCCGACACCGGCGAGGGAAACCCAGGGTCGGCCCTCGTCGGCATCCGGCTCGGGCGAGGGTTGCCCTCGCCCGACGCCGGCGAGGGCCGACCCTGGGTTTCCCTCGCCGGCGTCGGGTGGCCCTCGCCCGATGCCGGCGAGGGCAGCCTCCGCCCGAGGCTGGCCACCTCCGCCGGCCCCGGCTATGACCGGCGGAGGGAAAAGAGAAAAAAAAAAAGAAGAAAAGAAAAGGAAAAGAGAAAAAAAATAAAATAATAAAAGACGAAATTGCCCCTATTCCGATTGCCGGAACAATGACGTGCTCGCCGACCGGTGAGCATTTGACTAGTCGACGAACCCAGGCTCTCATTTGAGACTAATTGGGCACTTCGGGCCCCTATTTGAAACTGATTGGGCACTTCATGCCCTTATTTGACATTTTGTCCACTTTGGACCCTTTTTTGAGAAAATGACCCCAGTTTGAGTACCAAATTAAAATTTTCCCTTATAATGCACTACTCACTGTTGGAATCTGACTTGACCCTTCTGCTTCCATTTCTAAATCCTTCCCTGGTCTTCTCGTCCTCTACTGATTTTGGCTTGGGTTTATCCTCCAAGTATTACTTGGTCAGCAATGCTCGAGATGCATTTTGCGGGTACACTTTCTCGTCAACGATTTGGCTTCAATTAACGACACTTACTGTACAAGATAGACATGATTTTCCTTGTGGACCATTGACAGTTGCTCGGAGTTACGGTTCTCCATCAGTGGAAAGTGGTCTTTCATCCTTAGGAGAATGGAAGTAAAATCAGACACAATTCCATCACCAGAGTTAACTAAGACTAATTCTATTAAACCATTGTTGGACCGCCCCTGACGCGGAAATAAACCTTCTAAATATGCCACACAAGAAAGTTGAATCCAGAAAGTTGGTTTTGTATTCCAGAGTATCCCCATCTTTGTTCCGAAACAGAAGAAAATTCCTCATTTAGGAAGCTTGTAACTAACTTAACTTTGCTTTACTGCAACATTAACGATATCCAGTTACTGCACACAACAGACTGGGATGGACTTTGGATGACCTAAAAATTAGTTTGGGATAAATTTGTCACATGTGTACAAGTTTGAGGGTTTTTGCTAACCCAAAAATTAGTTTTAGGTAAATTTGTCACATGTGTATTAGTTTGAGGTTTTTCGTGGTATTAACCATTTACTTATTGAACAAACTGGAATCTCATAAATCACACCCATCCATTTATCAAGGATGCATGAGTCAAATATAATATAAAATGCTGTTTTTCTTTTTGCTAGAAAAGTAAAAAAAAGTTCATTCAAAAGAAAATGTACATGTTTCCTAAAACAAAGTGACAAGATTTATCTCCATTGCATGTTTGCATGTTTGATTGTTTCACACAATCAGATGTGAGCAACAACATGTTTGCATACTGTTTTGGCTCCCGTGCAACTTCCACAAGATTATAAACCAGATAGGTGCTGATCTTCTTTTCCTTCAAGAGTATGGGAGAGAAGTTTCAATATTGTTAGTGTCTCAACTCATGTGGTCAACATTCTCATTTATACAATACCAACAATATCAGTGAATTCTGCAGCATTGAGGAAGCAAGAATATCGGCCTGAGATTACAGTGTTCTGCTTCATCATGCTTTGTAGTGGAAGAAGAAGAAGAAAAAGAAGAAGATATACAGAAAACCTAGCGAGTCGCGCATTCAATCTGACTTATCACTCCGCACATAATGATCCCTCAGCTGACTTATCTGCCTTCTATTAGAAGAAAAGGAGACAAAATTTCGGCATCACATCAACTCCATTGCCTCAAGGCCCTCCTCACCCAATGCTAAGTCTGCTTTCCTTCAGGCGGTTCTACTTGCAGAAGCTCGATATTCAGTTCAAAGGTGGCCCCTGGCTGGAAAAGGAAAACACGAGTACTCTCAGGAATGCATCGTAATTAACTCTCAAGCACATGTAATGACATGCTTAGAGGCACCACATGCAAATAGATTGAAAACCTCACTTAGGAATGGAGTTGAAATTATAGAAGAGGCATAAAAAATTTCAGGCAAGCTCTCAGAACCAGGCATTTGATGGTATGATCAGCTCCTAAACACAGAGTGGGATAATTCCCAATGAATCAATAATACAAAGAATACCGGTATCTCGTTCATTCCCTTCTGACCATAGCCAGCCTCTGGAGGAACGATCACCGTTCTCTGAAAAAGGACGAATGTTCAAGAACAATAAGGCCATTAAAGACTAGAGAGAAGATGGGACGAGGAAAATACAAAAGCACTAGCTTAAGTGTTAGCAATTCATTTACTGAGTGACAAATTAGCCACATTGACGAACATTTACTGCCGATAGGAGTCGAGATGATCACCTTTCCACCCACTTTCATCCCTTCTGTTATCGAGTACATAGCAGGTGGTGGCTTGGGAGAAGCCTGTGCTGAAAATAATCCATTTGGATTATCTACAAATTCACGCTTGCGTTCCTTTCCTGGAGGAGATCCTACCTTGAATTCATATGGCTAATAATGCCAAGTAAGCTTGCGCATTAGCAAAGCGTTGGTCCACACAAGGCACAAGTCAAAATGAGGAGAATTTGTCTGAACCGGAAATAGCAATATGAAACGAGAAAAGAAAATCGAAAGTATAAGACCTGAGCAATAATGCGATTTCCAGCTAAAAGCTTAGATTCTCGACTTGATATAGCTGTAATACCGCGATAAAGACAGTCAAAATGCACCTGCAAAAGAGGATTCAACACAGAATATTACTGGCTCATATATTGCTTGAGGAAATATAAACAGAAAATCGACATCAACAAACCTGGACTGTTGATCCTTTTTCAGCTACTGGACCATTTCCCTCGATGATATCATAGTATTTCACTCCATCAGCTGTTTCAAGGATTGGAATTGCTTACTAAAACAAAACGGACAGCAAGCTAAAATGCAACTTTCTCTTGTGAAACACGAGAACCTTTTTTCCTCACAAATCTGGCAGCCTAGAATTCAATTCTTTTCTGCTCTGTATGGGGAATAGGAATTAACTTTTAGTTTGAGCATCTATTGGCAGGAAACGAAATAATCTTTAGTAAATACTTGAAACTGACCACATGGGTTATAGAGGCAGTACATGGGAAAGACGGGTGGGAGTGAAAGAAAGACTAAGCTAGGTCCTACGAGATGATGTGATAAAGGGAAGCATTCCTCCTGCATTCCATCAGGTACGACGACAAAGAGAAGCAGCACAAAGAGTCGAGGTAGACTCCATGATCTTAGCTTAAGCAGAATAAAATGACAAAGCCACAGAATCCATTCGAATTGCGGACCAAGACTCGAACTAGTAATTACTACCCGCTCCGATGCTTTCAACTATGAATATTCTAGTCATCCCTAAGGACATTATGCGACAGAATCGCATCCTTAATGCCTATCTTATTCACTTCAACTGCACTATCATAGCAAGTGGCACAGCTTCTAAAATGTCGACGCTACATCCATAAAAGGCAAGTCACAGAAGCACAATCACACACTACTACCACCCCTCCAACTTTCTGCCGATGAACGAAACTGCCGGAACTATCTCACTGTAACTACACATGGGACTAGAACCCACACAAAGAAAAAGACTGTGGCTCCAACAAGTAACATAGCAGACCCCTTTTATTGCAATTTGACTCGATTACTTCCTTAAACCACTTGCATTATCATAGCAACGGGCAGCTTTGAACTTGCACGAACAATGTGCCTGTCATTGCACTTACTCAAACTACATGCTTTGCTCACTCAATCACAAAAACGAATGAAGCACGCATTTCAATTCTCAAATACCCCGTCCAATATCGAATTCGGTTGCGCATTTGTGCTGAATAATCGCATTGCAACTGCCACAAGGGGAAAATGCAAACATCTCCCGGCATGCGCGACAGAACGCGCGAGCGCAAAAATTCACGCTCTCGACGAAACGAAAGGACGACGATCGAGAGAGAACGGAGGGCTCGGGAGACTCACGGCTCGTGGTGTATTCCTCGAGCGGGATGGCCTTCCGGTTGCGCCTCTCCCTGGCCTCCGACGGCCGAGGCAGCGAGGCGAGCGCGAGCGGCAGCGGCAGCGAGGAGATCAGGATCGCGAGCCTCCTCGAAGCGCGACCCGGAGGAGCGAGCCGCCTCGCGGCGTCCGGCGGCTGGTCCGAGGCGGCGGCGGCTCTGGGTCGGAGGAGACGACGATCGTCGACGGCCGGTTTGTGGAAGCTCCGGGCGGAAGCCATGGCCGTTGGGCTTTTTCCTTTTTGCGGTTTTGCAGATGATGATGCGCCAGCTCTCGGAGGAACCGCTAAAAAAAAAAAATCGCATCCTCTTCCTCCTATCCTTTCCCCGCCAAATTTACACCTTTGTCCCTCCTTTTGTAAAGACGAGAATTACTATGGTGAGATCGATTTTTACATAGTTGGTCAATAATTTTAAGTAATTTAAATAAGTGGGATATAAAAATATGAATAGAATAAAGTTAGAATATCCTGCGAAATCGATTTGTTGTTAAGAGATGTGGAGGATTCACTCGATTTCTTTAATAAGTCGTACTTGCTTAGCTACAAACCCCTGCGCTCGATGATGGTGCCATTGCTCGCCAACATCGAGCAAGCGTTCGTAGACCTTGCACAGTGCAAGCAGCATAACGGCATCATCGACACCAACTCTCTCTTTCACTTGTGGATTTTACAAAACGAGTTGGATTGTCATATTAACTAAATAAGCGTTCGTAAACCAATTTCGACATTTACAAAACCCGTATACTAAATTATATGACAGATCGTTATTGCTGATTGAATATGACTCGTTTATTTAATCGGCCATTTGTATTTTGCCGCGTCATTTAACCTTTAATTAGCATTTGAATAAGATACACTTGTTTAAGTAATTATTTACAATCCGTCACACAATGCTCATTTCGCATTGTCCCTTTTATCAAAAATTGTCAATGTCACTCTTAAAAGTCTCAATTCATCTTTCTTCTTCATCCTTTTATTTATTTATTTTTCCCTCAAATTCTTCTCAAACGCTCGGCCAATACGCCGGCTGAAAATCATTGGTCCGCGATCAACAGCCACGCACGCGCGCGGGATCTTGCTTAAACGATCGAATCAACGGCCGTAAAAGTCCTTGATCTCAATGCTAATCACCTAAAGCGCGAAGCAGGCGATTGCGCCCGCCCTTCATCTCTTCGGCTGTGTCGCTCCAAGCGAGCGAACCTGCATCGATACAATCGAACACCAGAACGGATCATCGCCCCCTCTTTATCCCCTCCTTCCATCCTCATTTCCTCCCTCAAATCGAACACCTCTGCCCCTCCGATCGTTCAGCCTCTCTCTCGCGCTTCACGCCGATGGAGATGAGCGCGGTCTCGAGTTCCCTGGCTCCGGTGCGAAGTCCCCGACCGCGGCTCTTGTCGGGTAACGATCTCCTCCGATTCCGTCCTTCCGTTCGATGTGTTTCTCGCAGCGTTTTCGCGCTGATCGTCAGCTTTCGGTTCGCGTTCGATCCTGAGAACAGCTGAATTGGACGGTGCTTTTTTTGGTGAACCGCGAGATGAAGGGAAAGCCAAATGCCTGTACATCGGCGTTACTAACTCTTGTACCAGTGTGCGTGGGTCTCTACAGTTGCATTGAGCGGCGTGCGATGAGTTTGGCGAGCTCGAGACTCGTGATTGAATGCTTAATCACAGCGGAAAGTCCCGAGTGTTTGCGGCCGTCGGCCTTATGTATTGCTTTTAGTCTCGTAAAGCTTTCACATTGTGCGGCTTCCTATGGGTGTTGTCGCCTGCCGCGTGATTCTGATGATTAGCGGTCTTACGTGGGGAAAGTCTTTCGCCTGATAGATATATCATATGACATGTGGGCGCGGTGCTCGTTTTTCTCGATGCGTGCGCAAGAACTTGCGACGAAAACAAGACAAGACTACTTGATGGGTCTGTGCTACCACATTAGCACGGCTCATGGTGTAATTTTCACAAAAGGTTCATCTTTGTCATGTGGGAATGAATCTGTCCAATTGCTGAGCAGTGGCTTTGTGCATCCTCTATTTAGACATCGGGATATTTCTCCCTTTCTCGATTCGGATGATACGATGCACGAGTTATGACTAAAGCACCTTTCCTTGGGTTCGGATATGATAGGACGTCATTCTACCTTCTATGGTTTACGTTGCCAAAGTCTGACTGCTAGATTTTAGAAGAATTTTGTTTCTTCTCTCATGCTTGACCGGCAGTGGATATTTAAGGCTCGTTGTGTTTAGAGCCTCGACTTTTCATGCAGTTAAGTGTACTTATGCTATTTATTCTGGAACATACTGCCAGGTTGCCCGCTTAAGCCATCAGTCCAATGCCTGGGGAGCGTACGCCGTACAAACTTGTTGTTTGCTAAAAATCAAACTGGAATGCTGCAGCTCCGCTCTTCAAGGCAACTCACTGTTAGTGCTGAGTATAGGTACTGCCAAGTATTGCAACTTTGTTGTGATCTAATTTTGAGGTGCTAAATTTGAATGCAATTTCTAAGTGGAAGCTTAATCAGCAGTCAATTTTTCTTCTTTTACTATCCCGTTTTCTTAGCATTAGGCTGTATTACCTGCTCAGACCCGTATAGACCTTATGTTCTTGTCATGAATTGACAAATTTGTTACATGTTGTGGGAGGCGGAGAGGGAAAGGAAAAAATTGAGGGAAAAGGGGCCGGGGAAGGAGAGAAAGAGAGAGCCAGAACATATTTTCTTGCAGTATTTCCTGGTCCTGTTTCTCTATTCCTGGCTTCCTTTGGTTGATGTGCAGACATAGTTTAGTTGCTCTAAACTTGTATATCTAATCAGCATGGAAATTGTTTTTCTAAATCTATTTGGCCAAGGATGGATCAGGAAGATTTGTGCAGTAAAGGCAAACGTATTCCGCAATTCTTAATATACCAACGATATTCCTTCCAATAATAAGTTATTTTGTTTTATGCTTGAAATGTTAGATGGGTCAGCTAACAACAAGTAATTACTGTTCTTTATATCAAACTCATTTCCTGCGTGTATAATCTTTCGTAAAATTTTCATAACTCTGTCAAATTTCCCTAGTTGTGATTGTATGTACCCAATGTTAGTCTTTTGTTTGTTTTCTAATGCAGAGACGGTGGAAGGCCGAGCAGTGCAAGCATCTTTGTTGGTGGTTTTGTCTTAGGAGGAATTATAGTTGGTGCCCTTGGTTGTGTATATGCACCTCAGGTACTGACATTATCTGTAATACCCTACCTATGGTGTAGGAATCCACCTTCATTTGGTTAGCGTTTGTTTGAATTATTGAACATTTGATGTTCAATATTCTTTTCTGATAATTTTAGTTCAAGCAGTTCATGTAATTGTTGATGAATATCATAAGTATGGTGGTTCAGCTGAATACATTTTCAGTTCCATTATTCCATGTGATAGTCCTGCGGATCTACATGTGGAAGCCCTTTCCCCTGAATTGAGTTTTTCCTTTTATCATCCCGGTAGATCAGCAAGGCACTGGCTGGAACTGACAGGAAGGATTTGATGAGGAAATTACCGAAATTCATCTATGATGAAGAGAAGGCTTTGGAGGTGACCTGTCCTTGACTTATCTTTAATGTTAAATTTTCCAATGTACGACACCTTATAGTACTTACTGTGCCATGATGAAAATGATTTTCTGATCCTGGATTGTCGTGAGTAGAACAGTTTTTGTACCTGCGTTTAATTTGATAAGCAACTGCTGACATGTTTGTATATGAAGTCCAACGTATGCTTGCTATGACCTGCTTCATGTATGCTGTGAAGAGACTGTAGCAGTAACATGGCATCGTGGCCATCTGTGAAATATGTATTCACCTTAAAATATGATGATTTCCAGAAAACGAGGAAGGTGCTTGCCGAGAAGATTGCACAGCTCAATTCAGCCATAGATGATGTATCTTCTCAGCTCCGAACTGAAGACTCATCAGATGAGATTGCCGTTGCCCCTGCCCCTGATGAAATCGAAGCTGCTGTTTGATAGCCCACACCTCCCAGGCCTAAGATCATGGTCATCCTCTGTTTTGGTACAATTGGCTCACCCTTTTTGGCAGCCTCCGTATAACAGAATAATGGTTCCTCTTGTAAAATCTTCTGTTTATTTCTGAAGACCAATGCACTCGGTTTCTTTTGACATGATCATCTCGATTGAGGAAATGCATCATTCGTGGTATATCTGTGCAGAATACCGTTTATCTCGGGAGACTTCGAGTATTATATCATCACAGTTTCCCTTCTTGTGTATGTATAAATCTATTCGTTCATTGAAAGTGATCGCCATTACATTTTGGATAATGTGTGCCATCAGATGGTATGACGACTAGTGTGGTTGACACGGTGTCAACTTGAAAGCCAATCGTCAACAATGGTACTTAATGCCTGATTGGCAGATGGTCAGTATGAGATTTTGCTCTAGAATGGCAAAGCAAGGGTAAGTTATGGTGAATCAAATGATCTACGAACCATCCTAGCTAGCTGTGTGATGACACACTGAAGTTCTATTGAACTAAACCAGTTATGGATGATATGGGAGGAGAAACTTGAGAAATCTATCAAATATTGTTTGGAGTGGTTGGCCCTGTTGGGCAAAACTTTTGTCACAGGCGGATACTTCGAATTCGGATGTATTATTCCCCGACTGTCGCCTGTCCCGGAAAGGCAAGGCGGATGTTATCTTCCGAACGATGTCCACCATCAACTCCACATCGATCTCTAAGCCAGAAATATACACGCCCCAATTTTTTTTTTTTAAATATCCATGAAATGGGACATATACGATTATGTATGCCCTCGTGCATGTTTTACCCATAAGCTCTTTCAACAAAAATCTGGCTCGTGTTTTAACGGAGAAATTCATGAATCATTGAAGGAGTGGCCTTCAGGGGAAGAGAGATGGATGGGTGGTTAAAATCAGTCTGTGGCTCACATTTATGCCTTGGAGATCCCCAATAGGAACCTTATCCCATTGTACATCCCCGCAACACCATATTCACCACTCGTTCCCTTCTAATTGTCTTCCAACCATAATTCACAGATGCAAATGTAGTGACCAATTGAAAAAGGAAGAAAAAAACAAACTTTCAAAGCTAGTGTGGTATAAATAAGCTGCGGAAGCAAGTCTCTTGACCTTTAGTTTTAGTCAGCCATGGCTACTCACGCAGCTCTTGCTCCCACAACCCTCCCAACCAATGCCAAGTTCTCTAGCAAGAGCTCCTCTCACTCCTTCCCCACTCAATGCTTCTCCAAGGTCTCTCTCTGATCCTCTCTTTTCTTTTGTGTGCGAGTGTTGTGTGACGTGTGTTTCGATGTTTCAGCCGCATAAGTGCTGATCACCCGCGTTCTTTGGAATGTTTTTTTTCTCCCCTATGTTCAGAGGCTCGAGGCGGCGGAATTCTCGGGCCTTCGTGCTGGCTCGTGCGTGACTTACGCAAAGAATGGCGGGGAAGGATCCTTCTTTGATGCTGTGGCTGCTCAGCTCACTCCCAAGGTCAGCTGATCAAATGGACTATCGCTACTTATTTTTTCTCTGCATTGAATGTTCTGGAGTAAGTTTGTTAGTTATATTCGAACCAATCATTGTTCATTTTGATGGTTGATTTAAGTTCCTGGAAACATACCAGCCTTTTCAAGGAAAGATGTTTTCTGGACATCATGTGATCGGTCATCGTTCATGGGAAATAGCATGATCATTTGTATATTTTACAATTTTCCTGCAAATTAAGAGGTACTCCTTAAGTAACTACTAGTCATCCTTGTGTTCTTTACTTGACTAATAACCATATCCGGCTAAATTCCCAAGGAAATCTCAGACTGCAAGAATACCCGTAATTAACCAGAACACTGGACTATAGCACAAAGTTTGATGGTACAGTCTTAGCCACGGGTAAGCCAACTGTCTAGAGAATCAATAGAGGGAAACAAATTAATCTGGACCTTATAATCATTTCTTGCTAAGTTCTTGGAGGTTGTCTGAGGGCTGTCAGCGGATGGAGTATGGCAGGAAACTTGAGGAAATATTGTCATATGAAGTTAAGCAAGGGAAGAGGAGGACTCTTCTTAATGTCAAACTTGAGCGAGCGATAAGACCTGCAATAACGACCAAGGAATTCGATTTTGTGGGATGTGTATGATATTATTTGTAACTCTGTATAAACAAAGCACTTGTCTTATATGGAGAGCTACTACTGCATGCTCTGTTGGCGACAATTGACCAAAAGTGAGAGAAGTAGAAAATTGCAGAAGTTGATTTGTCTCAAGGAGGCAGCTAAGAGTGTGTGAATTGCGTTGGCAAACTTTTAGTAGACCAGCTAAAATATTTAAAGACTGAGTCGCTGTCATTGAGAAGAGCGCGAAGCAACCTAGTATAAATATCTCAACATATATCAGCATCTTGCGACTCTTAACATGATATCTGTTTGCAGCATAGTCGATCTTTCTAGGTAACCTACTCACAATTCCTGTCAATGGTGAAAACAGACTTCAGCACCAGCTCCAGCTAAGGGAGAGACCGTTGCTAAATTGAAGGTGGCAATCAATGGTTTCGGTCGCATTGGTCGGAACTTCCTTAGATGCTGGCACGGAAGAAAGAACTCGCCCCTCGATGTCATTGTTGTCAATGACAGCGGTGGTGTGAAAAATGTGAGTAAGATTTCGTGACTAGTGAGCTTCCGTAATTTTTTTGGAGATGCCCATTACCTCATTTTTTATCTGACAAGTAAGCTTATTTGCAAGACAGGCTTCACATTTGCTGAAGTATGATTCCATGTTGGGGACTTTCAACGCTGATGTGAAAATCGTGGACAACGAGACCATCAGCGTCGATGGGAAGCACATTAAGGTCGTCTCTAACCGGGACCCTCTCAAGCTCCCATGGGCTGAGCTTGGCATCGACATTGTTATTGAGGTAAGCCAAATAATTATGAACTAACCATGTGAATTGATCAAATTATTGTAGAACTTGTCCTCAACATGGCTTGCTAATATGAATTACAGGGAACTGGAGTCTTCGTGGACGGCCCTGGTGCTGGAAAACATATCCAAGCTGGTGCCAAGAAAGTTATCATCACCGCACCAGCAAAAGGTGCTGATATACCCACCTACGTCTATGGTGTGAACGAGAAAGATTATTCCCATGAAGTTGCTGACATAGTCAGGTCAGAATTTTTCTTGAAAGAACTAAGTTAAGATTCTGTTGATCATAATGGATTAAACCCATGAGCTTCTGGCTGATTTCAGCAATGCTTCTTGCACCACTAACTGCCTCGCTCCTTTTGTGAAAGTGATCGATGAAAAGTTCGGTAAGGCTTCATCCCCGATCTTTGACCACCTCTTTTTTTCCCTAATGTGTGACTTACCTGTCTGGTTCCTGACTAGTTTCTGAACTCTCATGATCACTTTCGTAGGCATTGTGAAGGGTACAATGACAACCACACACTCTTATACAGGTGACCAGGTAATTGAACAAAGTATCAAGAAATTGTCTTTATGTGCATGCTGTCCGAACTTACTGGGGCATTTAAGGTTTTGCTCAAGTCTGAGTATAATCGTTTCTTTTACCCCGTATGGTTCAGAGGCTCTTGGATGCTTCCCACCGTGACTTGCGGAGAGCCAGAGCCGCAGCGCTCAACATCGTCCCAACAAGCACTGGGGCTGCAAAGGCAGTGTCTCTTGTGCTTCCCCAGCTCAAGGGCAAGCTCAATGGGATCGCCCTCCGTGTGCCAACGCCAAACGTCTCCATCGTCGACCTTGTTGTGAATGTTGAGAAGAAGGGCCTTACCGCCGAGGACGTCAATGCAGCCTTCAGAGAGGCAGCCGAAGGGCCGCTGAAGGGCATATTGGCCGTGTGCGATGAGCCTCTCGTCTCGGTGGATTTCCGATGCTCCGATGTCTCTTCAACCATCGATTCTTCACTGTCCATGGTCATGGGAGACGATATGGTGAAGGTGGTCGCTTGGTACGACAATGAATGGGGTTATAGGTGAGAATATTTCGCTCATTTTTAAAGTACTAAGGGAAGAAGGCTCCAAATTTGAAGTCACCTCTTCCGTTTCTTGTTTCGGATGTATGATGTGTTCTATCTCCTCAATCTTTCAGCCAAAGGGTCGTCGACTTGGCACATTTAGTAGCAGTCAAGTGGCCAGGCATAGAGATACCGGGATCGACCGGAGACCCATTGGAAGATTTCTGCAAGAAGAACCCCGCTGATGAGGAGTGCAAAGTCTACGAGAATTAGTTCGTCGCATTCCTTTTCCCAATTCCTGGTGGATCGTGCAAGGCAAGGTTTTTCTTTATCTTTATCTTTTTCAGTATTGACTTCCGCCGAGTGCATAGACTATGGTGATAGTCGAGAGGAGCAAGCTGATGTGCAAGAAGCATAGGATGTGTTGATGAGACAGCATCTGAGATTTGGAATAATCAAATCAGAATGGTTTTTGTTCTGTTAAGTTTCATGTGAAGCTACTCCTTTTATTAAATTTACTTGTGGTGAATGGATGAAACTGAGAAAGTTTAGCGTCTCTGCTATGGCGTCCGCATTTCCATTCCTAGACCGAATGAATAAATTTTCCAGATAAGCTTTCGGACTGCGAACCATCCGAGCCTGTGCTGGAATCAGAATATTTCTGTTCGCCTTGAGCTCTGTCACCCCTTTCTGAAGAATCATCGTCTAACGTCCTCCTCCTACATCAAGCTGACGAAGATTCCCCTGAGATCTATGAAAGAAGACATCGACTTCTTCAATATGATGCTTTTGCGCGCTGCGTCAGAAATGTTCCTGGCAATATGCAATTGGCAGTCATAAGTCTGATACTTAGAAAGTAATTCACAGTGACTTACATCCTTCTTATGAAGTTCAATGCTCATTCATTTTATCAGTCTGAGCCGTGAGGGACATATATAACAAGATCTATTCGCCGGACATGTTCAAGCAAGTTGAACAAGTAGTCCCCACAGAAGCATAGGATGCTACACATAAAGAGGAAAAGAATCTGAAAGCTGCAACCGTAGGGATCTCTCTCTCATGTTCTGCAATATTCATAAATGAAACACTCGTCGTTGGCTTAATTAAGGATGTGAAGTATGACAAAAAATGATGGGATAAGTGCGTCGGAAGTCTTAAAACTTATCACGAAAATGCTATTGATTCCTAAAATTTTGAAAAAGCACAATCAAGTCCTAAAACTTGTCAAAAAAGTACAATCAAGTTCTAAAACTTATCAAAAAAGTGCAATCAAGTCTTAAAACTTTTCACGAAAGTACAATTGAATTCTATAACTTTAAAAAAGTGCAATCAATGGAAAGATTTGATTGGATCGATTTGATTGAATCGATTTGACAAGTTTTAGAATTTAATCACATTTTTTGAAAGTTTTAGGACTTAATCGTACTTTCGTGACAAATTTAGAACTTAATTGTAATTTTGATAGTTTTATGACTCAATTGCACTTTCGTAATAAGTTTTAGGACTTTCAAAATACTTATCCAAAAAAAATTAAGGATGTGAAGATATAATTGAGAATCGTAATTCCAAACGCTATGGATGGGATTCACCTTTGAAAGTGTGGAAGTCAGGGTCGCTTCCAATGAGTCGTGGTAAAACTATTGAACTCTTCCCAAGCCGGCATCAGTGCGTGACATATTAATGCCCTGCTTACAAGAACTAGTACGCGAAACTTTTATTCGATGTGAATTATTTTAGTGTTTTCAGATCAAGGTTCCATCCTCTTAGTCGCTTTGAATTGTTCGAGCATAAGGTTCGATGACACCCACCTTACATTATGCACTGTATAGATAGCCTATCGTTTTTTCTTGGGATATTGACATCCTTACATTCTGGCTCAATATGCAATCTGATCCCTAAACTTTTAATTTATCCAATGTGATCATTAAACTTTTGGTACATGTTCAAACTAGTTCAAGGATCACATTGCATATTGGGTTAAAGTTCAAGAACCACATTACACATCCGACCAAAGTTCGATGATCATTTATGTCATTTTCCTTTTTTTCTTTAGTATAATTACCAAATCAATATTGAACATATTGTACGAATATCAATTCAACCCTAAATTTTTCCATTTTGCCATTGTAATCCCTTGAGCCAATTACTGCCGGAAAATCGCTAATGCAACGTCTAGTCATCACTGACTGTTTAACGTGGCACACCGTCATAAACAACTTTAATTGAAACGATATCCTATGTGAATCGCCACATCAGCGATTTCCAGTAGCAATTGGCTGAAATGGCTGCATTGGAATTTCACACAGAGGTTTAGGACTACATCGGCAAAATTAAAAAGTTAAGGGCTGAATCAGCATTCGTACAATAAGTTTAGGACTAGATTAACATTCGTATATATATTTTTATAGATTAACATCTTTATAGAAACAAAATCGAGGATTTTATTTTTGATTTTGTTTGAGATAATTACTATGCTTATAAAAAAAATGGTGTATATTGAGAATATCTTATAGATGTGATAATAAAACAGATTGTTGATCTATTTGTACATTCACTTGTTCATTTATTTATTGTTATTATTATTTAGGGAAAAAACCACCAAAAATCCCAAACTTTACCATCTGTGACACATTTACCCCGAACTTTTTTTTGTGACACCAAAAACCCCGAACTTTGATTTTTGTGACACATTTACCCAAATGTATTTAGTCCATGGGCATTTTCGTCTTTTTTGCTTTTTCTTTTTTTTTCCTTTCCGGCGAGGGGGGGCCTCGCGGATCCGGCGAGGGGGGCCCTCGCTCGCCCAAGCGAGGGCGACCCTCGCCGGCGTCGGGCGAGGTCCGCCCTCGCACAGAGCGAGGGCGGCCCTCGCCCGATCTCGGCGAGGTTGACCCTCGCCGACGCCGAGCAAGGGCCGCCGGCGAGGGTCGACCTCGCCCGAGTCGGGCGAGGGCCGCCCTCGCTCGCCCGTGCAAGGGCGAACCTCGCCGACGCCGGCGAGGGCCGCCCTCGCTCGACGCCGGCGAAGGCCCCCGCCGGGATCCGGCGAGGGCGCCTCACCCGACGCGGCGAGGCCCCTAGCCGGAAGGAAAAAAAAAAAAAAGCAAAAAGACGAAAATGCCCATGGACTAAATACATTGGGGTAAATGTGTCACAAAAAGCAAAGTTCGGGGTTTTTGGTGTCACAAAAAAAAAGTTCGGGGTAAATGTGTCACAGACGGTAAAGTTTGGGGTTTTTGGTGGTTTTTTCCCTATTATTTATTACTCTATTTGAGTGAAAGGTTGTGTCTCTCAAGGACATGCCTTTTGACCGTTTACCACTGAGTTTTACGTTCTGAAGGGATTATGACTGGTAGTTGTATTAAGGGATGAAAGACATAAATAGTTTCTTAACTTTGGCCCAATATACAATATGTTTTATGTGTGGTTCCTAAACTTTTAATTTGTTCAACATAGTCCTTGAATTTTTTGTATATGTTCAAACTAATCCACGAATTATATGAAAATGTTCAGTGTAGTTCCTGAACTTAAATTTATGGAAAGACATAATCCATGAACTAGTTTGAACATGTACTAAAAGTTTAGGGAGCACATTGAACAAATTAAAAGTTTAGGGACCGCATTGCACATTGGGTTAAAGTTCAAAGATAACATTGAACAAATTGAAAATCAAGGGACCACATTGCACATTGAGGCAAAAGCTTAGGGACAATTTGTTTCATTTTCCCTTGTATTAATTAGCAATCATGAAAGTTCCCTACTAGTTCGTCTTCCCTCTGTGTTTGTTTCGGGGTAAATTTCATTATTATGAAATTTATTTTCTTAACTTTAAGTATGTATATTTTCTTTTACCCTAAATAATGCTCTATTAACATATTAGCAAATTAAACGTGTGAAAGTTTAGAAAACTGATTCGCGGAGGATTCTCACATTCAAATAAACACACCCTAAGAAAAGAACATATGAGTGTGAGCATTCTATTTTGGAGAAAGAATTTTCATCGCAGCAAACCGTTGTTGCTTTACAATCTATTGACGAAAATCATCGCCTTTGAGATTGCCCTACTTTCGTTTTCTAACGTGACGTAATTTTCAGCTCTTTTGTTCTAGCTCTCTTGAGGACACTTTTCACCCTTGATGCGAATAGTAACGATAAGCGGCTCGTCTTTTTTTTTCTTCAACATCTCGTCTTGACGCAGCAATACAATGGGAAAAAAAATTCAAGTTGATATTCCTGGTAAAAATAAAATCGATACGATACAAAAAGAAAAGTAAGTTCTTAAACTACTTCATCTAAATTCCGGAACGTAAAATTAAAGAGTAATCTCTGGACGTTGGAAGAAAAACTATTTTTCAACGGGAAGAATGGGCGTGCGGGCACCGTCATGTTAAATAAGGAAAGCAGCACTGTCAGCTCGCCAACTGTATACACCTGAATAGGCGGGACGGTTCCACTCGGAAGGGATAGCTTCCGCTACTTACTTTGGCGAGGGATTTCGGTAACCACAGCAAAGGATGCAAAGTGGGCTTCCACGTAAAAATAAAATCAATACGATACAAATAGAAAAGGCAGGTATGGAGTAGCTTTGGATCTCCACCTTGAGCAATACTTGTACATTCCCATTACGCATGAGCCCAGTTGTTATCAGCCATCGGATCAAAGGCCTCATGCGAGACCCCGCACGACTGGGCGGTTCAGATCAACTGAGCGGTGGTGGATCCGGGAGCAGCTTAACAATAACTCTTCGCTTCACTTATCCGAAGCCGCAAAACAAAAATCGCAAATTCCCCCACCACTCACGCGCCGACACGTATGAGCCCCCGGGGAAAGCGTCCGAACCTTCCCGTCACCGACCGTACCCCCCTCCGCACCCCAAAAGGGGCAAGTCCAGGAAAGGACGGGATCCCCACCGTACGTGTCCGCCACCCGCGAGATCCGACGGCTGGGAGCCAGTTGCAGCGCCGAGAAGGAACCCCTCCGTAAAAAAAAAAATAAATAAATAAATAAAGGAAAGAAAAGACGAAAGGGAAGGGGAAGGAAAGAGAGCCACCTGCCCGGGGGCGGCAGATCCGCCAACCGCGGCGCGACACGTGTCTGTGCACCGTTCCCCCATTTGCCGCCCACCCCCCCTACCCCCCGCGGTTGACAGCTAGGCGGGCCCATGCGATTTTACCTGGAATCGCCGGTCGCCAACCATATCTCAACAAGTCCCCCCTCTCTCTCTCTCTCTCTCTTGCTAAATTTGGCATACGATTCTCTCTCTATCTCTCTCTTCTCTCTCCTCGAAAAGTCTCTCCCATCTTAGGGTTTTCTTCTAATGGTCGATGATCGCTGATTCATTGGAGTCGTCGCCGATCGCGTGATTAGGGATCAGATATTCCTCCTCGACTTCGTGCATCAAGTTCGAGTTTTTCCCGGGCGATCGGAATCTCCGGGGCGGGTGGTCGATTTCGGGTCGTTTCGTGGGCGGGATTCGCTTCCCGTTGGCTGAAGCGGGTTGGAGGCTTCTTGATCTGGGAAGCGGCGCGGCCGGAGGCGGAGGCGGAGGGGGATTGTTTGCGGTTGTTCCGATTCGGAAACGGAACGGCGGGCGCGGCCGGTTTTGCCGGGGGTGGGGTTTTGCTTCTGATTAGTTGAGAGGCGGTTTGATCGGGTTGTTTGGGGGGTAGTTCGGGGGCGGTGAGCTGATTTGGGGGTTCGTTACTGTTGGGAGATTGAATTTTAGGGGCGGTTGATTTGGTGTCGAACTCAGGGAATCCGGGGCTGATTTGAAGCGGTTTAGACTTTGCATGATTTTTTGGGTCGTTTAGTTTTGCCCAGAGGAAACGAGTTGGGAGCTTTTGGGTTTGCTTGCTGGACGTCCTCTGAAGCGTTACTTGATAATTCGAGGTATTTCCTTCTAAAGGGTGAGAGGTCGGTGGCTTTGGCGCCTGAGAGCGAAGGTTATTTTGGGCTCGTTCCTTTGGGATTTTGGGAAATTCATTGGGGGCGCTTGCGTGAAGTGCGTAAGGGAATCTGAAGTTGAATTGTGAAGCGAGGGCTTGTGGGTTAAGAGAGCCTTTCTTGGGTTGGTTTGATCTATGATTTTGGAGGAAATATGGCTGCTGGTGCAGATTTATCTCGTCCGTTCACGGTGTTAGAAGGCGGTTACAATAGGGAGGATATGGCTGAAGATGAGAATTTGGAGAACGCGAGACAGTTGGCAAATGGGAAGCCTCCGAGGCACCTCTCGGTAATGCGGCATTCTGTGAGCTCTGCAAGGTTTCTTGCTGCGTCTGACTTTGTAAGTCAAATATTGGTACTTGAACTGATGGAATTTGAGATCTATGATCATAGTTTTACAGTAAAATCTTTTCCCTAGGGATGACTTATCCAGTTTTACGACAATGACAACAAGATCACGTGATGCATTTTTCCTATTCTGTTGTCTTATTTTAGTTTCTGAATCAACTGTGGAATAGCTTGACCTCTTATGGTCTGTGAAGATTGCGACCAAGCTACTAATTTTCTTTGTCATTAATTTGTTTGGTTTCCTGCTGCTGGAGTTTATATCTGGATATACTGCTTACGATAGGAAGTTTGTTTGCGACAAAGTTTCAAACATATGTTTTAACCGAGCTCATGGCACTTTTGAAGGAATCCGATGTGGGCATTTTTGGAAGCAAGTCTCCTGATGAAAAATCAGAATTTGTACCTGTATTCCGCTCTGGAAGTTGTGCTGAAAGAGGGCCTAAACAATACATGGAAGATGAACACATTTGCATAGATAACCTAGCTGAACATTGTGGGACAATGGCGGGCTGCCCCACTTCTGGAGCTTGTTATGGGGTGAGTTATGTGTAAAATCTTTTCCTTGCACGTTTTGCACTCATGCTTCTTTGATAGGTTGGAGGAAGCATATTAGGCCATTTTCTGTCAAAACTAAATTTAGGATTTATACTATCTGGCTTAGACTTTAGTTGCAAACATTTTAGAATAGGCTGTATTGCATGCTTGACATTAATTAGGCACTGGATACATAGTCTAATGCGATTGTGGTGCTGCTTCCTGTGGACTTTAGGGGGTGATGACTAGTTACTTTCCACAGGCAAAGGGAAGAGAACTTAGTCTCAAGCCAAAAATCGTATAATGCTGCTATGCAATTATTTATCAGCTGAGTCTGAGGTTCCTGTTATGGTGGAATGGTCACCTTTTGTGACACTTTCGAAAGCTCATATATCAGCATGTTCATGCAGGTATTTGATGGTCACGGAGGTACTGATGCAGCATTGTTTGTTCGGGATAACATCCTACGATTCATAGTTGAGGATTTGCATTTTCCAGCCAGTGTGGAGAATGCCATTAAAAGTGCCTTTCTGAAAGCAGATTATGAGTTTGCTGATGCCAGTTCATTGGATATCTCTTCTGGCACCACGGCTCTCACTGCTCTTATTTTTGGACGGTAACTTGTTGACAGACTTGTATGGTTTTCTTTGTACATTAGCTCTAGAAGTTGATTGTGATCAGACCCCTCATTTGAAAGATTGATTTTAGAGCTCGCTTTGAGTATATATCTCTTGTGTGAACAACTGTGGTTATAGATGCGGCATTTAAATACCTGTCTTTTGACCTTCCCGTAACATGAATTTTCTATTTACAGAACTATGTTTGTTGCCAATGCTGGGGATTGTCGAGCTGTTCTTGGGAAAAGAGGGAGAGCTATTGAGCTGTCCAAGGACCACAAGCCCAATTGCACATCTGAAAGGCTAAGGATTGAGAAACTCGGAGGGGTTGTTTATGATGGCTATCTCAATGGCCAATTGTCTGTGTCACGTGCCCTTGGAGATTGGCACATGAAGGGCCCAAAAGGTTCTGCTTGTCCTCTCAGCGCGGAGCCGGAGTTGCAGGAGACCCACTTGACCGAAGACGATGAGTTCTTAATCATGGGCTGTGATGGCCTGTGGGATGTGATGAGCAGCCAGTGTGCTGTTACGATAGCAAGGAAAGAACTGATGTTGCACAATGATCCCGAAAGGTGCTCAAGAGAGCTGGTCCGAGAGGCACTGAAGCGTAATAGTTGCGACAATTTAACTGTCATAACCGTTTGTTTCTCCGAAGATCCTCCACCACGGATTGAGATTCCTCCATCTCGAGTCCGAAGGAGCATATCAGCAGAAGGTCTGAATTTGCTGAAGGGTGCACTGGATTGTAATGCGTGAGCAACAGGAATCTGCCAAAAGCAAGAACATCTGCAGCAGCCACTGAGGGGGGGTCATGGTCCCTACTTTCACCACGGACGACGCACTGCAACCTGCACCAGTTAGTGTGACTGACATGAGTCCCCCTCAGAAACGAGCGAGATGATCCCTCCGAGTCACGATTCAATTCTTCAGGATCTTGAGAGTTGCCGCTCGTATGTGATTATTTATGTTGTAACGATTTGAATTCTTTTTCCCCTCCCATTTATGTGGTTGCCTGAACCACAATGGATGTTCACGATTCGAGCATTGTAAATAGTTGTTAGTCGAAAATCATGATGGCTCTGTTTTTCTCGTCTTCAATTTTTCGGTAACCCATCTCTTCATGATCCTTGCGAGGGCTCATAGATTTTGATGCAGTTCACTTTCGGTGTTATATAGATTGTGGTAAGCTTTGCACCAGCGAGATCTCCGAGTTGACAATACATTACATTCTCCTGGGTTGCGCACAGCGTCAACGGATATCGTTTTGCATAACCAGGCTTAAGCTGGTGTACAATAGTGATCATCGTAGTCAATTTGCCCATTTGTCATCTGGGGGAGTGAACTGCAACCTATAATGTTCCAGATCACGGATCGTTACACCATTCACTGGACGCTGCTACATTATCTGCGCGCTGGCCATCGATCCAATTGTTCGTGTTGCCTGCCAGATGAAGCCAATGGATTTATCTCAATTACATCAGGCAAGGTCCAAGGGAAGCTTTCCTCGATTCATGTTAATTCACTCTGCGATGCCTAGTGCTTAATAATCTTTGGCCCCGTTTGGTTTAGCATTTGGAATACTCATTTGAGCTCTAAAGTCCCTTGGCCAAATGCAAATGGTGTTTGATAACTTTTTTTACTCAATTTAAGGAAATGCAATTGCATTTGAAATACTCTTCAAGGGACTTTTGACCAATGCAAGGGTGAAGGTGCTTTGAGAAGTTGCATTTTCGGAATGCAACTTGCGCTGTTCATCTTTCCCCAGACCGAGGTCCGGCGGCCGGCGACCGCCGCTTGGGGGTCGCGCGACCCCGGCGACCGCCGCCTGGGTCGCCGGACCTCATGTGTCGCCGAGGTCGAGCGACCCAGGCCAGGCCAAGCGTTGCTTGGGTCGCGCGACCCCTGCGACGCCCGAGGTTCGGCAACCCCAAGCGGCGGTCACCGGTTGGCCTGGGTCGCGCGACCCAGGCAACGCTTGGCCTGGGTCGCGCGACCCCAGGCGGTGATGGCTGACAACCAGATCTGGCCAGCGGCGGTGACCGATGGTTAAGCTCCACCGGAGCTTTTTTTTTTTTTTTTAAATGTTAGCAAAAGTCCTTTAGCCTAAATTGATTTTAAAAAACACTTACTAAACACTACTTGCATTTCCAAAAATCCTTTTAACCCAATGATATTTGCATTCCCTCAAATGCATTCCCCCAAAGTAGAACCGAACCAAACGGGCCTTTACATGTTAGACGCTTCAGAATAAATCCATGAAAGTTCATGCCAAATTTCATTAACAAGCATGGAATCGATCCCATACACGAGTCATCACATGCCTTCCATCCTTACTCAGACACAGGACCGATATCTGGTCCTTTTTGTAGTTGGACCATGAGCGGTCCAACTGATCGCTACAAGAACAACCGAGAGAAGATGATGAATCATGCACTAAACAAGCGTTGGTAGTTGATCCATTTCTGAAACATATTATAGTGGTAAACAACATCCGATTCGAAGCCTGTGACATGGCTTTGTCAGTGGATGATGAGGGCAACCCGGAGAGGGTTTCCTCAGTAGTGTACTGATGTCTCTGGTAAGCCACAGGAATAATTAGTTAGTCCAGCATGTAATGTTGAAAAGACAGCTGTTGAACACAATCCAAGATGAAAGCAAAATTTGTGTTACAAAGGAGAAAGAATTCTCGCAATCCCACTTTGGGAGCAGCTCGCTCATTCGGTTACGATCCCATTTTCCTTTCTAATTGTCGTTCAGTTGTACAGTATCTGTTCTCATAGATCTGAAAGACGAGATTTGTCTCGTCATGTTGAATCAGAGTTCTTCCTTAGCATCATCAGCCGGGCCATCCCCATCATGAAAACCACTGCAGAGTAAAACAAGGATTGAGTTGCCTAGCATAAGAAAGAACTATGAAACACCCTAAGTAGATATGGCCATATGCGAATCACAGGTCTGTCTGAGAAAACGAATTCTTTAAAGCTCCAGACATTTCAATTTCACTTAGTACAGAAGCACGCCTGAACATGCTTGTGCAAAGTTGATGTAGATAGAGAACACTCTCCATAAAAATAGTTAGAAAAGAGAAACTCAGTTGATGGAAGAAGGGAGTGAAGGGATGAGACAACTACAACCAGAACGGAAAAGATTTTCCAGAAAAAAATCACTTAAAAGAGAGATTTTGTAATGAGGACAATTTATGGAAGGCAATCTTTGAGAATTAAAACTACCACCTCTTTCTCTAATATACGTTAGAGACGAGATCTTTGCAAGTGTTTTTATTCAAAATTTGACGTTAAAAAGATTGAGATTCGGAAAAACAAAGGTTTAACTTCACAGTTGAGGATGTAATAAATTATCTTCAGCTATTCTCTTGATGATTATAAGCGCTAGTCAACATATATCATGTTTTTACTCACAGCACAATCCCCATGGTCCCACCTGGGGCTGACATTACTTAAAGGATACCTTGTCTGGCTGCAGTGCTTGCTCAAATCTTGACACACAACCTTGGTTACACCTCCAACTTTCACAGCACCTTGTCTTATAAGTTTCGCCAACTGCAACAGACATTAACAGGAATTCTAAATGACCTGTGAAAATACATGTAGAAATGGATAAGAAGTAGCATGTACAATCTCACCTCATCTTCTGTCTCCTCAAGTAACCTGCAATGTTACATAAAAGATATTAGGCTCGTGGATTGATAATTCAAAGGCACTCTCTATTACAAATAAAAGGATAACTTGGGATTGTCATTATAATGAAGCTCACCACGCAACAGCACAAAAAAGAATTCCTACAACTTATTTTCTTTTTGTTTCCTTCAGTGCATTTTTTTTTACGGGGTGGACCTCCTGATATACTCACCTTCCACAATAAGTTGATATAGCTTTGGAATGTGCTCTAGCTTCCTGTTTGTCTAACAACACAACAGAAAGAGACCATTTCAATTTCAGAACTCAATGTACAATATCCTAGAGACTTGTGAGAATTTGAGAGACATAGGTACCAGGACTTGCTAATACAGAATCAACCATATTCAAGAAAGACATAAAATGATTTGAATCAACATCAGTAGACTCCAAAGGACCTCCAAGTTTATTGGGATGGATAATCCTACGGTAAACTACTTGGTCAATTCAAGGAGAGTCATCATCATCATTCATCTTTATCAGAAACTTTTAAATAACACCCATAATGCTGATATAACAGTCAATCCGCATATATAATTGCCAATCTGAACAATATTATGTGTTATAGAAGCTTCTGTAATAGTCATATGCATTTTAGCTGATATCATCGGTTGGACATTGGCGTTCGTAAATGAACCATCAGTAACCAATTAGTTGATAACCCTGTTTTACTTTAAGATTTATGAACCTTATTTGATACTTCTATTGATCGATTCAAGAAGAGGGACATATAATCCACAGGAGTACATGCCATGGACCAATTCATTAATCCCAAGAAATTAGTTCCAAACATTCACAAGATTAAAATTCGCACTTAAGCATATAAAGTAAATCTACGGAATGAAATATTTAAATAAAGCAAGGTATCAGGGTTCAGCATATATCTTTTTAGAATCTTGAAAGGGTAACTTCATCTTCATATATAGATTCTTTATCGTTAAATATTGTTATAAAGAGATTCAATGGTTTCACTCGTTAACTCTTTCTTCCAAGCATGCACTGAATTGAAACGTACATGCACTAATACAAGGTCACAAAGTGCTGCTGGTAATATTTATATATTAGAATGCTTTCGCTCTCTCTGGAGGTAATTCTTGATAATAAGTTCCCTACCGAAATAAATCATCTATTCGACACAGATTTTCTCAGTTATTGTTAAATATCAATTATAAAATTATGAGCTGCACTCAAACAAACAAAAAATGCACAATAAAGCCACTATACACCAAACTTAGAATACATACTGGTCTTCAATTGATCCCAGTCATCTACTTTCACCCATTCTAGTTGGGTAGAATCCCTCTGCAAAAATGAGCAATGAAGCACTTCAGTTCAGATGACCTCAGACAGGCATACAGAAAATTTATACATCTGGAGAGATCGACTGAGTGGATATACAGCTTTCTAACGGTTAACCAAAGCAGGACTGATCTTACTTATTCAAACTGCTAATTACGACATCCTGCGAAAAATCAAACTGGGATGTTCCTATTTGGAACTGCTGCTTTAACTTTAGTAACAATGAAAATAAAAAGCTTGAGTAGTTTTGCCACCTTGTATTACTGCATCAAGAATGAGCCAAGTGAGGCACCCCCTTGGTGCCTCATAGTGAATTTCTCATTAGTTATCAAAAACAAACATGAGAATTACCTTCTCGAGAGTATAATCTTGCATCTCTTCACATAGTCCATCCAGAAGCTCGACCACTCTCAGCTCGCTGACCCTGTTTGATATTATTACAGGTAGCACATAACCATCAGCCAAATCTAATATAAACTTGACAATCACATGACGCAACTGGCCTCTCTAACAAAGAAAGATATGGGTTCAGGAAAACCAAGTCAGACTATAATCACAGAATGCATCTCCTCCAACAACATAAACATCATGGGCATAGCCTTATAAGCGAACTTGTATCATCGTACAAAAGAATAGGCAAAAAAACGACAAGCATTACCTATAATCAATGAGCTTTCCTTCACGCTGACCTCTAGAATCCAAGCGATGCCTCATATCCAAATGATTCCTCGGCTTTTCCTGGACAGAACCAAAACAAGGGAGGAAATACGAAACCTTTTAACACGGACTCATCTGCAGCTAGTCGAATTCGTACAGGAAACAACGTGCGCTCACTCACATTGGAAAGACCGATTTCCAGCTCTCCCTGCCAAAAAAACCATCGGCACCGAAGTTAGATCGTCGACCAACTCGAACTCGCAAAAACTCGAAACGAAAAAACGAGAAATCGATTCCCCCGTGAGAAGCGAGATTCGCCGATACAACAGTAGTATAATAAACCAAGACGAAGTTTTAGGAAACGATCTCTGTAAAATCTTCGCCGCCGGACTGAGCCACGGAACGACGTACCGCGACGGCATTGCAGGCGGCGCACTTGTCGTCGATGCAGTGAGCGAGGGAGAACGCGGCGAGCATCGCGAGCATCCACGCCGCGGCGGTGACGGACTCCGCCATCTTCTCCTGCTCCTCCTCCGACGACGGCGACGACGATCGCTCCCTCAGAGTCTCCGGTCAGCTCACAATTATAAGCGGTCCGTCAAGGAAGTCTTGATCGGTTCAGTCGTCGGGATTCTAGAAATTTCGCCTCTCGAATAACACGATGGGCCCGAGCGAGCCCAATTCACTTGGGCCCAAGAGAGCCCAATTCCGTTGTTGGGCCTCGAAGCGGCCCACATCATGGAGATGACTGACCGCAGATGGGCCCATTCTTACTCCTCCGTTCATCTCTTTGAATTGACACGACGCTGCCGCTGCCGCTGCCACCTACTCAGAAAATCGAACTCACGGTCGACCGAAAAGGCCATTACGACGAGAAAAAAAAAAACAGAATCCACCGTGACGGCCGAATCGCGCCGGTCTCACTGGCTCACGCGGGATCCTTCACAATCTTACAGGTCAGGGGGACGAGCCAGGGGCGGCTCTGTGTCTTTCGACGGCGATCACCATGCCGACAACCCCGGCGACGACAATGTCCGGCACGACAGAATATATAAGACGATGATTCGTGGGTGTCTTTGTGTAATTGCAAACATCTTGTAGTCGACCCATGAAAGGGAGAGGCACAAGGGTCTTGTGTGTTTTGTTACCGTGTTGGGACCACTCCAAAGCCTAAAAACTTCCAATGATTATGGATCATGTGGTACCTCGAAAAGCTACTTCTGAGATTCATGAGACAACCTGGTCGTGTGGTCCAATCTCAATACGATTTCTCGATCTATACGAACCCCTGTCCCTTGATTATTCGAATGACTCGAGACTAATGATACGATAACTCCACCTATCCGAATGTCATCTTATGCCCCTCGACACGACATACAAAAGTAGGCCTAATACCCTAAAAGTCTCCAACTTCAAATTCTGTCCCAATTTTACTCTCTATCTTATTAAAAACCTTTCACTTTAGGTCGTGTCTCAATTCTACCATAACTGTTTTCGTCTCATAAAAAACACTTAACTTTGGGTTTAGTACTAATTTTATCCTAAACTTCTTTTTTGTCTCATAAGAAAATCCCAGCTTTAGGTCCAGTTTTAATTTCACTCTAATTTGTTTGTCTCATAAAACATTGACAACTTTTACTTGAGTTCCAAATCTGCTCTCCTTTAACCCTTAGTCAAAATCTACCGTAGTGATTTTGAGCTCATCGACCTTTCGTGCCTAGGAATGTTCCATCTCTCGCAGTCGGAGAGCTCGCGCTTGGGACGCTAAGCAGCTCGTGCTTGGTCGAAGAGCTCACAGCTCGGGATAATCGAGCAGCTCATGCTTGGGAGGTTTCCATATCTCGATTATCAACGAGAAATTTCGGACGGAGGGTTAATGAGGGCAGATTTGTAACTCAAGTAAAAGTTTGTAGTTTTTCATGAAACTGTAAAAATTTTAGGGTAAAATTGGGATAAGACACGACCTAAAGTTGGGGATTTTTCATAGAATAAAAAAAGGTTTAGGGTAAAATTGGGACATGACCTAAAGTTGAAGGTTTTTTATGGAACAAAAAAACTTATGGTAAAATTAGGACTTGACCTAAAGTTTGAGGTTTTTTAGGATATTAGGCCCACAAAAGTATGTGAATTTGCCATTTTTTTTTTTTGGATTGTTTTCCTCCTTTCGCTTTTCTTATAATGTAGGGCTAAGGCTCAGCAACTAGGTCCATTTGTTTGAAGGAAAACTGTTTCTAGAAATTTATTTTCCAATTTTCTGGTGTGTAAATGACGGAAAACTAATCGATGTGGAATTCATTTTCAAGGAAAAGGTTATTGTCTTCAGTTCATAGAAAATGTTTTCAGTACATTGATTAGTTTTTCTTCATCCAAATACCGGAAAATCGGAAAACAAATTTTCGAAAACAATTTTCCTTCAAACAAACCGATTCTAAAATCGTATTTTTTTCCTCATACAAATTATACGGGTTCATGCTATCCATTAGCTCAGAATGAGAAATTGAAATTATCATTACATTCATAATAGGAAAGGATAAGTGCATTGGAAGATCTAAAACTTATTACAAAAATGCAATTTAGTCCTAAAACTTTTAAAAAGTTCAATTAAGTCCTAAAACTTATCACGAAAATACAATTGTCCTAAAACTTTAAAAAAGTGTGATCAAGTTCTAAAACTTGTCAAATTTGTCCAATGAAGTCATTTCGTTGATTGCATTTTTTTTTTAAAGTTTTATGACTCGATTACATTTTCGTAGCAAGTTTCAGGACCCGATTGCACTTTTGTGACAAGTTTTAGGATTTAATTGCACTTTTTAAAATTTTTAGGACTTGATTATATTTTCATGATAAATTTTAAGACTTTCATTGCATAGGAATTTAGCCTTTTTTCACTTAATAAGAAAAGAGAGAAAAACCGATTTCTTTTTATTCACCAAAACAAGGGAAAAAAAAAGGGCTCTAATTGCCAACCACCCCACTCAACTCTGTAGTGGTTGGACAGCACAATTTAATATATTTTTATAAATAATAATAATAATAATAATAATCACCTTCAGGACTGAATTCAGGCGATGGGCCCCACTATTTCCCGATCATTCCGCTTTTCCGCCGCTTCATCTCGCACGTGCCGCAGTCCCCGCACGTACTAAATGCTCCCGCTCACCTACACCGCCCGTCTGTTATTTTTAAGCAAAAGTTGAAAAGCTTATGTACTGCCCCATCGAAATTGAAGATATTATTCAACTCCCAGAAAATTATAAATCAATTGTATTGCGAATTTTGCTGATCGACATTTGTATATTGTGAAAGTTTCGGATATTTTGAGTTAAAAGAAAAGAGTAAAAATGCATCCGTCGCAGGATTATGATTGCGTAGAGAAAAAAAAACACTCGAAAGCTTTTTTAGAGAGCGATTTTAATGGAAGGAACCAACCGTCACAAAGAAAAAAAAATCACCCATTCATATTCAGAGAACGACCAATTTAGATTTTACAAGTTTGCCTCGTCAATCATCTAGACGGGACGGGACGCGATGGGATGGGGAGAGAGACCTATGTCTTCGAATACTAAATTTCATTTGCGAGATGCACCAAATCAGAATTCTAATAAAAACGTCCGCCTAAAATGGACGTACCTCGATGACAGAATCGTGGGATCTTCACCGTACTTAGATAGGAATACCTAGATGCGGGTGCTTTAATGAATATCTAGGATCCTGATAGGGAAACTAAGCAATTAGATTTTACTATTGTCAACAAAATGGTGATTGAGAGAAGACAAGTCTTCTTCTTTTCTTTTTGAAAAAAAAATCATAAAAAATCTTCAAATTATACGCACCACCGTAACAACTTTTTATCGTGACATCAAGCATCCCAAACTATACCCATTGTAACACATTTACCTTATAAAAAACCCAAAACTTATACTTATGTGATGTATTTACCCTCCCGTTAAGGTTTCGTTAAATGATTTTTCAGTTAAAATAACGTCGTTTTATTTCACCTAAATCATACGAGCGCCGTGTCAACACTGTAATTATACGAGCGCCATGTCAACACTGTATGTTTTTATGGTGTTCATGCGGGCAAGTTTTTCACGGTCATCATTATCAAAACTTTGACGGAGGGTAAACGTGTCACACAGATATAAATTTGGGATTTTCGGCACGAAATAAAAAAGTTTGGATAAACATATCATAATGCGCATAATTTAGGGTTTTTTGGTGGCGCTTCGCTTTTTTTTTTTTTTTTTTTTTTTTGGGACACAGGGAGTAAAACAAATTGTAGAGTGAAAGAGAAGGGGGCCGAAAAGGAGGAGAGGAGGTGGGGAGTCGCTTTAGTGCAGCGATGCCGCGTCGCTTTTTGCTAATTCCACTCCGACCCACGACACGACCTTCGTTTTCTGTTCGGATTATATAGCAAAGCTTCGAGTTTAAAGATCGAGTACACTCTCTGTTTCTCTCTCTTCCTCCTGTCCGAACGATCAATCACTTTCCCATTTCAAGAACTCCCCCCCCCCCCCTCCCCCCCACACACACACACACACACACACACACCCACAAGTCACAGAGGCACACCCACCTTCTTCGTCTCTTCTCTCTCTCTCGAAAAGCAAGAGCCTTTGAGCCAAGCCCACATTCACCCATTTTGGATTGTGGCCTCTCCGTCGCCTCCCCGATGCTCCCCGAGGGACACCGCGTTCTGGGTCTCTCGAGCGACGTCTCTTTCAGGTGATTTGAAGCTTGCTTTTTGTCCTTTTTTTTTCTTTTGAAATAGCTTGATGGGCTCGATCTAGTGTGAGGGATCGCTCCGCTGTTGTCGCTTCCTCCTGTCGTTGTGATCCGGAGGACCCTCTTTATTCCCCTGTGTTCTTGGGTTGGAGTTTGTCCGTAGCGAGTCGCTTGGTTATGACTGGTCTCCCACGTGGGTCGGGTTTGATTCGTTGCTTTGTTCCGGATGGATCTGGGGATCTGGTTTTCGGTGGTATTTATGGGACGTCTGTTCCTGCATTTCACTCTTCTTGCTTTGTGTTAAATTTCAAATTTTTTTTTCATCGGTAGTAATTAACGAGGTCGTCCAGTTGCTGGGAGATAAAAAATGAAAATTTGCTATGAAAGGATGAAGAATTTGAACTGTTGTTGTCATTTCTGGATTTAATGCCCGAGGTGATCTCGTACCGACATAAGGTACTTCATCACCCGAGCTTTGAGTGAGTATAGTTTTCGATGTTGTTTATGCAGTGTGAGGTGTATGCGGTTGCTGCATTATCGAGACTGATATGATTAGTCTTCTCCCGTGATAGTGGCTGTGATTGATTCTTCAAAGTATTTCTTTTGAGCTTAATTTGTTCGTGCTTTGCTTTTGGATGGTGGTAGATGTTATAACGTGAATGGATCGTCATGTGATACAGTGAGACGATGATTGCTTCGACCTGCAAAACGACTGGAGATCAGCATGCTGAGTAGATGGCAGACGACAACTGTTTGCGTCAAGATTTTGAGGCCTTGAGTGTATCAAAACGTCTCATGAGGAGTGTCAGTCACAAATTGAGGAAGAAGAGCCTCAAAAGTGAAGATGAAGACGTTAATGCTATAAGGGTTTCGTTGAGATGTCTAACTTTATATGGCAGAGGTGGAGGTTGCAAGGTGGGTGCTGACACAAGCGAGGAATATGGGGACCCAAGTAGTAGGAGAAGGTCGAGTGCCAGCGAAGAAGGCAGAGGATACGGTACCATATGCGGTACCGAAGAAACTGGAGTGGACTGCTTCTCGTATGGAGTGAAAGAGAGATTTTGGAAGAAAAATACCAGAAAGGATTTAGAACTTGAAGAACCAACCTATAACAGCAGAATGCACATTTTTCTTCCAGATGATATTCTAGAGATGTGCTTGGTGAGGCTGCCTCTAACCAGCCTCATGAATGCACGCCTTGTGTGCAAGAAATGGAGAAACTTGACTTCTACTTCACGCTTCCTTCAGATGAGACGAGAAGGCTTGCATCATTATCCATGGCTGTTCTTGTTTGGTGCAGTGAAAGATGGCTATTGCTCGGCTGAAATACATGCGCTGGATGTGTATCAGGATCAATGGCACAAGATAGAAGCTGACAACCTAAAAGGAAGGTTCATGTTTTCTGTTGCCAATATCCTGGAAGATGTATATATTGTAGGGGGTTGCTCTAGCTTGACCAATTTCGGCAGAGTGGATAAAAGCTCATTCAAGACGCACAAAGGAGCCTTGGTTTTCAGTCCATTGACTAAATCTTGGCGTAAAATTGCTTCTATGAAATATGGCAGGTCGATGCCTATCTTGGGAGCTTCTGAGGTCCATCCAGATTTTTCAGCTACTCAGGGCCATCAAATCCGGCAAGAGAGGCGTTTTAATAGGTCAAGGACGGGTGGTGGATTGGATGTTTATGAGGATCCTCACAGGCTTTCTCTAAGACGTCAACAGAGAAACACTTTTGACGAGAATGATTTGTCGTTTTCCTCTGCTAGAAAGCCACACAAGTTGGTCAGGCAAAAGATTGATCAATCAAGCACAAAGAGCTCTAGAAGGTTCGTGGTTATTGCTGTAGGAGGACTTGGCTCATGGGACGAGCCATTGGATTCTGGAGAAATATATGACTCTTTATCTAATAAGTGGACAGAAATCCAGAAGCTGCCAACAGATTTTGGGATTGTTTGCTCTGGAACTGTTTGTAATGGCATTTTTTATGTCTATTCGGAGAGTGACAAGCTTGCAGGATATGACATAGAAAGGGGATATTGGATTGGGATACAGACTAGCCCATTTCCTCCACGTGTTCACGAGTATTACCCAAAACTTGTTTCTTGTGATGGCCGGCTTTTTATGCTCTCAGTGTCTTGGTGTGAGGGGGATGGTCAAATCGGCAGGAGAAACAAGGCTGTGAGAAAATTGTGGGAGTTAGATCTCATGTATCTTGATTGGAGTGAGGTGTCTGTACATCCCGATGCTCCAATGGACTGGAACGCCACCTTTGTGGCCGACAGGAACTCCATATTTGGAGTCGAAATGTTCAAAATATTTGGTCAGGTGTTGGATTTCATGACAATGTGTGATGTGTCAGAAAAGGGCCCCAACTGGCGTCATATATCAAGGAATCAGATGGCTCATGAACTTGATGCTTCATCTTGCACGACCAAGTCTCTGGCTGTGGTTTATTTGTGAAATCCGCCTAATGAAGTTGCTACTCACCCAGATAGTTTCTGATTTCTATTTATCATTGTGCAGAGCTTTTGAGCATGCATTGCAGATGCAACATTGGGTCCTGCATTTAATTCTTTGATGAAAATGATTTTTGCATGGATGACTGCCTCCTGGTATGTCTCTCATCACTGTTTCCTTTTGTGCTGTGTTTCTCACACCGATTGTACTGGAGGTGCGTCTCTCCCATGTAACTTTTGATGTAAAATTTCATTTCTCCAGTATCAGACTAATCTTGTACTTCAATTTCATTTGCTCTCCATTGCTTCTTCACTTTGGTCGTGCTAGTTCCCTAATTGCCTACTTGACCTGTGACAACCTCATGCCAATTTATTTTACCAAAAGGCTAGTCCAGTATTGATGCTAGTAAGTCCATCTGATAGAACACTGAAATGGGGTATATTTCTAATCTGAGTGCCTGTGGCTGTAATCAGTGAGTTGCTCTTTGTACTTGTTTCCATGTTGGCAGAAATGGGGACAAAGAGGAGTGATTATGCCGACTTACCGGCTACATAGTACTATTGTTCATGTTGTTTCCATTGCTACATGGATTAGTAGCCTACAGCACTTGTTGAAACAGTCAGCAACTTGTTTATTGAATGTACAGTGAAGGTGTGCCATACTCGGTCCATTTCCAAACAAGTGAACAGAGTGTCTAATGGAGCCACCACAGGCATATTCGTTAAACGAGTAATTCAACTATGTTGGAATGCTTTAGCCTGCAACTTTTCTGTTCAGACTTCAGATTGAATGGGAACTTTCTCCGGCATACTTGATTTTTCTCTTAGGAGGCTAGGAGCCATACAAACCAAGGACTCGTAGTTCAGTTTCAGCACCAAGCCTTGTAAGACACATTTGCCTGCGCAGCTATCGACCAAGCTTCTCCTATTCGTCCTTTTTTTGTTAGTGTTTACGTGTTGTTTGATGCAGAGAGCAGTAATTCGGCTCTGAGATTCACGATATCCATATGTCTGCTAGTATCATCTATTACAAAAGTGCTACTCCTTGCCGATACCTTAACCTTTATCCAGAACTATCCAGACAACATTTAGGTGTGAAGAATGCAATAGGCAATATTAAACAGATATCACCAAGTGAGGGGTAAATCTCTAGATACAAATCCACAATACCAATTGTCAAGTGGGTTACATACACTCAAGTTAGATGGCCACAAATTGTACTTAAAGATAAAAAAAAAAAAAAAGCAGCCCTAGGGGAGGATCAACTGAATTCAGCATGATATTTGGGAATATACCCTTTTTCCATTCTGCACTTTGTAAAGATATAACAAACATTTGGCGATGTTGCCAACCGGTATCACTGAGTTGTAAGTGAAGGACTTGAGAGCAGGAATAATTCATCCATCAAGACTGTTAGCTGACTAAAGCCAATCAGAACTTGAGAACACGCAATGCCTACAGTTCATATAAAGAAGAAACAGGATGTACGATGTGGCATGCTCATGCCATGATCAGTATGTGTTGCTGTGTAGGTGAGAAGTTTCTTTCCTCGTTACGTCGCTAGGAAATAGTGACTTCCACGGTCATTTGACTAGTGGACAATTCTGTCTTCACGTCAAAATCCTTCTAGACAATTCCCGAAATCGAAACCCTGCTAGTTTCGACTCTTCGGGGCTATACGCCGGATGATCAGGCTCGAAACAGTCCTTGTATTAGGTGGGATCGAACTTACTGACGGGAATGCACACTTATGAGCACTAATCACATGCTCTACGTCTTGCTGTCGTGTCTGAGAGAAGGAAACAGAGAGAAACCACGGCACAGATGAAAGTACATCATTCTCCAGATGCAGCCAAACTAACTTCTTCTCTGACGACAACCAGAAAGAGGAACAAGAAAGGTCACTACAATCCGTCTTTACTTTGCACGCTGCTTCTCATCACGACTTATATAATGATAAGCCAACATGCAGGATGACCATATAGATTTTCGGAACTTCCAGGAAACGTAGGCTTCTGTTATTCGCCGGTTACACTATAAACTGTCGTGGTAGTGAGAGAGGATGGGGATATATCCAAAGGAGAAAAACCCAATCTTGCGTATGAGCAGTTGACATATAATTCCCAAGAAAGATTAGAACAGTAAATTTACGGCCACAACTTTTCCAAGAGACTCCACAATCAACACACTTCCTCGAGGTCTTGTTATAAACGGTGGACCATCTTTCTGGAAAGCCACGGATTGGAGCTATTTGATCAGACGTCATTTGCGAAGCAATCTACAGCTTAAGATTCGAGAGGAATAGACTTTTACAGAGAGCAAAAAAGGCAATCCAATCATGCAGATACATCCCCTGTTACTCGTAATTAATCTCCAAAGTCAAATCATATATATAAAACATTGACATTATGTTGATACAACAAATGCAGGTCATGTGAGAAAACAGAGGATCGACAGAAGTGGCAATATAAAAGACGAAAGGAAAGATCTAAAAACCCTCAAAGAATTCTGTATAACACTGCCATATACTAACGAGTAACGATCACAACCAATACACTGGACCTCAAAATTGAAAGGCAGCAAAGGAATTTACATAAAAGGTTGGAGAGTGTTGATCTCATGGGAAGTATCTAAATAGGCCTATCCCATGTTCGGGAAGATTCCTGAGAAGTTGGGTATCTTGTCGACATGCTTCAAGGCCCTCTCAGCAATCTGCCTTGTTCGGTAATCAGCATGTTGGAAAGCATCAACTAGTGCTGTACTCACATTAAGATCGCCAGATACTTCGTATGCGATATCCTCAGTCCGTAAGAGCCTCTCAACTGCCCAAACGGCCCATCTCCTCAGGCTATCTGTTCTTTTCTCCATTAACACATTTAAAATAGGTTTAATTCCTTCCACCTCGCACAAGATGGTAACCCCTTGCTCAATATCAACCCCATCCTCTAACAATGTGGATATTGCTGCCAGTGCTGCCTCGACCACTTTCTCATTCGTGTGGTCTAAAAGCGCCACCAATTTCTCTACAGCTTGTCCTTCATAAAGACAAAATGTTTCTCTCAGCGAACATGTTCCTCGGTGAAGCCGACACAATCCTGTTATGACAGGCTGTTTACTAAAACATGGAAAGATTGAAGAACAAAATCCTGGTGGGGGCAATTCTGGCAACCTTGTTAAGTTTCGGGATTCTCTAGACAAGTTCTCCAAGGCCATGGCAGAAACCACCTGTACATTGTCAAGTCCATTGGACTGAAGCAATTCAATGAACAGTGCGGCAACATTGTGCTCGCGGCAGAGTTGAATGGCGCCCGGTTCATCAGGTAGAATAAAAGTGATCCTTGCTAGGATTCGAACAAGCCCTTCTTGATAGGGTGTCACAAAGCGGATGCCTCTTGTCTCTCCCTGTCGTATCCTTCGCACTCTGTAAATGATCTGCTGAAAGGCACCATCGTCTAGCATCTGCCGTGTGAGGCCCAAATCCCTCTCTGGGAGCTCAGCTAAAAGTCCAGCAGCTGCTGCTTGCTCTTCAGTTATGCCTATATTTTCTGTAACTACTCTCATTAAGCTCCCAAGCTGGCCAACTGTGCCACGAAGGGCATCTGCTAACTCCTGGTCCATATGCGGGGAAAGGTGCTGCAGAAGTTTAACAGAAGCTAGACGCAAATCTCTCTGCGGAGCCTCAATAAACTGAACCAAACTGATAATAGCACCAGAGCTTTTGATGGCAGCTACGACACTCAGAACAGTAGCAGGAGAAATGGCGAGCCCAACAAGAACCTGAAGAAGCTTACACTCAATTGCCGGACCAGTATTGCTAATAAGGTGGAGCAGATTATGGATTATGTCTTCTGAGACTAAAGTCCGATGGTCTGATCCCACAGGTATGCCATCAAAATCAATGCCTGAGTTGACAATGTGGGCGAGAATTGTTGCAGACACCTCTTTCAAGCGCATTGGAAGTTGATTTGCACCGACAGTGAAGAGATCTTTGACAAGAGGAGGAAGAATATCAGCATCTACCAACACTTTGGCACTTGCTTCACAGGAAATCTGGTTTAGAGCTTTTAAAGCAGCTTCTCTTGACTGAATGCTGCCGCTTTTCATTAAATTGATCAGTGCAGAGCCCACCCTTCTAGCTACAAGGACCTTGACATCATTGTTAAGAGCCAGCTCACCAAGAAAACTAGCCATGGAAAGTTTAGTCTCTTGAGACCCTGCATCCACAAATCAACAGCATATACGTCTCTCCCATTAAAATGGTAAAAGAGGATCATAGTTGCTAATGCAAGACAATAAAGCTCAAGCTTGCAGTAACAATTGATTAAGCAGATGCACAGTTCGAATCTGTCATAACAACCCTAGTCAGATTAACTTAAAGCAGAAAATTTTAGACAGAAACTCCATTAGGAGCAGGACCGTCAGCTCATTAACACAGTCGCGGTCACATGAGACACCGAAAGCAGGCATTGGATATATTCTGTGAAAATATCTTAGACAGGAGAATGCAAATGGTCATGTCTCCACCAGAATTTCTGCACTTAATTTCATCGAAAAACTAGACTGACCCTCATGGAAGTTATCTTGTTCTAATAATGTCCAAACTTCCACACCTTGTTGTCTCTGATCTCTCAGAAACCTAATGCTTATTTCAGCTGGGAGTTAGGAGAGACTAAGGATCATTAGACATTATTTCATGCACCTCAAAATGGAGAGTACGAACTGCCTTAAAAACAACATACCATCATTTGATTTTTTGTTCGGGTAAAACACAAAACTAATGCTTAAGAATCTCTGCCAATTTTAATGGGAAATTTGGTTCACAACTTCTTCAAGAAGCATCATCTTGTTTGATCAACAAAGAAACAAAGGCATTCATGTAAGTGCGAGTATCCAGAAAAGCACCTTCAAGCAGTTTTGTCAGAAGAGGCTGCAGTCTACCATTCTCAGCCATCTGCCGCACATTGTTCTCGCAACTCTCCAGATTCTCTAGCGTCTTCTCAGCCTTCTCAACAGTCAAAACATTTTCCGATTTGCTGCTAGACATTCCAACCAAAATGAGGATAGCCCCATTTACTGAGCCAATCTTTTCACACAAGGACTCGGATTTGGAGAGCTCATACAGCAAAGAAACAGCTTCTTCCCTCTCCTTAGACTGCTCATGAGACAAGAATTTAACTATTGTGCGAACAGTGTCCCCCTCAGCAATTATTTCCTGCAAGACATCAGACAGGCAATGAAAATAGGCAACAAATCAACAAGCCATTAATTGTACTTGCTATTCCTAAAAGTCAACCAGTAATATGAAAGATTCAAAACCTTAACATCTTCATCTTCCTCCACCGCAATTCGAAGGGTATCAAGAGCTTTGCACCGGACTCGACGACTACCACCCTTCAACAATTCAACAATCATAGGTACGAGAGCTGCATTGCGCACTACATGCTTGTTTATTCGGCTTTTTTGACAAATGTGCTGAATATACTTTAGCGCCTGCACAATGTCACTTTCTGAACTACCCAAATTTAATGACCTGCGTGCCATATCAAGTTGAGCAGTTTCATTTCTAGCAGTCCATTCCTCAATTGTGTTCCTCAAAGCTATACTAGGTTTAAGCTCTGTGCTTCTCAATTCCTTTTGTGTAAGTGGGCAAACCAACTTTCTTCCGTTCTCTCTGCATTCTTTAAACCAATTCTCGATGGCCTCACGTTCAAAAGTTTGTCCATTCTCTAACGTCACAGGATCACGCATGACTTGTTTTGTCAAAGGGCATATGAATGCATCATAGAGGGGCTCAATATGCAGTCTGTCAAACTGATGGCTTTCATCTGACTGGCTGCCAGTATCATGGCTTCCATCGCAACTTCCTGCCATCTGATCCAGATCTCTGACTGCGAAATGATAATCAGAGAAAGGCTGCATGTTAATTTCTTTGACAATGAATAAGAGTAACAAGATTGTCACCAAATAAGATCCATAAGGAGATAAATCCTGTTAAAGACAAATGTGCAATAACCACACGTGCAAATAAAATGTCAGTGATTCAATACCACCATTTCTTCCCATAAATGCAGCAACACTTGCTAAGAGAAAACTCATGCATGGATGAACACCATATGGGTGGCTAATTGTAAGTCCAGCAGCCAGAGGTGTCATGGTCGCATAGGCAAAACAGACACGAATAGTAAGTCTCTGGTTTGAGAGGTGCAAAACATGAGCTGCCAGATGTATAGTTAATAATCGCATGCATCAAATAATTTATTCGGATAAGTTATACAAGCTGCTTAACGCTGGTATTAAACTATTTTGCCCATTGCAGTTATGCTATTCCTAAGTCGTGCATACACGTTGATGTGGACACAATTGCAGAAAAGTTCCTGAAGCGGTACAAGGAGGCAGAATTCAAGGAAACAGGCCTGGAAGTAAGATGTGTCTACTATGGAGTGAACAGCTCATAACTTTTGATCCGGAAGGAGTTTCAGGTTCCATAAGGTAACCTCCTGGATCGTTTGTAAATTAAGCCTCATACAAATAAGATTCCCCCAAATGACCTCATGTATATTATTTTTAGTACGCGATCAAGTTCAAAACAAATAATATCTACTATGCTTCCGTTGCGACTCTAATCAGGATCTCGATCCCCCTATTCTCCCTAGCTAAACAAGCCTGGAAACACTATAACTCAGCCTCATAGCTGAGTAAGCGATTGTCGACTGAACAAGTAACCCACCACCTTAGATTAGGATCAAGCATGATAAGAAAGATACAAATCATAAACAGTACAAGAGTGAATCGTACATGGTAAACTATATTTATACCACAGTCTAGTCACCATATACACTATCTGCACACCTTGATGCCACATCAATCGTTCCATTGAGCCTATCACATGTCTGAAACGACTACAGGGATTCACATGCTAGTACAATTTAGACTCTGTGTGTTCATATAAACTAACATATGTCTCTTTGTGTATAATCTCGCTTGCTACCCAATCAAGTATAGTCAACATTCCAATCATACTTTTTATACCAAACCAATTTAAATGGTCGTAGAATGCACGATCATGATGTTTATGAAAAACACTGGAAGAGGGGTGAATCGCTTACACTACAGCCACATGCATGAACCATCGAGATTTGATTCAAAACTTATTCCTCGTGTTCTTCATTTGTCGTTCCTCCATTAACTAAATTCTCTCCTTCCCTCCCTCCACCAATACTCCTATTCTTACACCAAACTCAGGTCATGATTCATAAAGTCTAGGTATCACACAATACCTATCTGAGAAGCTTGTCAGGAGCGTCATATTGTGGTGAAATCAGAAAACCTTTTGCGGTCATTTTAGGATCTCAAAATCCATTTCCTCAAAATGTTTCGGGGCAATTTTTATTTTTGGGCTTGTTGTCAGCATTTTTATTGTTTAGACTCTATTCTCGAATAATTAGGGTTTCAAGTGTATTTTTATTTTCGTTATTTTGTTCAGTTTAATCATCTGGTCGCCTCTTTACGAAAATGCTGATTTTGAGAATTCTCTTGGTTCCAATTTTGTTTGCGTGGACCTATGAGTGTGCGTGTGAGTTTCCATGGCGTCACACCTGGTCAGCCCAGATAAATCATCAAGAGATAACAACTAACGATTCTTTCATAGACTTCCACATAAACATAAGAAAACCAATATGCAACCGCAATCCGATGCCCTTGCCACGGGGATGATGATCATCATCAATGAATGGTCGTTTCTTTTTCTGGGGGTACCGTGCGTTTACAACGATTTCGCAGGACTTTCGGCACGTTAGGCACAAAAGGGTATAAAGATAGGATAATGGTAAGAATCCATTCATGACATCCAATTGTGTAGGGTTTGACGTGAAAAACCCCCAGAAAAGGGACAGATGTGCGGCCTCTTAGAAGGAGAACCAATATGGAATGAGTTGAACCCAGCTACCAACAAGCCAAGGAAGGGGGAAAAAAAAACCCCAATACAAGCCAACTGCCAAGAAATCAGCTCGGCCTATCCATGGTCAGGCGTGTATATCGCGGCCGAATCACCGCTCGCCAAAGCTAGAACTGAAAATACAGTCGAGTCAAGAAACTACCCTCTACCCCCCCTTCTAGCTCAGGCAATTATCAATTATTAACTTTCCTCATCCGCGATTGCCGATCATTAATGGGCACGACTTCGATCGCCGCCGCACAGCTCAGGGTAAAAAAGATTTGCTTGTCTACTGGGACCAGTATATAACCGTCGCGAAAGACGATCCACTTCCCAATTCCAGTACGGTGGAGATGATTAAAACCAAAAACCCACTTTTCAATCACATCGTTACCGCCGAAAAAGAAGAAGAAGGAGAAGAAGAAACTAGACGACTCGAGAGGACCGAAGAGCGGGAATGCGATTACCTCGCTGCGGATCCCACCGGAGAGCGTCTCGGAAACCCTATTCCCAGCTCGATGACGCCATCGCGCGGTCCTCGGGATAGGAACCCGCCGCGTGCAAAAGCGCCGGGATCGCCGCGGCTCGTGCCGGACGGACCGGCGGCGTAGTCAAAAATAGGAGGGCGAAGAAGACGGCGACGGCGGCGGCGGCGGCGGCGGCGGCGAGCTGAAGTAGTAATGGCTCCGATGGCGGTGGATGCTCGCAATCAATGAGACGACGTACGGAAGAGAGAGAGAGAGAGACGGGGTGGGGGAAGGATGGGAGGTGCGCACAGTGGTTGAAGAAGAAAAGCGAAACGAAGCTTAGAATCGGAGAGAGAGGAAGAGGATGAAATATATAATTAGAAAGAACAAAAAAACAGAGTAATCCCAATTTGACCGAGGATGGAGCCAGCCAGCCAGCGAGAGAGAAAGAAGGTTGACCCCGCAGCGAATAGTCGTCGGTCGTCACAAGCCCCTCCCGCGACCAAACCCCGACCAGAAGGACCGGCAGACGGAGAACCGGACAGGCCGGGTGGGCCGGGTGGGCCGGGCGTGGGGGGGATGGTGGCTGCTCTGCTCGACCTGACCTGGCGATAGGGTTCTGTTCTCGTCTTCTTCCTCTCCTTCTTTTCGCTTACGAGGATAACGACACGAACAATTTCGAAACTAATGGCATCAATATGTAACGTGATTCATGAATTTTTAATTTGTTCAATGTGATCTTTGAAATTTTAACCCGATGTTCAATATGATCTCTAAACTTTCAATTTGTTTAACGTGATTCCTGAACTTTTTTGGCACATGTTCACTATAGTATATGAACTATACGAAAATGTTCGATGCAGTCCATAGACTTGAATTAATGAGAGAACTACATCGAACATTTTCAAATAGTTCAGGGACTAAATTGAACATGTACCAAAAGTTCGGGGACGATATTGAACAAATTAAAAAGTTCTTGGACCACATTATACATTGGGCCAAAGTTCGAGAGCTGTTTGTGCCATTTTCGCTTCCTTTAACAACGACAGAGAGAAAGAGAAATCAAACAACCAAGAACCAACCGTCCATGGGGACCATGATGCCCCATCACCCTGTGGAGGTCGCTAATTTACAAATCTTTACCCCCCCCTCCGGCAAAACCACCGTCGAGTGCTCGAGCCTCGCCGGTGCTTCTTGATATGAGGGGATCGCGAGGAAACGGCATTTGGGTACGATGCGTCGCGACCGCGAATTGCTCTCTCGCGACCGTGAATCGGTCTTTCGAGAGACCCATAAGAGTCGCGGCACGGGTCCGCTCCGAATGGGTGGGTCGGGAGGTAAAATGGAATGGGGCCGGGACCCATTAATGGGGTCGTTGCGTAGGAACAGGGGTCGCGTACAAGTCGGCTCGTGTATATTAATTAGCCTTAGGACTTTGCGATCGTACGGATAGGCCGACGATGGGATTTCTCATTGGAAGCTCCTAACGAATTTAGCTCCATTTAATGACCCATTATCACTTTGGTCTCTGAATAAACCCATCTTGTAAATCGGATTAACCTCTGACACAAGAAGCATTTTTCATCAAAATCCGGGTGTTTCAATGACAGCAAGCTTGGTTTTTTCCCCATGTTATTCAAGCGTTAGTACTGAAGTTTATTGGGGATAATTGTCCAATAAATACTAAACCTGTTGTACGACGGTCAGTCCTAAATTTCTCGATTGTGTCAATTTAGTTTTAAACCTATTGTACGTCGGCCAACTTAGTCCTAAACCTTTTAACAATTTGCAAATGTAATCCTTCCGAGTAATTTTGGTTGAAAATTGCCAAAAGGACGACATTGACAAATCGTTAAAAGATTTAGAACTAAATTGATAAACTGTCAAAAGATTTAAGACTAAATTGACACGATTGAAATGTTTAGAACTGAATTGATCGCCGCAAATTAAGTTTAGGATTGAATTGGAACAATTTAAAGGTTTAGAAATGAATTGGCTGCCGTACAACAAATTTAAGATTTATTGGACAATTATCCCAGTATATCTGTCAGGGTCTGCTACATTTGTCGCGAAGAGAGAGAGCTAAAGTTCTGCGGCAATATGCTCTCGCGAGAATGAATGTGGTGTGCCATGTGCTGAGAATGCAAGCACTGTGCATAAGTGATCTCAAAACTTGGTTATATCTGTGTATTACGAATTCAAAATCCGTCAGCCCGGTGACTAACTTATAGAACTGAAAACGGACGTACCGGTACAAAATTGAACCCCGAAACATCATCTTCCACGCGCTCGCTTTTGTCGGAGGCTTCAAGAAATTAGAATTAAGCCAAGTACTCCTTTAGGTAGTCAAATGGGTTGAAGGGAGAACCTCAACAGAAGTTCTCGAAGATCCGAACAAAAAACCCGTCTTTTCCCAGAATCTCGAAGAGCATTCCACAAGGGAAACCGCTCGAACCAGTGGATATACAGCATGTGACCACATCATACTGGGCATCAGCAGATTTCTTCGGCAAATATGATGTCATAGATGAATTGCACTGCAAAAAAGAAATGAAAGAAAACAGACACCTTGAGTGCATAGTAATGAGCAGAAAGTTTAGGCATGTTGACGACAGAACAGCATACAAATAGACCAACTGCAAGCAATGGCAAGTGAAAATCTTAATAGCCATTCGAAAAGGTAAGTGAAAATCCTAATGCTAACTAAATCAGAAGTTCAAGCTCAATGAAGCAAAAGGATTTAGAAGCTGGAAAGACCATTATCGTTATCATTCTCGTCGATCACACCGCAAGTTCTGTAGGTCGAGCATCAGCTCATATGCCTTACTAACATGAAAATCAACAAACCTAGTTTCCCAGTCAAGGGAGAACTGGTTCCCAAATCTTACACGTAAACAGCGATGGAAACTTGAAGAACATCGAAATCTCAATCATTTAAGAAATGGAGGCCAACCAATGCCGACATGATTCAATACTGTCAATAGCAGCTTTTCAGTTTAATTTCTCTGTAGTGTTTGAAATCACCAAGAGGATCAGCATAAGATAGCTCACTGTTCAAGACAGTCGTTCATACACCCAACATGAATACGTACCTTCCTCTTTGGGAATGTTAGGCTGATCAACCAAAAGTTGCTGGAGTGCATGCAGGTCACTCGCACTGCAGTGTGAACCGTACAAGAACAAATTATTTAAAAGTGTGCATATCAAGAACCTGTATGGTAATTGCAAACTCTACATATTCCTTGGAAACCAAGAGTGAACATGAACAAGTATACATCAATATCCCTGAATGGAGATCATGGAAGAGGAATGAATGGCCAAATTATTGAGATTATCAATGTAAAAATACAATTATACAAACTCAAGATGATACAATACTCATTGCAGCCTCACCCATTAGAGACAGTTTCAAGTACCTTGGTTTCAAGACCAGAGTTGAAAGTGCCGATACAACTGACGATTTCAAAAAATACCTAGCAAAACAAAGGAAGATGTTCTAAAAAACATATCAACTTCAAATTGCATATACTTTGATGCGGGGGACCGTAGGCTATGCTATTGGAGCATGTGAAGAAAGCCAAATGCTAGGACAGAGAAAATTATAAGAACTAAAAGAACCTCAGAAATGAACAAATGCAAGCATCTGATAAAATCATCTAGATGGGGAAAAAGTCATTGTGGTTGTTCAAGTGACTAATGCTGTGCTAGATTCATACGAAAACTCATTCTAGTTGAAGCACCATATGGGTGAACAACCGTCTTCCCAAGTTCGAAACTCATTTGCAACTTGCTTTATTCATGGAAATACAACAACCCTGGCCCTGGAGGCTGGAACAAAATCCTGGGCTGCAGATTTTAGATAAATTCAACCTCCGACCGCTTTGCTCATTGAAAACCTCAAGCATTTCTCCTAAAAGAAGATCTCTCCAGTCCACAAACTAGGCATCAGCGAGGAAAAAGGTCGTCTTTCCAAAAAGAGAAGTTGCATACTCTGAGCAGTGCATCTCATAGAGAATCATAAGCCCATCCAAGCAATCTTGAAGACATGGTTTCACTCCCACTCGCTGCTGCAGATGCTTGACACTGGGCTGCCGAGATCCCCCTTTAACAAGTTGCTTGCCGTCTCGATGGATCTTTTCAAGAGACATGACAACACCATGGAACTCCTCCCTGAAAAATTTCACCAATCCAATGACATACAGCCAAATGAAAGTCACAACCAAAAGTATCTCTTGTCCTACATCTCTATGGCTTGGTGGAAGCAAAGAGATTTTCATGAATTCTTTCATCTTTTTTGAAAGCTAAAAAAAGATCGGGAGGGGTGAATAGCGCTTACGACCCCCTCTAGGTGTTACCACAAGGGTCTCACACCTCTATGTAACATTCGGTTTGAGCCATACTACTCCGCACCACATTTCAACCCGAAAGTCTGAGGTTATGCTAGCAGACAGAAAGTCTCTTCACACGAGGCATGCCGCGACTAGACAACGCAGCACAAGCCCGCTCAAACATTCGCTCACGAAGTAAATCAAACTCTTGAACAAGTGACCCCTTACCCACTAGACCAACTACCTAGCGGTGGAAGTGCTGAAACCCGCACAGGAATTTTGCCAAACATTTGGTGCGCATTGTCTAGGCTTACATGGTCTTCCTCATTGAGAGCAAAGTGGCTTCCAATGACTCCATCTGCTTAGTCCAAACAGCTTCACCAATCCCACCAACAGATTTCAGGGTACCGTAGTTTTTACCATCCCGAATCACCTAACAGCGAGATTACCAGTTCAATTTGACTGTAAAAAAACAACAAAAAGGGAAAAACAAAACAAGAAACATTGAATTCGACAGAACAAAATCCAACGACGATACCTGCAATCTGTCCATGATCGAAGAGGCGTTTCTGAACTGCGAGACCAAACGAACCTGAAGCTCCCCCCAACGATCCATCTCCTCCCGGACTCTCTTGAATTTCTGCTGGAATTTTCTTACCTCCGCCTCCATTCTTCTCTCGAGTGTCGAAGTTTTAAGACGCGCCGATCGACCGTGTATGGAATTTGCCAAAAAGAAGATGTTCACAGCAATTCTCGGAGGTTGGTCCAGGTTCTTGTCATGTTTGAGCTGTGTTCAAATGTCTTCTTGACCATAAATTTCTGTGTCAGTTACACAGTAATTTAGATTTGATAACGGGTTAATACCACGAAAAACCCTAAACTGGTACATTTGTGACACATTTATCTCAAATTATTTTTTTGACCATAAAAAACCCCAAACTGGTACACTGTGACAATTTTACCCCGAACATACCACAAAAAATCCCAAACTGGTACACATGTGACAATTTTACCCCAACTAATTTTTAATATTTTTTTGAATTTTTTCTTTTTTCTTTTCTTTTCTTTTTTTTTTCTTCACTTCAACCTCTGGCCGGTCGCCGGTCCGGCGACCGGCCAGAAGTGGAAGCCGGCGAGGGCCGCCCTCGGTAGCCGCTGGCGAGGGCCGCCCTCGGTAGCCGCTGGCGAGGGCCGCCCTCGCTCAACTCGCCAAGAAGGCGACCCTCGCCGGATCTAGCGAGGGCGGCCGCCGCGCCGAGCGAGGGCCGTCCTCGCCGACGCCGGCGAGGGCCGCCCCTCGCCCGACTCAGGCAAGGGTCGTCCTCGCCCGCCCAGGCGAAGGCTGCCTCGCCCGAAGCCAGCGAGGGCAGCCCTCGCTCAACGCAGGCGAGGGTCGCCCTCGCCTGAGTCGGACGAGGGTCGCCCTTGCCTCGGGCGGGCAAGGATGCCCCTCGCCCGACGCCGGCGAGGGCGCCCGACGCCGGCGAGGGTAGCCGACGCCGGCGAGGGCAACCCTTGCCGACGCAGCGAGGTCGCCCGCGCAGATCCGGCGAGGCGCCCCTCGCCGATACCGGCGAGGGCGCCTCGCTCGAGCCTGGCGAGGATCGCCTTGCCCGACGCCGGCGAGGGCGGCCTCGCCGACGCAGCGAGGGTTGCCTCGCCGGATCTGGCGAGGACGCCCTCGCCCGACGCCGCCGAGGGCGGCCTCGCCGACGCCGGCGAGGGCCGCCGCCGCCTGCTCACTGGCCGACGGGACGGCGACCGCCGAGGTTGAAGATAAAGAAAAAAAAATAAAAGGAAATAAATAAAAATAATAAATAAAAATTCGAAAAAAATAAAAAATAATATTAAAATTTTAATTCAGGGTAAAATTGTCACATATGTACCAGTTTGGAGTTTTTTGTGGTAAGTTCAGGATAAAATTATCACAGATGTACCAGTTTGGGGTTTTTGATGGTCAAAAAAATAGTTCGGGGTAAAATTGTCACAGGTGTACCAGTTTGGGGTTTTTTATGGTAAAAAAAATAGTTTTGGGTAAATGTGTCACAAGTGTACCAGTTTAGGGTTTTTCGTGGTATTAACCCTTTGATAATCACCAATGTCTATGAAAATCTACAGGTACACAGTGTTACGTACTAATGCGAAAATTACCATGAATTAAAATTGATATGAACAAAACAATACACAAAATTTACTTGAAAAACTCTTGCGGGAAAAACACAAAAGGTGGCTCGAAAAACCTTAAAACCCTTTCTGTCTTTGCTTAAAACCTAATTACTTGAGAAAAATAATATTTATATCCCGCTACCAACACTAAATCTCGACTTTCTTTTTCTCAAGTCGGATCGCCGCAAATTTCAATTCAGGTATCAAAACTCAAATTGGGTCGAATGCCCGAAATAGAATTCAAAACATATTCAAAGGTTAGGATATCATGGTTTGGGAGTTGGCAAACTACTGTTATGTATGAATTTTTTATTTAGAGTAAAAAAAAAATAATTACTAATGCCTATTTGTTTTTTTTTTTTGGTCTAAAATGCCTATTTGAACATACTATAAAAAATACATTGAACTTTTTGGACCAATTCATGTTTTTGTTTTACTGGTATCAATCATACATAACATATATTTTTATCTATATATATATATATATATATATATGTTATATATATACACACACTCAAAATGAGTTTGGCAATTATATGTTTTATTTCTCAAATGAGTACGGAAATTTACCGATATTTATTTGATAAAATAACACCGACTCGAGGCACTAATATTAAGTTGAAATGCTACAACAAAAACTGTGTAGTCCGCTAAGTGCTCGTAGATGTATCCGGAGTTATGGTTATTATGATTGGTACTTTCAATTTCGGACCGGGTTAGTAATTTTTTCAAAATTTTATATTAAAAGAATGTTGTTTTGCCTGCTTGATGTGAAAATCGAAATCAATGTGTATCAGCAAATTGATAGAACACTTAATAATCTCCAAATTTAAGGCTACATAGCTAGTTAGTAAATTGACGAAGACAGTCATAAATTTCTTTTCTCAACAATGGCCAGTGCCCATTTGACATTCTCATCAAGTGAGACATTTGCGTGATAAGTTAATTAAAGAAGGGAAAAATTAATTTATTCTCTGGAAAGATATCTAACGATAATTAGAATATCTTCGACCAAAAAAAAAAGAAAATTAGAATATCAACAATTATGTTACTAAAAGTGTCGATACTATCTTTCTATATTAGGTAAAAAGAGCAATAAGATTTTTATTAGACTTCCGCTTGTAAAAACTTCTTTTTTTACTTCAGTTCATGAAGGTTGTTGACATATTTACACAAAGGACCCTCCCACTGCTCAGTCCACCAGCAAGCACAAATCACACTGTAAGCAGGATGCAATGAGCTTGACATAACAGAGCAAAACCACACCGAGCCGGGTAGCAAGGGAAGACAGATCGGAATATACATCACAAGAGTCTGTATGAATAGTATTAGACACGCGAAAGAAAAGCAATCTCTCTTCTCGTCTCGGCGTCCTACAAGAATGAATACATCGTCCCCTGCGAAAATACAAGGCCACATCGAATCACATTACAAAAACCCAGCTCTGTTTTCCTGCTATACAGCATGCAAAACAAAAAAATTGGCTTACATAACAAACTAAAAAGGGCAAACCCGGGGAAAAAAGGCAAGGAACATTTTGTAGCAAACAGGACAGAAATGGCCGGCTAGAAGGCGTTCCAGTTGTCTGAACTTTTCTTCGAAGTCTGACTCTCCGAAGAAACCTTAAATGGACCGGAAGTACCAAATGGATCTGAATCATCGAAAGAAGAGAATCCACGACTGTGGCCAAAGTCCTTGGTGCTATTAATGGAGTCAAACCTAGTAAGCCTCTCAGGTTGTTGGGGATAAAATCCGCTGTCGTGGGTTCTGAAGGAATCGAACCTCGAGAAGTTGTCAAAGTATTGATCCCCTGCTTCGCTGTATCTTGGCGAGGAGTTGCCAAATCTGGATATAGGAGTGGCTGGGACAGAATCATCGAAAGCGAAACCACTCCTGGTTTGGAAAGCATTATCTGCTCGTGGGGAGCCTGTTTGTCTCGGGTTTACTCCAAAGTCACTCGATGCAAAGGAATAATCACCATGTTTCGAGTCCTGCAATTCGTCAACACAGGATAACAATTAAAAGAGAAGATTTTTCTTTTTTCGTGTAAAAGCGAGAAGAATTGTTAATGAGTCAAGCAGGATGAGAGGTGCATAACGAAGAACCTCCATCTACAAAACACGCACACAATGTCTGCAAGCAGAACAAACCAGCAAAAGCCAAGAATTACAATCAGAGATACAAATTATATCTTCTTTCTAAAAAAGTGCGATGACTTTGCACATCCAGAAAGGTCATGCCAAAATAAATCTTGAGAAAACACATCAATTGAAGATGTCAGCTAGGTTGGACAAGCATAGTGCTAAGCACTAGAGATCAAGATCCCCCCTCCCCTCGTTAGGTATCATAAGATTGTGAAGGGCTATCCTATTATGTATTCTAGTCGCTTCACAGAGTGTTGAAATTGTTTTGGAAGGACTCTCTTGTACGTGTCCAAGAAAAGCAATAGGGATCGGGATGTCAAAGGGAATATATACAGAAGAAATAACATCGGGTTCTGACAAGGTGTTTGCTCGTTCCAATATATACATTTTCATAAGAAAGCCATCTTTAACCATGTTGATTCAACAAGCATTCAATGGACATTAGGCTAAACACTTAATGCACAACCAAACAGAAACATCCACCAGTTAGCACCGTCTCACCTTGGTACTAAATCCCCAGACTGAGTCCACGTCATCGTTATTGTCAAAGGCACCCCAGGTTGATTCATCAAAACTTCTGCTCCAGCAATTTAAGATATTCCCAGATCATCATGGGGCCAAATAGAAGGTTCAGTATTAGGTTGGTAAGGCGTGACAGAATTGTGAGGAAGAGAAAAATAGACAACATACCTGTGTGTTTCAGCATCTGCTTCAGGACTCTTTTCAAAATGCGCATCTGAAAATACTTGAGATGGACTCCCTACAGAAGTTCTACCTACCGGACTTTCATGAGGGCTTCTTGCTGATTCATCTTCACTATGGGCGTATTGATATTCATTATCAAAAGCATGTTCCATGGTACCCAAAGAGTTCTGAGGCTTTTCATCAGGATTAGAGATAGAATCATGGTCGAAACCATTCTCGGTAGAAGCATTCTCTCTCTCGACAGATGCTGATTTTGTTTTTGAAGGGACAGAGACGTTCTTCCCATCCAGATTCAAGTCATTGACAAAGCCTGAAGGAGAAAACTATAATCCTTAGTCCAAATGCTACTTAACCCCACTATTCAATGATTAAAAGAGCCCAAAATCAGTCACTGAAGGAGAAGCAGACACTGCTGGAAGATTTAAAAGAACAAAGTCACAATCGAAAACCAATATGGCACCTTCATCTTCAAACTTGTCCCAGTCTTCATCCCAAACAGCAGCTCCCTCCTGAATCCCAGGCTGCCAGCCTGAAACATTATTGCAAATAAAATAGTGATAACACACTCTTGGTCAATAATTTCAGTATGAACAAAAACATTCAAAGAAAATAGAGCTAGTATAGAGATGGACGATTTAAATAGCAATCAGGGGTCCCATGATGCTTGCTTTGAGGTTGTCATGCAAGTGAGATGAGAAGGACATCGTATGAAAAGCCACAGGTTGTCATGCAACTGTATCTATGAAATTGTCTGAAATATATATTGTTTAAACTGTTTACTTTCATCGATTAAAGGAAACAATAAATCTTCTAATACTGGTCCGGTTAGTACAGACCCATCCAAGAAGCATGTTCTGCATTTAATGTAGAAAGAAAGGAAGTTCTTCAACACGTGAAAATATCAAGGTGCTCACAGACTCAGCATTGACAGAGAGAAAGCTAAAAACTTCATATACATAAAAAAAAATGACCAACTTTGCTCGTTATAGTGGTGATCTGACATGAAAGCAAAAAGGTAATAAACCTTGCAAGCCCAATGCAAGTATTTAACACTAAACCTTAACTAGGGTAATTATTTAATTAAACATCATGCTGAAGTAGTAATACTATACTTTGTAGTGCATTTCATTTATGAAACTGCTAGCTTTACCAGGCTACCAGCTCCTTCAGCATCAAATTTAAAAAGGAAGTGTGAACTTTCTAAACATCCTTAAAAACCAGAACAGATTATTTTTAGACCATAGAATGAAAATAGGAACAGAAGGCAAGATCAGAGGGGAAAAAAATCCAAACAAGTGAATCAATTAAGTAAAACATCATAGAAGTTAAACCTATTAGTTACTTCCTGACGTAAACAACTCAAAGCTCTCTTGCTGAGTGGGTTCTCTTTCATTAAGCATACATGAAGGGACCCCCTTAATTTCTTTGATAAACAACACCGTCCAATGGATGAATCCAAGTAAAACAAAGGGAACAGATAAATCTCTATGGAAAAAAGTAAACCAAATCTCCAATGTGAGAGATTCGAAACAGTGAAGCACAGAGCTTAAAAAGTACCATTTGGAAGCTCAAATAGTGCAGTTGATTTGACATCTAGACCATGCTTCTTGCAACGTTCTGTCAAAGCCTTCATAAGCTCGTCAATATCTGATTGGATGCGATCAGCTCGGACCTAATATGAAATGCTAAAGTGTTAGTAGAAAAGTTGCAGAGTATCCACAGAGAAAAAGCTAAAAGGAAACAGCTTGCAAGTATAAAAACATGTACCTGAAGAAGGCCATCTGCACTGCCACCTTGTTCCACTGTGACAATGGCCTTATGCAACTCCATTTTCCTTTCCTGTAAGTGCAACAGATCAGACACATGAAAATAAGGAAAAATAAATATTTCCTCCTACAATATTTAATGGGATTCAGGTACCAACGGTCATAAAAAAGAAAGATGCAGATTTTCAAGGAGGGTGGAGGAGTGATGCTTACAAATTTATATAAGGGACCTTACTCGTGATAAAGTAAATCCAACACAAAAAAGAGAACATAAGTAAAGTTAAAACACCACAAAAGAATATTTTTCAGCAATCAGAAAGTAAAAAGGGCATTTTATTTAGAGAAAAGTCAAAGGGTCAATTGTGTATTAACGCCATTTGCCAGAGAATTGTTAAAGCAGAAAGCAGAAACTACAGCTGTAATCTGCGAAAGATGTGGAACAGTAGTCATGAATACATTATACATATTACCATAAAGGGGGGAAAACAATCGTGACTACATGCACTAAAAAGTAAATCGATCACAGTGAATTCTACAAACCATATATAAATTGTTATAGAAATCTTATCAGAACAGCAAAGGACATGTGGGCAGATTAGAGTAAAGATTAGAGCATCTATTTACAAGAATTACACAATTGTAAAGATCTTGAACCCATTTTCTTTAGAGAGGACTTATAATTTTACTTTAGAAGAAAACTTGAAAAGTATAGTAGTCAGAGAGCAACCATTTATGTTTATCATGAAACCTCATATTGGTTTGCAAAAGTATGCAAGGGGAAAAACAACGTCATCATATATTAACTATTCCACAGGACAGAGGACAGAGATGCAACCACCACCGCATTCCCTGATACTCAGTAGCAAGTAAACTACCTGAAGATCACGAAAGGTTGCCTCCTCGATGGTTAACTTAGATGCTATTTCTGCGACTTGCTTGTACTTCTCTTCATACTTTTTGCCAAGTAACTCAGCCTAAAAAGTTACTCAAAAAGCACAAACTAAATTTATTCAAAGAAAACGATAATAGAGGAAAGTAGTGTACAACTGAGTGGAGAAAGTACCTCACGCTTATCTGCAGATGCCCTTTCTGAGATCTCATTCAGTTTATTATCACATCTAGTTTTATATAAAACCTGAGGAACGAAGAGCAAACATCAACAAAAAAAAAAAAGCATAGGAACAAAAGAAAAGGGATGAAAAAATAAAGAAAGACCACATAAAAAAAGCGCTCAGACACTCGAGAATCACCATGACCTTTGCAGCACACGCAAGCAATCATTTTTCGCCAACCAAAACATGCAAAAACTTGACCGCTGAATTTCCTCATATAGAATTGGTAACAGAACATTGACTAGATGATGAATTGTGATGCTCTTATCAGATAAAGTGTCCAGATTGCTTAGTGCAAAGTGTTTTGCTAATGTTGGGACCTCATCACACAGAACTGACGCAAGAGAAACAGGAATCTGTGTGAGACTTAAAGCAGATCCTTCTTTCCATCAAAATCATAAATGTGTCCTTTCTTAATCACTTATCGATTTGATGACCACATATTGGTGTCAAACTGTACTCTGGAAAAAGGGGAAATGATGCCCACAAACTCTGTGACAGCAAGGCTTTTGCCACAGTATTTGTATTAAATATCATATTTTGCCAGCACCCTTCTCATAATAGGCAAAGAAATCAGCACAAACTTGAGCAAACAACGTGCAACCAAAAGATTTCAAAAATGTTCTTGTTTCTTACTTAAGATGAGTTCATGCAATATTACAGCAGCAATTTGTCTTGTGATGCCTGTAAAATGAGTTTTGAGAAAGAGAAAACTGTAAGGAAAGAAAAAAAAACCCACTGCGTTCCATGCTTCTGCCTTCTAGTTCACTGAACGATACATATTACTTGATAAACTAAATTATGAGTAATTCAAAAATATAAAGTCGATACTAAGCAAATCATCTAACGGGGGCAAATATAGAATGAACAATGCAATAACCTCTGCATGATTCCAAACCATTACGCCTGTCAATTTCTCCATCTCATTAGCAAAATATGCACAGAAAATACTCACAAGGTCTTGCATTTTTGTGCGGTAAAACTCTATCTTCTCCTTTGAATCCAATATCACTTTCTCCTTTTCTTCCACCTGCAATCAGGAAAAGAGTATTCCCTTTACTTCTAGAGAACAACAAATGGCCAAATCAATTCAAATCTGAAAAAAATTTGAATGAAAGAAGGATGTAAAAAGCCTCGTAGTCAATATTTCGATATCACATCATAATCCTTCTAAAGTTAAACTTTCAACCAAGTATGTAAGTTTATTTGAGCAACGTAGTTTATAAGATTACATTTGCTCTATCAAGACAAATCTATTAGCATTGTGGAGAAATTAAAATACGATGCATCTATTCTTACATCGACTGTAATTAAGAGACAAACACAACAATAAACAGGACACACTCGTGATGATCTGTTATCTCGCGCTCTACTTTGTGTCAGCCATTTCAAAAGCAGAACATTTAGAAGAAACTGAAAAGGGACAGACATTCGACGAATCATCTTTTCTTCTGAAAGAGCATCTAGAAAAGATCGAGATTTTTTTAACACATCCAGCAACATCTTATTTTTCCTTCAATGTTTCAGCAACATCCCATACTTAAAATTAAGAATAAAAAATGAAGACGCGTGTCAAAGCACCAAAGAAATGACAGGCAGTCGGCAAAAGTAAAAAAAAGATGACGAGTGCAACAAGAAATAATGTGTATGCCTTTTTCCCCCTAGTTGTTGCCTCTTGAGGTGCTGAACCAACTGAATTTTGTTCAACGTTGCCAACTACGTTTGCAAATGGATCCCCTAAAGCTGGTCCTCTCAAGTCTTGCTGATTGGTTTGCTTCGCAGCGTCTACCTTAGGGGTAGGAACCTGCATTCCTGGCCTCAAGCCAGTTGCAGGAACCAATGGTCGAGCACCTGGCATTCCTTGCTGTGGCCTAAAACCTAATTTAGAAGCCACCAAACACTTTATCATCACATGCCTTGTCCAAGAAAGGACCATCTCTAAAATAAGAAGGAAAATATGGACAATACCCGAACTGGCACCCCAAGCAGCATTTCCATAAGCAACATTTGGTAAACCTGTCATTGACAATAGTGTTTCATCGTACATGACATTACTAGGAAGAGCTGTGGGAAGAGGACGACCCTCCCTATGTCGCTCCATCAAATATAGGGCAAAGCAAAACTCCCTCAATGAAAGCATGCTGTCACTATCCTGATCAGACAAGTCCCACACCTGCTTTAAAACATCTGTCACCACAAGGAGATCACATATCATCTAGATGATACAAGACAATCAGAATCCAAAGAGAAGCATCAGAGCTTATACAAGATCTCAGTGCAAAAAGCATGTATAAAGATTTCTATGAATGCAAGGCTGATGATAGTTTATAGAAATATATTCTCTAACTTGACGTTTAGCCTGCATTTAACTAAAAGATTAACAACAACTGCAACCGACCTTCCTCAAGATATGGCGGTTAAAATATAACGAACATGGACAAAGCAAGAGTGTGAACAGTTTAAGCTTCTAAATTATAACGATGTGACACCGCATCAGTCTTAAGCTTATACTTGCGCTTAAGCAACTGATACTGCCTCTTAGTGATCATGCTGATTCACATGATGACGTAACAGACACGGGTGATCATGCTGCCTAACATGATGGAGTAACATATATGAATATACTAGTGTGATGAAACAGAAGAGAAAAAGGGAAGGGGGAAGTACTTTTCAATTTTATCTTTTGCTGTCATATTCAAAATACTTATTAAAAAACAGAGAAAGGAAAAAAAGGCGTAACAAATGACTAATCGACAGACTCAACCATTTTGATACCAAAAAAAAAAAAAAATCAGACTCAATTACCAAAAGGTAGTTTCCTGAGGGCCCAACCATATTACGGTTCCAATTATCATAAGACCAAGGGATATGATGGTATCATGGCATGGACTCCATAGTTTCACCACGGGCAAAGGGATTCGAAAAATTCAGCAAGCGAACAATTCTTTGGAAAATAAGGGAGAGCTGCAAGATTGGACATTATAGAGATTTAGCAAGAGGAAAGTCAACTGCCCCATGGATTCTGCAACCTAAGGAAACTTATCCTTCATATTCCCTGTGGGTGTTCCCTTCCAGATAGAAACGCCTTTCAGGCTCTTGTTTTGGTTTTGAACCATAAAAGACATTTTGATGATATCACCATACGTATGGCGGCACAACATCAAATGGAAAGTCCAACACGACAGTATCATAGGCACCAAAACTAGCAAACCAAGACTAACAAAATAAACCAGCACGGAGAATGCAATACACGATATAGATTTACCTCTTGGTAACCTCCAACTCAGAAATAAGTTGCGAGCCTGCTCGCCAGTAATCTTCCCATCTCTGTCCGTGTCTACTTCCATAAAAACCTTCGTGTATTTTTGAACATCAGACGGCTTCATCTTTGGCCAATTAAGTTGATTATCACTGGAAGAAGAATTAGCTGCCCCAACTGAAATTCCGGGCGATGAGAATGAGGAAGAACCTAGTGATGGAACCTGCCCTCGTGGGTTCGAAGGCATAGGAGGACGCTGCACCTGAGTGCTAGAAGAAAGCTTAGAGAATGAAGTCTGCAAAGCATCCAGTGCATTGGGCTTTGCAGAAGGTTGGCCTCCAGAAACAGAAGTTATAGCAGAGGAGAGAGGTGCGCTGACAGTGGGATTAGTCAGTGCAGAAGATTCTTGTTTAGATGGAGAGGGTTTTGCAGAAAATAAATCACCTCCAAAAAAAGAATCTGAAGAAGATCCATTTCCAGACGCAACTAGTGCTTTAGAAGCACTGGCCATTGTCTGTGGAGATAAAGAAGGTGGAGTTTGTGGTTTTGACAAAGCTGACAGAACCGAAGAATTAGCATCTCTGGATCCCACTGACGCTCCAACGCTCCTTCCACTGGTCCAATCACTTGAAATGTTTGCGTTTGGAACACCGGGACCCATTAAACCACTCCCCATCGGAAATTGTGAAACTGTATTGGCCTGTGGCGCACGGAAAGCAGTAGGAGCAGGCATAGGTTGAGGCGGTCTAACAGGTTGTTGTTGTTGTGAAGGGAATCCAAAGCCAACACTCTGAGATGCTGGTTGAGCTGTCGGTCTCATCTGCGGGGTTGCCGCAACAGCCATAGTGCTCGCATGCGGTGCAGGTATGGCAGCAAGATTGATTTGTGGAGGGGGTATTTTAGCAGCAGCGGGGCCATATAAGGCAGCCTTGACTATATCTGCCGTTAATTCCCTCTTACTCTGTGCTACTGTGACAAGCTTCAGAGCATTGTAAAATTCAGCCCGACCAAGGAAACCAGTACGGGCATGATCGGCATACATCCAAATCTGTGGCAATGGTAACATCACAATGAGTATCCTTCAGCATCAATGCAAAGCTCAATGAGTTCCTTGACAAAACAAATGCTAGCTAATAACACTAACAAACTAATAATTGGAACAATCAGCTCTGACTCAGGCAGAACGGGTAAACAAAACAAGGAACCTCGTTCTTGACTGTGGATCATAAAATAGATGGATCCCTGACTGCCTCGTTTCAAATGTGTATCACGAATTCTCCAGAATTTGAGTGTATTTTCCGCAATATAATCTATTACTCCGACACGGAAGAAGCTCGAGCGAACTTTGACCATCTGACCTAAAGGAAACGCCCATAACTTAACGAGCTCATAATCCCTCACTGCTAGGTTGTCCTATCGTCATCAATCAACTAAGTTCCAGCATCAACACAAGAGAGTTCGCAGATTAATCAAACGACCAGACAATCCAGGCCCAATGACAGTGATTCGAATCGAACGAAACCGGAGTTTCACCCTCGACCATCCGGATTCATCTCCTAATCCATCGACTCACAACAAATCCAGAAGAAGGACATCGCCAAAGACTCCCCCCGGAACAATGAAGCGAATCGCAACACGAACTAAGGAAGGACCGACCCCAATGGGGGGAAAAAATTCCAGTTTGACCACACGGACGCGCACAGCGAAAGACACAGAGGGGAGGAAGGGAGGGAGTGACCGACCTGAGCGAGGACGTGCTGCGGCAAGTTGGATCCCTGGAAGAAGGAGACGGCTTCCACCCCGCTGATCCTACCGTCCCCGTCCAAATCCGCCCTCCTGAAGTACGCCTCGAACTGCTCCGTGCCCGCCCCTTGGCCCTGCCCCGCCATTTCCCCGGCCCAACTCGAGCCCCGCCCCCCGAACCAAATCCCAATCGAATCGAGCACGCGAACGATCGCGGATTCCCGAGAACGGAGGAGCGATCGGATTGGGCGGCGGTGGCGGGCGGCGGGGCGGGGCGTGGCTGGTCAGATCGAGGGGCGAGGCGAGGCGAGACGGGTCGCCGGGATTAGGGAAGCGCGAATCGGAGTTCTCGGGGAACGATCGAGGGAGGAAATGGTGGTGGGAAGATGGAGATCGTCGGACGGAGCAACTGCGGACGGGAGGGCAGGGGGCGAAGCCTTTACCGATAAGAAGTTCGATGGAAATCGTTAACGAGATGGAGAGGGAGACGACTCTAGAGCAGATAAAAAAAATACTCTATAGTTCGATCTAAAAAGGCCGTCTAGAAAATACGAAAAATTTGGCTAAGTTATGAAACACATTTGTAATCAAGTTAGATCCGCTCTCTTTTTTTCTTTTTCTTTTTTTGGCTTTTTTGCGATGTAGCGGAAAAGGGAAAATCCGAACATTTTTTTAGGTCGGGTAAGTAAGGCACAAGTTAGGTGACGGGCGACTTCTTTTTTTCTTTTTCGAAAAGATAGATTAAATGACCGAATTAAAGTAAAGTAGATCGAAGTTGATCGATGATTTAATGGGGTTAGGGGGTGTTTGGTTCAGCTTTGGGAAAGGGTTTTGAGCCCCGAAAGCCCATTCCCAAAATGCTGGAGTGTTTGGTTCAGCATTTTACCTAGCATTGGCCAAACGCTAGCATTCCACGAATGCTACTGTTCACCAATATTTTTTTTTTTTTTTAGTTTGAAGCTGTTCTTCACCAGGCAACCGGCGAGGGTGGCCGGCGAGGGAGAAGAGCCGGCGAGGTCGGGCGACCACCGGCGAGCCAAATCTGCCGCCGCCGCCGGTCGCCCGAGGCTAGGCGACCCTCGGCGGGGGTCGCACGACCCAGGCGACGGTCGCTGGGTCGCGCGACCTCAGGCGGCCGTCGCCCGGGTCGCGCGACCTCGGCGGCCGTCGCCCGGGTCGCGCGACCTCGGGCGGCCGTCGCTTGAGGTCGCGCGACCTCAAGCGGCCGATTGTCGCCTGGGTCGTGCGACCCCCGCCGAGGGTCGCCTGGCCTCGGGCGACCGCCGGCGGTGGCAGATCTGGCTCGCCGGTGGTCGCCCGACCTCGGGCGACGGCCGCCGGCGCCAGATCTATCTCGCCGGCGGTCGGCTCCGGCGATGGTAGGTTTTTTTTTTTTTTTAATAAATAAAATAATTCTCAAAGTTCATTTGCAAAAAAAATTTACCAAACACTATATTTTGGCCAAAGTAGCTTTACAAAATATTTTTACCAAACACCATTTGCATTTCCCCAATGGGCTTTCACCCAAAGGTATTTACATTCCCTCAAGTAGCATTTTCAAAGTTGAACCAAACATGCCCTTAATCGGCGTTGGAAAGCCTTTTAAGCATTTGGGTTAATACCATGAAAAACCCTAAACTGGTACATTTGTGACACGTTTACCCCAAACTATTTTTTTGACCATAAAAAACCCCAAACTGGTACACCTGTGATAATTTTACCCTGAATTATTTTTTTGACCACCAAAAACTCCAAACTGGTATACTTGTGACAATTTTACCCTGAACTATTTTTTTGACCACCAAAAACCCCAAACTGGTACACTTGTGACAATTTTACCCCAAACATACCACAAAAAATTCTAAACTGGTCCACATGTGACAATTTTACCTCGACCTAATTTTTAATATTATTTTATTAAATTTTTTCTTTTTTTTTTCCTTCACCTTCAACCTTCGCGGTCGGCCGCGACGGCGGCAGGCGGCTGCGAGGAGGGCCACCCTTGCCGGCGTCGGGCGGCCCTCGCCCGACGTCGGATCTGGCGAGGGTGACCCTCGCCTGCGTCGGGCGAGGGCCGACCTCGCCTACCCAGGGCAAGGGCGGCCCTCGCACGATACCGGCGAGGGTTGCCCGACGCCGGCGAGGGCGGCCCTCACCGGCTTTCGCCTCTGGCCGGTCGCCGAATCGGCGACCGGCCAGGGTTTGAAGATGAAAAAAAAAAAAGAATAAAAAATAAATAAAAATTCGAAAAAAAATAATATAATATTAACATTTTAATTCAGGGTAAAATTGTCACATATGTACCAGTTTGGGGTTTTTTGTGGTAAGTTCAGGGTAAAATTGTCACAGGTGTACCAGTTTGGGGTTTTTGGTGATCAAAAAAATAGTTCTGGGTAAAATTATCACAGGTGTACCAGTTTGGGGTTTTTTATGGTCAGAAAAATAGTTTGGGGTAAATGTGTCACAAGTGTACCAGTTTACCACCCGCCTGGGTGGCACTGCTGGAAAGGGCACTCTTCCTCTCGCAAAAGGTTGAGTGTTCGAATCCCGGGCGCCGCAGGGTGACGTAACCGGTGCACGTGTGTGATGGCTAGCACGTGTCGCCCCCAGGGTTTACCTCCCGGCTATCGGCCGTGCGGGAGTTCCCTGGGTTACCAAAAAAAAAAAAAAAACCCTAAGCATTTATGGCAATTTGGCATTTGCACATTTGCAATCAAGTTAGATCCTCTCTGGTTTTTTTTTTCCTTTTTTTGCGACATAGCAGAAACGGCAAAGTCCGAACTTTTTAACTCGGGTAAGCAAGGCATGGCGATCGTTTTTTTCTTTTTTGGCAAAGATAAAAATTAAATGACCTGGTTAGAGTAAAGTCGATCTGACGGCTTGATAGGGTTAATCGGTGTTGGAAAATCTTTTAAGTGTTTATGGCAATTTGGCCTTCGAGAAACCGAGCACGAACGACCGGACATCGCCCCGGCAGTCGAGCAGATATATCCTAGCCCCGTGGATTGGAACGGCACTCGAAAAAAGAATAAAAGCCCTGATAGGATAAAAAATTATATGCAGAGTTCCCGATTCAAACATCGTAGTACTCTTGAGAGTGGATCATGTGATATCGCATGATTCTCTGATGCTTTTCGAAACCAAGCAGATTGTTATTGTCCTTGAGAAAGCATGGTCAGTCCAAACCTCAACGGACGAATAACTGAAGCATCAAAGCAACTGCATATCGTGTTTCTAAACTCGCGGTTCCTGCTCTAAAATTCCGAAGCAAAACCGGAAACCCGATATCATATATGTCCGGCAAGTGCAGGTGTGTCCTAAAGTAAACACACATGCTTTTCCAACTACTGGGGATATGTTTGTGTAGAAGAAGTGGACCCAGATTTCAACATGAAAATGACACCAAGCCCCGAATGTTTTGTTGCCATAAACACGTTCTCGTTTCGTGTTCGTCTCTTCTTGGGACTCGGTTTCGGCTTATGCCTCCTCATCTGGTTCAGCTTCGGCCACTGGCAAAAGCAACTGCCTGTCATTTCAAACTAGACAGAGCTATCATTTAGTACCCGTCACAGATGTCGCTGTTTGCATGTTTCAGGTCTTGTACTCCCGGCTCCGAGTCCTCTCGTTGAGGATGAAAACTTGCTAGACAATCTGAAGCTGAACCAATCATTGAGTGCACATCGGCTATCTTTGCACGCCCAGTCATGACCATTGGATCTTCTGCTGCTGGCTCGAGTCCCTGGTTGTCGATGAAGATTTCCCGCTGGTTTAAGGGCCCAATGATACCTTAAAGTCACCAAAATTTCACACAGATGTCAATATAAATCAAAAATCTTAATTTGTGTAGGCAAACTAGGCGATTACAAAGTAATGAACTTGCTCAAATCATGATAAATTGCGTGGCAAGTACCTCATGTGAAGAGAAAGGCCACGCTAAGCAGGCATTAACTCTAGTTATTCAAGAAAAAGAGCAGTGACAATGCAGTCCAACAAAGAAGGGTAAATAGAAATTAGCATAAATTGCTCCACGGAAAATATTAACACTTGGTCTACAATACCCACATGGCAAGCCATGAAGACATCTAGTTAGGAATTTCGGCCCTAACAGGGGAATTAGTGCATATTTCCAAACAAGTACTCAAGGGGTGCACCCACAATTCCCTACTACAGGTCAATGGCAGATGAAATTGAGGTACTAAATTCACGCTTCCAAAAAGGATACCAATTTGAGAAAACCATGTCAACACATTAGAAAGAGGTTGAATCTTGTTGAAATCACAGTTTTCAATGGCCGCCCGTTAAATTTGTAGATGCAAGACAATCAGCAACAGTTGGTCTTTTCAATTCCCCCTAAATGTTCAAAGCATAAGCCAGACAAAATTTAGCCTTGCCGCTACTAACCTTCCTAACCATGCAAATGATCTTTGCTAGGCATTTACATAAGTCAAAGCTTCTATATTCCACCCTTCACTTGTTTTGTCTTTTTCTTCCTCCGTTTGCTACTAATTTGAGCAAACAGAGGCCGCGAAATGACCATATGAACTTCTCACAAGGGTGCAAAGACACAAGGCATCAGCATGTAAACTTGTCAAACATGCGACTTACCTGAAGTTCAGAGATCAAGTGTAAACCATCATATGCCCAATCTTTGCACCATAGAAAAAAATCGCTAATAAATTCAGGAACACAGAAAAGTCCACACAGCAATAGAAAACACTAAACAGAAAAGAACAAGGATGATGGATGCAAGAAAATACCATAAAAGAATATTTTCAGCAATCAGAAGTAAAAAGGCCATTTCCTTTATAAAAAATTTTTAACCACGCAAAAAAATTAAAGAAAAGTCAAATGAACAATTGCGTATTAATGCCATTTGCCAGAGAATAGCTAGAGCAGGAAGCCGAAACAACAGATGTAATCTGGGAAACGATGTGGACAAGTAGTCATGCATACATATTACCATAAAGGGGGGGAAACAGCTGTGACGACATGCAACGAAAAGTAAATCGATCACAGTGAATTCTACATAAAAAATATAAATTGAATTAGAAATCATATCAGAATGGCAAAGGACAAATGGGCAGATTAGTAGAGTAAATATTAGAGCATCTATTTACAAGCATTATACAATATGTAAAGATCTTGGACCTGTTTCGTTCAGAGAGGGCAATAAGATAAGAGTACTTTAGAAGCAAACTTGAAATTTATAGTATTCTGGGAGCAACCATTTATGTTTACCATGAAAACTCATATTCGTTTGCAAAAAATATCCAGGGGCAAAAACCGCATCGTTGCATATTTGTTTGGGTTATTCTACAGGATAGAGACGCAACCACCACCGAATCCCCAATTCTCAGTAAGTAAACTACCTGAAGTTCTCTGAAAAAAAAACTACCTAAAGTTCACGAAAGGTTGCCTCCTCAATTGTTAACAAGATGCTATCTCTGCAACTTGCTTGTACTTCTCTTCATATTCTCTGCCAAGTAACTCGGCCTATAACTTTATTAGACACATAAAACCGCCTGAAGGGAAACGGTAATAAAGGAAAGTACTGTACAATTGAGTAGAGAAAGTACCTTACATCTATCCTCAGATACCTCTTGGTAGCTTCCAACTCAGAAATAAGTTGCAAGCCTGCTAGCCAGTAATCTTCCCATCTCTGTCAATGTCTACTTCCATAAACACTTTCATGTACTTTTTAACATCAGAAGGCTTCATCTTTGGCCAAGGAAGCTGATTATCACTGGAAGAAGAATTAGCTACCCCAACTGAAGTTCCAGGCGATGCAAATGAGGAAGAACCTAGAGATGGAACCTGATGGAACCTGCTCTCATGGGTTTGAAAGCATATAGGGACGTTGAACCTCACTGCTAGAAGAAAGTATAGAGAATGACCTCCGCAAAGCATTCAGTGCATTGGGCCTCACATAAGGTTGGCTTTCAGAAACTAAAGTTACAGCAGAGGAGAGAGGGGCGTTAACAGTTGGATTAGTTAGTGCAGAAGATTCTTCTTTAGATGGAGAGGGTTTTGCAGAAAATAAACAACCTCCAAAAAATGAATTTGAAGAAGATCCATTTCCTCAAACAACAATTTGGGGACTAACAGGGGAACCAGTGCATATTTCCAAACAACAACTCAAGAGGTGCACCCACAATTCCCTAGATTTAAAAGGAAAATTTTGTCGAACACCTCCGACTCCAAGCCTCAACACCTCAAGTACGCTGTTTGCTAATCAACTTATGTCTAACACAAAGACAACGAAGAATTATTCTACACTCAGCATTCTACTTGTTCCAAAGCATGCTCCAATGAAAAATCACGTCATATAGACTGAATAAAATGTGGAATATAAGCTCAAAAGAAAGGAAAGGAACAATCATCCTGCTCATTTCTCTCTGATAAAGAAACCACAACAAACATTTGCACGCTTGTCAGTGAGCAAAGGAAAAAACAGCATGTGACTTAGGCTAGGTGAGTGTCCTTCACCATCTTCTCATTCTTTTCAGCCTTTTCTTGTCCAAAAGAGTCTAGAATAATGCAAATAAATCCCAATCACCCAAAAAAGGTGATGATAATAACTAAATGGAGATATGTATTCTATTTATGTCATAAACGGACATATATACTCACATGGTAATATAGAGCAGAAAGCTGCAATATTGATGTACTTTGTTTGATCTCTCAGGATGTTGACCCAACCATGCCAGAAAATTTAAGCATTCTGTGAAGGTATACTGTGCATCAGGTGCTAGACTAAATTATAGGAAGGTTAAAAGGGTTGTGGATTGTTGCATTTTTTAGGAAGAGAGTTACGAGATGATTACCTGGACAATAATCTCCTTCCCATTGACAAGAATCTGCCTGAGAAGCAAAAGGAAGTATTGTTCTGGTACACCTAAACCATAAGCAAACTCAAAAATGCCATCCCTTAGAACGCCAGTATCTTCTTGCATTATCATGGAGGCGAGCATCTTTAATCTTCAAAAACAGCTTGTAAGCTTTCTCTACACTGTTTGAAACCAATAATTTAGTGTTTAGTTTGCTATAAATACGCCTGCAAGGGAAAAAACCCTTGCGGAGACACTCCTCCATGACAAGCACTGCATTTTCCAGCTGTCCTATGTTGCAGAGCCCATTGACAATGTACTCATAAACTTCCGCATCCAATAAATGACCAGCCTCTTGCATTTCATCCCATATAGTCAACAGCATTCCACATTTACCGAATCTAGAAAGCCGCATGAGTAGCAACTTGTAAGCCCTCAGAGACACCATGCATCCGGCTTTCCTTGCCTTCTTATAGATCGTCACTGCAGCATAAGGTGGACCATAACCACACAGAGGTTCAATAAATGAGGTTACCATCCCAGTAGTGGGAACAAGCCCTCTACTCAACATCTCATCAAATATTTCCAGAGCATCAGCCACTTTTCGAAACTTAAGAAAGGAATTGATCAAACTTTTGTATGTGTCCAAATCAGGATTGCATCTTTCACTCAGCATGCTCCTATAATACTTGATGCATGCATCAAAATCCCCAATGATTGCAAAATTATAAATCATGGCATTGTAGACACTCACATCAGGATCATAACCTTTCTCTTTCAATCCATCAAAAATATGGACGGCATCATCAATCTGACCAACTCTCCCCAAACCCTGAATGAGATGTCCAAAAGTCAAACAATTCGGTGCAAATCCATCTGCTGCCATTGCCTCCAAATTCTTGTCAATGTCACCGACTCTACCCATCCTTGACCACCCACGTATGATAGTATTGTAAGTTGTCGTGTCAAATGGTACCTTCCCCTTCACAGAATTCAAAAGCGAGTTGGCAGCACCCACATGGGAGCGTTGGCATAGCGTTTGCAAAAGCACATTTAAAGACTCTGTATCACGTTCCAATCCAAACTCCTCCAGCTTGCCAAAAAGTTCTATTGCTTTGTTCACTCGATGAGCACGCACAAAACTGTCCATTACAATTGAAAGAGTCTCTAAGGTGGCAGTTGTACCATTTGATTTCATTTCATGCATCATCTCCTCCATAAAACCAAAGTATTTCCTTCTTCCGAGTGCTTTCAGAATCACATTATAGCTATGAGTGTCCGCACTAATTGTAGGCTGTTTAAGCGCCCATTTGAAAAACACTGTCATAGCTTTTCCTCCTAAGTTCCCTCGATTCACAACTCTAGCGACAATGTCAATATTCAAATCAGTAGGAACATTTGTCAAAGCATGTTCCACGGCAGTTTTGCCTCTCAGCTTTTGAAGAAAAACCCCCCGGAATTTCTCTTCAGGGGATAAGAAGCCATGATGCTCTCTGCTTCCCATCTTATTCTTTACATGATCATCATTACACACATTGGAAACAGCATTAGGCCAACTTATTGGCAACAAATCAGATAGTTCATTGAGAATGTTATTCTCATCGGCAGGGCAGCGATGCTTCGCTTTATAACTATTACATAATTCGTTATGGTAGTGATTCAAAGGACCACCAGGCGTTATACTAGAAAATGATGCTATAGAGGAAAACAGGTGTGGCATGCGAACATGTCTTCCACCATTATAATGCACCCGAAGTAACACAAGCTGATGAGACCAAAATTGAAATGCCATGTGAACAGCGTTTAGCTTGCAAAGCTACACTGTGCCCTACAATGCTTTCATATGATTAGAAATTATCTTATGGGGCATCACTGGATCCATGTTGCTGTTGTGGAAAGGTCATCTACTGCATATCCCATCCCATGCTGCTTTCCTACCATTTGCTGAAGGGGACATAAGTCAATTCTGTTGAACCTAATGAAACGTTCTTTTGTCAAAACCCATAGCAACTTCACAAAAATCCAAAATTAAAGGACCAATATTTCATAATGGCTTAGTATTCAGAAAGCAATAGAAACAAAAGCAAGCAAGCCATCTACAAGTTGTAGAACTTGATAAATCTAAACGTACAGGTTGACCGCAGATGAAATTGAGGTATTAAATTCATGTTATTTTGAGTTCCACTACACTCTAGAAAGAAGTTGAATCTTGTCGCAATCACAGTTTTCAATGGCCACCCGTTAAATTTGTACATGCAAGACAATCAGCAACAGTTGGCCTTTTCAATTACACTAAATGTTCAAAACATCAGACCAGAAAACATTTAGCCATTCCACAACTAACCTTCCTAAGCATTCAAATGATCTTTTGTTAGACAAGAAATATAGGTCAAAGCTTCTCCATTCCACCCTTTACTTGTTTTCTCTATTTCTTCCTCTGTTTGCTACTGATTCGAGCAAAACAGAATCGGCAAAATGATCCAAATTGAGCTCCTCACGAAGGTGCAAAGACGCAAAGCATCAGCATGTAAACTTGTCAAACATGCGAACTTACCTGAAGTTCAGAGATCAAGTGTAAACCATCATATGCCCAATCTTTGCACCATAGAAACAAAATCTCCGAAAAATTCATGAAAGCGGCAAAGTCCATATAGCAATAGAAAACAGAAAAGAAAAAACATGGTGGATGCAAGAAAATGCCAACTGTTGCCAGAACTAACAAGTTGAACAATCAAGAGCACCACGATAGACTACACGCTCGAGCCCAATTCCGACACAGTAAAGACCCTTATACAGGAGACAAAAGGACCAAGCACGAGCTCCGAAAGAGATATAAATCAAAGAAGAACGGAAACTAAAGAACAAAACCCAGAAATGTAAACAGAGATTCGAGTATAATGCAGCTCGGAACATACACGCACGGGCAATGTCTTCAAGTTTGAATCGCCATGACAGGGAAACATACATGGCGTTGAGGCTTTGACCCACAACATTCGCAGGAAGCTCCCCGGCTATTTCAACTTAGAAAATGTGCCGATGATTTCTGGAATTCGTCCAGATAGCCGACAGGTTCTCAAAGATCTGTTGCCTGGTAAGTCGGCGCATAAAGAACGAAAAACGCACGTACCCAGAAGAGAAGATGGGCACTTGCCGATTTCCTGGGGAGTTTCGTAGGTGCTATGGGCTGCGCTGAACGGCGTCCGTCCGTCCGTCCGTCCTATTGTTGCTTGCTCGCCGCCGCTGCTCGTCTCCCGCTCACGCGGCCTTCGGGGGTGGCGGTGGAATGGCGGAGCGGCGGCGATCTTCCCGGCGGCGCCGCGGTGGTGTGACGGCGGCGGATTGGGGGAGAGGGAGGATGACTTCAGTGGGCGTGTGAATTTGAGGATCGAGGGCATTAGAGGGACTGAGGCCCTGAGGGTTTGTGGTTTTTCTTATTTATTTCAATTTTTTTCAGAAAATAATGATTAAAAATTGTTTTTTTAAAAATAATTATATATATTACTTGAAATAATTAATTTATAAAAAATATTTTATTATCAAAACTAATTTGTAAACATTTTTATGGATATTTTACAGATTTAGTTTTGTAGGCTCCGTTCGTTTGGCGGAAAATATTCTCCCAGAAAATATTTTCCGGGATTTCCGGTGTTCGGGGGGCAGAAAACGTTTTCCGTGGGAAAATATTTTCCTTCCCCCCCTCACAAAATAAATTAGTTTATGGAAAATGACTTCCGCTTCTTCAAAAGCGGAAATCATTTTCCTGAGCTTCTTCTTCTTCTTTTTCACTAAGGTCGCCGGCCGCCGCCGCCGGCTTGCCTCCTCGTCGGCGCCGGCCGCCGTGCCGCGGTCGCGGCACGGCCACGGGAAAAATATTTTCCGAAACTTTTTCATATTGATCACCGAACATCGGAAAATTATGTTCCGGGAAAACATTTTCCAAGAAAATGACTTCCAGGAAAATATTTTCCAAAAGGAGAATATTTTCCGCCAAACGAACGGAGCCTAAAATTCAAATCATTCGCTTTTTACGGAACAAATGAAATCTTAACATTTTTGAAGTCTTCCAAGTTAGACTGGCCCAAACTTAACTTTGGCCCGATGGCCCAACTCAAGGCAATCCTAGTCCCAAAGATCTGTCCGCCGTTTGTGGGTTCCAAGGCTTTATTGCATAATCCTCGTATTTGGTCACTCGAACATAGATTGATCGAATGGGATATACTAACTCATATCCAATATTTTGTTTTGTATAATTTGGATTACGACGGATAATGTCTGATGAATCTAGAATAGAAGTGAATAAAAAAATAAAAATTTCAAATAAATTACTCAAAATGGAAAAAAAAAAACTGGATCTCCAATATCGGAACGACGACAACCGCCACAACGGGGCTATTTAGAGGAGGCAGCCACTGTGGGTTGGTTGCACGTGTTTAGCAACCACCGCTAAAGCAAGAAGGATGAAGTCCGTCAGGTTGTATGGGTCTAGAGTCACTTTTGCAGCCAACCCAAAGTCACGGGAGCTCAATGGTGGCACGGCTAATGCAAGAGCGCATGACGGCATATTGCTTTATCGTTGATCACAAATATGCAAATTAATATGATGTGTGAGAGAGAGTAAGAGAGTAGGAGGTGGTGGCCACCATGCTTGCCGGGGCGTACATCTACAACTCCCATCGCCATGGCAGCGCCTGAGATGACGACTACTTTGTTGTCACCTTTCACGGCCATAAGCCACCGTTTTCTCTCCTCTCTTCTTTCTCTCCGGCGGTTTCAAATTAGCCATTTTTTTTTTTAAATTATACTAGGATGATAGATATCCTCTCCTCGTACCTCAATCCCCAAATGGAAATCCTCGATCTAGATTACATCCAAAGGTATATCAAAACACAATCGTATTTCATGTTACCCCGAAAGCTAGACAAAGCAAAAGTTCATCTTATTGTAAAATTATATGTGATCCACGCAACATAGCCTATGTATGCCTGTGGGACACCATGGACCTACACTTCTTCAATGTGATTCAAGCACATGTATGCACATTCCATCTCGAGCTTCGTAGCCAGAAAATACAAGACCCCGCTCGATCCACGCGAGAACCCCACGCAGGAGACACGAAGAGAATATAAGTGGATGGGCGAGCGGCGGGGGTGGCTAAAAGGGGTCCCCCTTTATGCGTGCCATGTGAACGGTGGTGAAGCCCTATCTTTTCTCCTTTGTTGCCCCCCCCAAAGGACGGGCCAAAAGCAATCATTGCCCCCCGCATTTGCATGCATTTTCCCTCCCAAGTCGCATCTTGATGCCCCATCTTGTCTTCGAAAAGCATACCGATAAACAGTTAACGCACTGTTCAATATAAAAAATTTTGATTGCATTACATGCATAGGAGCCCAATTATACACGCGGTTAAATTAGGTGGATGCGAGCCGGGCTCATGTGAGCCGGGTGCATCTAGCGGTTGCTCTTTCTCGAACTCCTAATTAATGTTAGCTGTTAATGAGGATTTGATTTTGTGAGCTTTTGATTTTGCCAATTTCATCCGCTTGCGTTTATTCTAGCGGGAACCCAAATAGCACAAGTAACTCCTTATTAAATAATTCACGAAAAATTTTAAAGAGGTTTTACCGAGGATAGTCGATAAAACCGACTTTACTGTTTATAATATATCAATTGTTCTATCGTATGTTTGATCCGCTCTTTAAAAATCGAATTAATTAAAATTAGCTATGACAGGACTCAATCTTTTTTTATCAACATTTAACGAGTTCGTAGGAGAATTTGCACCTTGGATCCCTCCGGATGTATTTTTTTTCTGTTTTAAGTGTATTTTAAAGTCTTGCCGAAAATGTTGAACATGTATATCCTACATATTCTTCACTCCTGGTACAGTAGCTCGTGGCACAACCCTACGCCATAGTGCTCCACAAGGATAGGAACGGGCCATAGACTCCTCGCCTTGTACGGCGCAGGGGCTAGTGATAGGAGATAAGGGTGATCAATTTTAAGGTGAGTCGATTCTTACCTTAGAACCTAAAACTAGATCGAAAGTGTCGATTCCCAGTTTATGAAATCGGGGACCGGCCCACGTGGTCCCGGAACCGATAACCGGTCAACCCAGTCTTGGAACCGGTCAATCCGATCCGATACCCGGGTGGTTCCTGGAATCGATATCTTTCTTTTGTGTTTTTTTTCCTATTCCTTGTAAGACTGCAAGTGCTGTTGCAGAGTCTAAAACTCTCGTTATTTAATAATTCGGATCTTTAATCAATGAAAATCTAGATGGATGGAAAGACGCTAAAGGTGTGATAAAATATAATCAAGTATCATTAACTTTCTAATAAAAAAAAACTATCGGTCTGATCCGGGCAATGCTGTCCTCACCCGGAACTGGGAATCGGACAAACAATCACCTGTTCCAAATTTAGGAACCGGACTGATTCTTGGTTCTGTCCAGTTCCAGTGCTCACCCCTAATAGGAGAAAGCACACATGGCGGCCAAATGGGGACAATGTGACTTTTGGAATTTTCTATATTAGTTCATAATATTTAGGATATAAAGATGATAATCCACTTGGATTGTTTATTGCCATGTGTGAAATAACAATCGGGTCATAAATTTTGTAAGATGTGAAAATTCGAAAAATACTTTTCGTGTCCGTGGTCTTCTTGAGTGTGATTTCGCTAAGGGCAATAAAATTACTAGGAGTTATAATTCAACGAGATAAATTTAAAATGTGTGTTTGCTAGTTTCAATATACCTAAATTAATAGACATTCATATATATATTGATAAATAAATGACGATGAAATTTTTATTGCCATAGTAATTGTCGAGCTCTGAGTTATGTATAAGATAATTATCAAAGTTAAAATTTATTGAATTGAGATTTCTCTAGCGTCCGATAGCTTTTGCTAATAATTTTTTGATGGGTTTAAAATAATTTATTACTTTCTAGTATCCAGAACGGACACCAAGTTCCAAATAACATCTTAATATCAATTACCATCATTAAATTATCTAAAGTATGCCATTTGTCACTCATTTACTTGTACACTCTTCTTCATTTTTCACCTCAAGGTTTAGCTCCTAAACGAGATCATCCATGACTTATCGCACCATCAACTTCATATTTTGTTTCCCCTTCCAATTTCTTACAAAAAAGAAAGCAAAAGTTCCAACTCAAACGTCATGAACTAGCCTCCAAAATCTATGCAATTGAGTTGTTTGAGTTTTTAATCTCACATATCAAGCGTTTACAATGTAGTAGATTATTATGGTTTCAAGTGTTAACTAGTGGATTATTAAGTTAGACCAATTAAAGGAAATTAAACCAGTTCAATATAACTAGTCTTGAAACTTTAAATGCAAATCTGTAATTTTACCAAGTTAGGGGACTACTTTGCTCAAACTGAAAATTCTAGGGGCTGATCATAGACTTGAAACCCTGTGATGATATATTGTTACGTTAATTTTAGAAATAATTACGTAATTAATTTTTAAAAAGGAGACGCTTCGTTAATTTTATAATATTTGCAGCGTGCTTATAGGGTAAATAAAATATGCATATATCTTAGATGACAAATGAGTGGCTTGGGTACTTGATTAGGTGAAAAGTGGAAGTTATGGCTAAAAATTGAAAAAACGAGAAATTTTATTGGGGAAATTCTGTAATTTTATAATGTGAAATTATAGGAAATTAGTTTTAATTTTGATGATTAAAGTGAATTTAATAAAGGCCCTGTCTTAGATATGCAAATTAATTGCTTACTTAAATTATAGAAGAATTGATCGTCTAAGGAAAATTCATCTCGATGATTTATGAATTTGTAAGAGTTATCTATTAAATGATGATGGCACGGTGAAAGAGGATGAAGGTTTATATGTTGAAATGCATGCAATTATTTGATTACCAATATTTACGCCAAAAATGCTTGTGTTATTACTTGCAATTGTGCTTATCGAAAGAAACACGTGACGTTTATCATGTAATGATGAATTGTATACGAATGATGCCACGTACCAAACACCTATGCCATAGCCAATCGCTAGTGAGCGAACTCCCATGTAAAAGCATGTGCACAAGACTTATGAGAAAAGACAGATGTTCTACTATTTAAGGGGGGTCCCTACAGGATCGAGGGGACACCGATGATTTCTTACATGTGATGGGCTCGCGACTCACGTACACGACATACGATATGGTTTGAGTAGCCGGTTATGAGATAGTCATTGTCACGAGTGTAGAGTGACTTATTTATCTTCTCTGACCCATGATGGATGAGTTGAGACATGGCTCTATGAGTTTATGATTCCGTCCCCCATGAATTGGCTACGACAATGTCTCATTCACCGAGTTAAGTCCTAACTAGACACGAGTAGGGCTAGAGACACTCGCCTTTGTATTTCGGTGAGCTGCTATGTGTTAATAGCTCATCGTGAAATAATATACCGTATGCTTGCATTTGAATGAATAATTTATATCATATCGATGAGTTATTTTCATTTGCACGCGCCATGGTAGAATGCTCATGCAGTTATCCATCTTCGTTTTGTATATGCAAATATTTTAAAGTTGCCTTGAATTCATGTTATTGTATTTGATACGGTTTCAAGTGGGGAGATGATCTTCTACCTTAAACGTAGAGATTTCTTTTACTATGCTTACGATCACCCCAAAATATTTTACAGATTGGTCGAGTTCGGACTTTAGGAAAATTTGGATTAAGCACTTCCGAAGATATCTTTAAGGACACGATGAGAGTGCATATCATAAGTAGGGGTGTATCTCCGTGCCTCGAGTTTTGATTACGTACTTCTGTACATCATTCTAGACTAAGTTATTTACTCTGTCGAGGTTCAAATTGTATCGACAAACTGAGATCATGACGGACGGGGAGAGCACACTCACCGGTCTCGCCTCTTCCGTGTTTTCCCTAATGTCGAATTTCGAATTGGACGGTATCGATCGGCCCGTGATTGACGCGGGGGGCCTCTAACACTATAATTGGCTAGGAATTTTTGCCCTCCTCTATGGGTGGATTCAGATTGACGATAAGCTGTCATTGCACCAAAACATCTGATTGGGGGATGCCTTGTTGACCATTTCTTCTGTTGTGTTCGTTTGCCAACTCGAGAAAAAAAAAAAGAGCAAATGGAGCTGAAATTGCCATCCAGCTCAGTGCTTGCGGAAGGAGAACTGTAATTACCTTCCAAGGTCAAGGGCATTTTCGTCACCGTAATTCCATACAGGCGTAGATCTGGGGGGAGGGGGTCCACTAACTTAAGTGGTGAAACCTTCTGGTCATCATTAATCCCATCGTAAAGTGAAGTGAACACAGCCGAAAGCCCACTAACATATTAAAAATTAATGGGCCAGCTACTAACGATGGTCATTAATGGAAATTAACAAATTTAAGGATACGTTTATTTCGCGAAAAATGAACGGTTTAGAAAATATATTTCTGTAAATGATCGCTTGTCTCGCTCGTAAAATAAATAGACAAAAAAAATTTGATCGTCTCCGAAAAAGGTTTAGACATAAATTTTTGTCGACAATGAAAATAATTTTTATTGACTAATTATATCAAGTAATGCGGGTGATCATTTTTAGAAATTGTTTTTTTTTTTTTTGATAACCCAGGAAACCCCCGCACGGCCGACAGCCGGAGGGGTAAACCTGCGGTGACGCTAGCGCAGGATCCACCACCACGGCGCCACACTTAAGAATCCCTAACGCCTACGCTGGGGTTCGAACTCCGATCCCTTCGTGGGGGGACAAGAGCGCAAGCCAACGCAATCGCTGCGGGCGGTGATCATTTTTTTTTTTTTTTCATTTTTAGAAATTGTTCGTTTTTCATGAAACAAACGAATCCCAAATCCTTATTCTTTATCTTCGCCAAATTACTTCTCTTCTTTAGCGGAAAAACTTGATTGCACTATACTCTTTATTCCTACATGGTGCTGCACTTTCTTTTTTCAAGCTCATCGATAGGTTCATCCTTTCATTGACAAGGGTAATGATATAAATAGTTCCTAGATATTCACTCAATGCTCAATATCATTTCTGAATTCTTTGTTGTTTAAATTAGTCACCAGATGATTTGAATTTCGCACAACGTAGTGCCTCTGTAGAAAAACCAACGTCGGTACCAAAGCCGGTAACTTGCCGTTAAATTATGCATGGCAACATCCGTTATGTAGCCGCCAAAGAGCGACCACCAGAAGCGCGTGGTCTCTCTCTCTCTCTCTCTCTCTGAATCCACCAAAGACCGATCACCGGCTGCAATCACTCTCTCTCTCTAGAATCGAAATCACCGGCGACATGGCCACCAATTGTGGCCGAGGACGGATGGAGGAGGGAGAGGGGCAAAATCCGTGTAAGCCCTAACCCTAATTTCAAAAGTATACTTCTACAATAGTAGATTTAGAACACAGGGAACACTTTATAAAGAGTACTTTAATCTGATTAGAATTTGATTTTGTTTTCTCCTACTCTCAATCTTCTTCGTCCTTTTCCTTATCTGTATTTGGGAAATTTAACATAGTAAAATTACCCTGGATCTTTTTATTTGTCTAATGCTAATCGGTTAGTCATATGATTTATTCAAAATTTTCTTGTATTTATGCATATCAAAATTTTCATGCCTACTATTTAGAGCAACATAATTTTTCTTTTGCCCGACCTACTTTTAACTCCCCCTCAGACTTTTACTTCGCCTCCTTACAAAGCGCGGGATTTGAAACCCATATCTGAAACTAAATATCCATATCCTTAATCTCCCTCGAGAAAGTGGGGGATCGAACTCCTCACCTCCCTCTTCCCAAGTAAATGCGTCGGAAATGCGTGCAAGAATATCTCTCTCGCTCGCTCGATCGGACATAAAAAGATCACCTGAAAACCCCTTTTACCGCAATTTCTCATTCTGTTTCCTTTTTTTTTTTTTTGCGAGGGGCCGGAATTTTTTAAAAAAAAATTCCACGTCGGGGGTAATAAGCAAACAAATAAATAAATAATGCCAAAAGTTAATACTTAATACCTGACTCATTCACAGGGCGAGATCTCTCGTCAAAGAAAGGACAAAAGAAAAGGGGAAAAAGGGGGACATGATGATGATGGGCTTAGACCGATCCCTCCCCCGATTTAGAAGACCTTAAACAATCCAAAATTAAGTCCAAACCTCTCTCGTGTCTTTTGGTCTCCGCCGAAGTCAATATCGGAATCCCAGACAATGCCACCCCGCTCCCTCTCTCTCTCTCTCTAGAATTTAAGACTAGACTACTACTACTTTGTTCGACGAAATCCCCCAATCACGCGATGGATCACGGCGCACGTCACCGCATCCCCACCTGCTCTCTCGACTGGCTCGCATCAATCGCTCCTTATTTTGTCCTTAATTTAAAACGAAGCCTTCGCCGGAGGGGCCCCCGATCTAATTTGCAGGCTTCGCCTGTTTCGCGAAAAATGAATAATTCGATAAATATTTTCTCCGGACACGATCGGTTGCGCGATTTGAGATGATTGGTCAGTTGAGATTATTGGCGATGTTCATTGATTTCTGTAAGCGATATATACGATCACTTTTAAGAAAATATTTTTTGAGATTAGAGAGTTTATGAACAACATTAAACATATTTATACATTCCGTAGACTAAATTGAACATGTACTAAAAGTTCATGGGCCGCATTGAACAAATCGAAAGTGCACAGACGGCGCTGCACAAATGACGCTGCATAGATGGCGTTGCACTTTAGGTTAAAGTATAAGGACAATATTCAATAAATTTAAAGTTTAGAGACCACAAAGTGAAATCAGCCGAGAAAAATGGTTTCAAAATCGATTTTTTTAATTTATTTCTCGGCACGATCTTCTTCAGCAATGCCGTCGCGAGGCAATTTCTTTACCAAAATTCGCAAAGACTTTCGTTTGACACGAGATCTAAAAAAAAAAGAAGCATCAAAATGGTCCGAGGAAAAAAACAAAAGAGGGTCACATCGAAATATTTTAATCGCGAGAAGCGGCGACCAATCATCAGCCGACACCTGTCGTAGATTACCCGATCCCCACCCAGCCATCGCCGCGCATAACGTTTAAATGCCCAAGGAAAGAAAGACTTCAGAGAGAGAGAGAGAGAGAGTTTGAAAAAAAAAAAAAAAAAAACGAGAAAAGGAAGGACGGGGTGAGCAGGACGGAGAGCGACATGCAACGATCTGGCGCACATCCCACACAGGGAAACATAAATGCGAGAGAGAGAGAGAGAGAGAGAGAGAGAGAGAAAGTGGGTTATGGGAGGAAGAGGGAGAGAGGCCCCACACCCGCGCATTCCCGCATTTCGCTGCCTTTACGATGTCCAGCTGCGAACCGGAACAAACGGAGAGAGAGCGCGCGAGAACCTCATTCCCTTCTCGAGTCGTCGTCGTCGTCGTGGGTTGTGCAGGACGCTGCTGTTGTTGTTCGATGATGACGAGGGAGGAGGATGCGATGCTCGTCATTCTGAGTCACGAGCGCTAAATGTGGCGGTACCCCTCCTCTGTCCTTCCGTGTGTCCGCCGTGTGTTTGCTCTGTGCGCGCGTGTTGGGGGACGCTCGCTCGCTCGCTCGCCCGCTCGTCGATCCAAATTTAGCCCCCCCCCCCCCCCCGCGTCCGTGATTTTCTCGCTTTTGCCCCTTCCCACCCCCCATTGCGGTTTTCGGTTTCTTGTCTTGTTTTCTCGGGGCGAATGATGTCTGGTTTTCTCTTTTGATTATTAGTATATTCGGCGCGTTTGGACTTCTTGTGCGCAGGATTATTATTATAATAACGCGGGGGCTTTTACTGCGTTTCCTTTCCTTGTGGGGTCGGTTTCTAATTTTCTTTTCCGGTTTGCTCCTTTTTGGGCATACGGGATTTTCTCTCCCGGCCGTGTGTGTCCCTTGTTCAGTGAGTTCCTAAAGGCCGAGCTTTCTCTCGCCCGACGTTTCGATTTCCCTTTAGGGTTTCGCGTCTCGATCTCTCCTCTTCGCCGGGGGGGTGGTGGGAAACGGAGCTTCCCCATCGTGTTCGGAACTGGGGCGCTGCTCGATTTCTCTTTTGCTTTTTTGGCTCGGAATTCCCGTTGGTTTCTTCCTCGTGAATCCCCCCCCGCTTGCTTGAATCATGAGGCCCCGTCGCGATCGCGAGTGATCCCCGTTTTTGGACTGGCAATTCGGGAGCTTCTTGCGGCTTCGGTGGCGTTTGCTCCGTGTCGATACAATTTGTTCATAGGCCTGTGGAAAGAGATGAGCTGCTTCTCGTGTCTCAGCTCTCGCCGTAAAGACGGTAGCAGGATTGAAATCGATAATGGCATTCGATCTAACTCTCGCTACTCGGCCGATACCTCAGGTTCGCTCTGGTCTGTTTCGGTTTCCCATTTAATATCTTGTACCTTCTGGATGTGATTGAAACGTAAATGGCCCGAGTGGGATTCGCTTTCTCGTGTTGAATTTGAATGGTCGATGATTTGCAGGAAGCGGCAAGCGCAAAGCTAATTATGATGATGATGGTATGATTTGGATACCCATTTGAGAAAATTCAATACCTTTGCTTTTAAACCGTTCAAGATCTTATTTTTGCGTGTTGCTGTTAATTATGTGGTTATATATGTAGGGAGTGGAAGGAGAAAAGGATCTAGAAATGGCAAGAACAAGGATGGCAGTAGTCCAAAAGGCAATGCAGCACGGAGCTTCACGTTTCGTGAATTGGCGACGGCGACGAGAAACTTTAAGGAAGTAAACTTAATTGGTGAAGGGGGGTTTGGCAAGGTTTACAAGGGACGGTTGGAAACAGGCGAGGCAAGTTGCATCACATTATGAGTCTCTTTGATCTCGAAATCTTTGATTGTGTTGTGCTTGAGGTTTGTGTCCACTGCAGCTTGCTGAGGCTGCATGAACACTTTTACTGCCATTCGAATGTGGGAATGGTTCTTCTCGTGTCACTTATTAAGTCGCTGTATCAGGTCGACCTGGATTAAATTGGTATCATCATTGGTTGACACAGATCCTTTATTTCTTGAGAGCAGGTGGTTGCAATAAAACAACTCAATCATGATGGTCTTCAGGGATTTCAGGAGTTCATTGTGGAGGTTCTTATGTTGAGCCTATTGCACCATTCCAATCTAGTGACTCTGTTTGGATATTGTACTGATGGAGATCAAAGACTATTGGTTTACGAGTACATGCCAATGGGTAGCTTGGAAGATCATCTATTCGGTAAAGTTCTGTCTTGCACTTTCGTGTGCTTCTTCCATTATCTGCGATTTTTCGTAAACTCTACATTGAATGTAACCTCGATGTTTCAGCAGAAAGTGCTGTTCCTGCTGTATAATGCTACTCTTCTTTTCAACTCCTATAGGGAAATTCTGTTCTAAAAATGTCCATAAGAAGGGGAAAATGTAGAAAATATGTCTGCTTGTTTGAGCAATGGAATGATTTCAGTTGCCTTCAAGAGCGCAGAGTCTAAGAATAATCTTCTGTTTGGGTATTTGATGTTACTAGTAGATGGCTTGAGCTTTCTGCACAGATGGAGATTTAATTAACCAGTAGACAATTGCAAATAAGTCTCAAGGAGGTTAGGCGTTGCTGTTGCTGGATGACTGGCAATACAACAATATATATTTCTTCTACTTCTTTTGAGTTGCATGTCGTCTATCTTTGGTAATTGGATGAATTGCTGTCGCAATTACAAGTTCCCAAAGTTTAGGTGTGTTGCACTAACTCATCGAACTTATTTGATCTAAACATTTGGCATGCTTGGCAAAATGAATATGTTGAGGTTAGTGCCTGTGGATCAATATTCTAAAATTAATTATAGGTTATATTCAACATAGCTGGAAGAAGCATGGGAATGAGCAAATTCTTACTGTAAATTGAAGAGCAATGTTGTGGCAATGTGACAAGCTGGTCCTAGTGAATTAACAGTTATATGGTTTCCTGTTTAAGTAGAAAAGTCTGATTTTGGCAACTAAAAAGAATGATGATCCTGTAACTCGTGTATTTCCCTGGAAGCTTTTTAATAAAGAATATATAGCATAGAACGTGATAAGGTGTTGTAAGTAACATAGAAGCCATAGAATCAAATTTGTGGATGTTTTTTCGGTATTGGCCAGACTTGGTAGGCACTGTTTCAAAACTGTAAACTATGGCAGGCTAATGAATAATTGCATAAAATTTTAGCAAGAGTGTTAGTGTGTTCGAGATTTAGTGCACTATACGGTCAAATTCATTGACGTATTCAAGGCATGGGCAGCATATTGATACACTGCTTTACCATCTAGTGTATCATGCGAAATTAACCTATTTTGGTTAATAACCTGACTGAGTCGGATAATGTACGTTTTTTTGTAGATCTCGATCCTGGTAAAGCACCTCTTAATTGGAGCTCAAGGATGAAGATTGCTGTAGGTGCAGCAAGGGGCCTTGAGTATCTACACTGCAAAGCAAATCCTCCTGTTATTTACAGGGACTTGAAGTCAGCAAATATCTTGCTTGACAATGATTTTAATCCAAAGTTGTCAGATTTTGGGCTGGCTAAATTAGGTCCTGTTGGTGATAATACTCATGTTTCGACGAGAGTGATGGGAACATATGGATACTGTGCTCCAGAGTATGCTATGAGCGGCAAATTGACTCTTAAATCTGATATCTATAGCTTTGGTGTGGTTCTTTTGGAGATCATTTCTGGACGAAAGGCAATAGATATCACCAAGAAGCAGGGAGAACAAAATCTGATCGCCTGGGTGAGTCCATAGTGCTTGTATTTTCTTTTTTTCAGTTTGCTCGTGATACTTTAGCTGCTGCTAGTCAAAGGTGTCTCTATACTAATCAATGGTTACTTGTGAATTATCCATGCGGTCATGATATTGATAGGGCGAAGCATGTAGGGTAAAGAATGTACTCTGTTCTGTCTATCAATTTTTAGTACTCCATATTCTGTGGCATAGGCTCTATTTTTTCAACTGGACATAAAAGTGGATTGAGAGATCAATTATGTCTTATTCTTTGCTCCGTTGTCACGATCTGTTGTTGCAAGTGAGATTTTTTTGCCTTTCTCTGTTACAATAGCATTGATATAGGAAGTGTGATGCGTCATCAGTTCTGGACAAATTCGGAATTGTTATGTTGTCAGCTGTCTTGCGTTTTTCTTTAGTTCATCTGTTTCATAGAATGTGTCTATTACTGTTGTATTTGATAATTGAGGATGATTCCGTTCCTCTACCATGTTATCAAAGTGATCGAAGACAGTTTGTATAATTGGCCATAAATACACAGAAAAGGACAATTCAGCTCAACTAGGCCTTAAATTTTTAGACACAACAGAACATCTTGCTGCTTGCTGCTTACTGCTTAACCGTTGATTCGTTTTCCCTTTTCTTCCTTTTGCAGTCTAGGCCGTATCTGAAGGACCGAAGGAAGTTTTCCCAATTGGCCGATCCTCTACTACAAGGACGCTTTCCTGTACGCTGTCTTCATCACGCGATTGCCATCACCGCAATGTGTCTCCAGGAACAGCCTAATTTCCGTCCACTCATTGGCGACATCGTCGTCGCACTCGAGTACCTGGCGACTCAAAGTAGCAGTAGCGGGGCTCACAGTCCATCCTCTCAATCGCCTGGTAGAAGATTGGATTCCAGAACTAGTTCAATAGCGGTTTGACAGGTCACGAGCTGCTGTCATGTATGACAACTGCATGTACATTTGTTTCATATCTTGTCTTCCTCTTGGGCTTGATAATACTCGCTCGCCGCCGACCGAGGGAATGGAGTTAGTGGAGCACCGTAGTTGATGGTTGCTGAAGCATACGGCAGAGGGGCTTCCTGATGTGTTATTGCATGGAAAAAAGATTTGTGGAGAAGATAGGGCAAAAGATGACGGGTCGTTCATATCCCTTTCATTTTTCAATTAATGTTTATATAGTGGCCTTTAGTTATATGGAATACTTGTGAATTCTTGCTTTCATGTCTTCATGAGTAACATTTAGGTTGAGTTCTTGCATCAACTTTATCAAGAATCGAGCGCAGAAAAAGAGCAAACAAGCAGTTGTGAACTACAAAAAGCAAGGGTGGCAACGGATCGCCAATCCCTCGATAGCCGTCGAATGTAAAAATGGTAAATCTCGCCCATTGATTGTAAGATCTATATGTTTCGTGGTTTTCTGCTAAGAGAGACGGAGGAGTAGAGCTAAGCATCGTGGGCATGTTGACTTGACTATTTGTCCTGTAACTTTGCTTGTGCTTTTCGTACGCAAGTCATGATAGGGTGTCGACAAAAGTTGGACACTAGAGAAGGAAAAGAAACAAAGGAAGCCCCTTTTCGGACGCTGAAGATGACTTTCGAAGATGGGTGATGTGATACTTCAATGCTAATCGAGCATACCGTATAACATTACAAGCGCATCGTATCCTAACGTATCGTCGTGATCAAATACAAAAATGAAAGTATCGCGACAGCAAGTCAATGAGGTAAGATTATCGCGGTAATTAAGTACAAAAACATCGCAATGGCGAGAGTCAATAAAGTGAGATGAGGGTAAAGTAAAGGACGGATGTTTCTCTGGAGGGGGGTCGCCTCTAATCTGTCTGTTTCTGTCGGTGGATAAGAAAAAGTCTTGAGAATTCGTGTGTGATTGAAAGTATCTTGTCGTGGATGGATATTGCCCTTTTTCTGTGGGGGAGAAAAAGTCGTGATTTTTAAGAGATTGTCATTGGGTGATGTTGCTTTTTTCTCTCTTTGCTTGTCGGGACATATTTGGATTTTATACGCCATTGAGCCCCTCCAATCCCTGAAAATTACCGGCTTGCTCCCATTTGAGATCATTCAAATCACAAAGAGGAGGTTCAGAAATTCCTTATTTTAAGTTTATATGAGAAAGAGCTAGAATGGTTGGAGTGGGGAGACACACAGCTCTTCCAATGAGAAAGAGCTTAAATTCCACATCTGCCCCTACATAATAAGCAAATTTGTGTTTTCGCCCCCGATGGGAAAATTGCCCAAGATGTCCCGGACCTATTGTACGGCGATCAATTCAGTTTTGAATATTTTAATTGTGTCAATTAATCATAAATCTTCGATTTGTCATTTTGTCCTAAACTTTTTAATTGTTTCAATTTAGCCTCCGGCGAGTCGGCATGGGTCAAGTTTAGAACTAAATTCACAATCGTCAAAAGGTTTAAGACTAAATCGGCACAACTGAAAGATTTATGACTGACTTGGCCGCCGTGCAAAAAATTTAGAGGTTTTTGGACAATTTTTCCTAATCCCAACTATTCTCACTCTCGATCTCCCCTTCATACAATGATCTTTCATATGGGTAGTTGGTCCAATCGTCGATTCCTTTGGGACATTAGCTTTTCTTGTGAGCGTCATTGGTTCAAATCATTCGAGTGCTTAGAAGATCTCTAAGCATTTTAGCTCGGGATTCGTGCGCTTTTTAGCAAGATCGCGTGTTTGAGCCATAGCACTCATGAATATTCGACCGGCTCCCACAGGGATTTCTCGCCTTCCAGGCACATCGATGGAGTTAATGGCGATGAGCTCGCCGGCTTCGCACTTTCTTCTTCGAATCACAGGTGGATTGAGCAGTTATGACTCAGACCATACGGCTCAGGGTATATGGCTCTTGCAATAATGCACATGGTTAAATTACCTGCGTTGCCCGCATTTTCCCGACACATAGCTAAGGAAAAAGATTGTCCAAAGTAAAGTGAGATTTCTTGCTCGTCACTTCTTGTTCCTCAACAACTCCGTGGCCATTTCAATCCAACTCTTGGGGGCACACTTTTGGCCTATGTTCTTGTTCATATCTACTGGCCGAAAAGGTGCTTTCCTTTGTATTTAAACTAGCGAGTCTAAAGGTAAGCACAAATTGTCTTTATTTGCGTGTCCTCATATGTAAATTAATTGTACGTTATAGCTACTATTCGTGGAGAAGGGCAAAAGCACGTACTTACCCTTTCTTGACCCAATCGACCAGTTATCTTTCGAGAGTTTTAAGCATCTTTCGGGATCGAATCATCAACTTGTTAATGAGGGGTGAGTATGATTGTAGGATAGAACTTGGAACCTGATAATCGGATCGTGAAAATATGTCTTGTTTCAGGTTCCAAGATATGCATGGTAGGTCCAGGTTCGATAAATTGGGGAACCTATTTTGATGGGTAGGTTCTAGGTTATAGGTTCTAGATAGGTGAAACCTGAAACCTAAAATAAGTTTTTGTGTTTTTCTTGGTCTATGTCTTCGCATGATCCTGTAATATTTCATAGCATCCGATAATTTAGAATCACTAATATGAGCTTCCGTTTTATGATTGAGCTTTTACTTTGTTAATATTTCATATTCTTCGTATGTCTAAATATAAGTTGTAGTCAGTAGATTGTAGCAGCAAGTGGTGGTCGTTAAAAGTGATGATTCACTACAATACAGATGGAACCTAGGTAAACCCTAGAACCGACCCTAGAATTTGTGATAGGATAGGTTCCAGGTTCCAGAGTATGTAGGGTAGATTTCAGGTTCCAAAAAACGAGAAACATGTTCCAACGGGTAGATGTTTCAGTGGAACCTGTAGGGAACCTGAAACCGCTCACTCCTACTATTAGGGTGCGCATGGAATGCATTCCGGAATAAAAATTCTGTTCCGGAATGCATTCCAGAATAAAAATTCTGTTCCAGAATGCATTCTGGAGCAATTTTTGCATTCTGAAATAAAAATGCGTTTGTTAAAAATACTTGATTCCAGAATGCATTCTTGATTCCGGAATGCATTTTTGATTCCAGAATGAGTTTTTGGCAAGAAAAAGAGAAGCTACTTTTTATAGCTTCTTGATTCCGGAATGCATTCTCCTTATTTTCTCATAATTTTTTTTTTCAGAAAATGCATAAAAATTGAAAAATTCTAGAAAAAATCATAAAAATTTCCAGAAAATAAAAAAAAGTCAGATTTCGGGAAAATATGAAATTTGGTGAATTTTTTTTTTAAAAATAAAAAAAATCAAAATTTTCAAAACTTCACAGAATAACTTAAAATACCCGTGGCCACCCACTTTGAGTGAAATTTAAATTTTTTGAGGTGTCCAAAAAAAAGAAAAATAATAATAAAATAAAAATTTTCAAAACTTCACAAAATGGCTTAAAATACCTGCACACCCACTTTGAGTGAAATTTAAATTTTTGAGGTGCCAAAAAATAATAAAAATTTCAAAACTTCACAGAATGGCTTAGAATACCATGACCACCCACTTTGAGTGAAATTTAAATTTTTTGAGGTGCCCAAAAAAAATAAAAAATAATAAAAAAATGCAAAACTTCACAAAATGGCTTAGAATAACTGTGGCCACCCAATTTGAGTGAAATTTAAATTTTTTTAGGTGCCCAAAAAAATTTTAAAAAATCAAAAATTTCAAAACATTATAGAATGGCTTATAATACCTGTGGCCACCCACTTTGAGTAAAATTTAAATTTTTTTAGGTGCAAAAAAAATCAACAAATCAAAACAGATTGCCCGTAAATCAATTTCTGGAGCGAGATTAGTCATGTTTTACCAAACAGATTTTCTCTTCCGTAAATCAATTTCTGGCAAGAATTTGATTTCTGGAGCAGAATGGTTACCATTCGCACCCTTAATGACCATCGAATAGAAAAAAAAGGGAAAATTCTCGCATGTTAATCGCAGAACCTTCGAATTTTTTATGCAACATGACATTCTATTTGGAGTCAAAGAGAACATGTAAGAAGTTACGAAAAATTACAATAGAAGGACTTCCATACTGTAATTTGTACTTATATTTGTTCTTGAATGAATAATGTATAAAGGGAAACTGACAGAAACAGTCCCTGAATTTTAGCCTAACGTGTAATTTGGTCCATAAACTTTTAATTTGTTTAATGTAATTATGAACAAATTATAAAAGTTTGCATTTTTCAAAGAGCCGAAGGAGACCCGGTCAAGGATTCCGAGTACCAGGTCAGCCCTTTCCCCTTAAATGCTTAGGAAATACATGTCGCTTTGACTTGCACATCTTAAATTGAACCTACTAGTGCGTGCAAATAATTATAGCCTGAAGCATATTTTGGTCAGTCTAGTTTTCCATCAACATTAGACCATCATTAACAATTGATTAAGGTATCATGCCGCGATTAAATACTTTAAAGACGAGGCGATGCCGGAAGAAAAATATTCTGCGAATCGCCGAGATTATTTAGTATTGGCGCCTCCCTTTTTTCCGCACCAATTCTGGATAAATTACAGCATAAATTTCAAGAAATTATAGGAAAAATAAATCTAATTGTCTATATTTATATAAGGTGAGATCCGCATGAAGCAAAGAGTACAAATAAATAGGGTTAACACCACGAAAAACCCCAAACCGGTATGCATGTAACAAATTTACCCTAAACTAACTTCTTGACCACCAAAAACCTCAAACCGGTATACTTATGACAAATTTACCCTCTGTTAGTTTTCGTTAAATTTTACTGTCAATTTGCTGAGTTTGATGACATGGTACGGTTGACGGGTATACAAGTTTGGGGTTTTACCCTTCGTTTGTCACAAGTGTACTGGTTTGGGATTTTTCGTGGTGCTAATCCAATTTAACGAAAACTAACAGAGGGTAAATTTGTTAGAGGTGTACTGGTTTGGGGTTTTTTGCTGTCAAAAAGTTAATTTGAGATTTTTCGTGGTCAAAAAACTAATTTAAGGTAAATTTGTGGTAGTTTAAGGTTTTCCGTGGTATTAACTAAAAAATAAAAAAATAAAAAAAGGCGTGAAATTAGTTGGAGAGGAGAATGAGCAAACGATGGGAGGGAGGGATGGTGGGAACGGAGGGGAAGGCTGTTAGTCCACGGTCAACGTGGCAGGTGGGTCGATGTACGTGGGGCCCCATACCGGGGGGGACCCACGTCGGGTGTCCTGTCCAGCTCGGAGGGGATTCCCCCACGCGCGCGTGCGATTCGCCCATCAAGAAAACAAAATGAATTTCTGCGACAGCTTACGCGGCCATTGACTTTCTCTCCGTCTCACCATCTCCATCATCTCAAGAGCTTTTCAGCTTGAATCGTACACCAAAATATCAGCTCGATTCGTGGGGCGAGGGACGAAAGGGGAAGGAGGGTATTTAATGAGACGCATTGGACTTCCATAAAGAATACTAATTCAGCAACACCTCGACTTCGGCAGCCGCAGCAAGAAGAAGAAGGAAGAAGAAGTCCACGCGCTGGTCTCCTACTTCTCTTCCCCGCGCTTTCGTCCCCCGGAGCTTGCAGAAACGCATTGGACTTCCATAAAGAATACAAATTCAGCAACACCTCGACTTCAGCAGCCGCAGCAAGAAGAAGAAGGGAGAAGAAGAAGGAGGGAGAAGAAAGAAGCAGTCCACGCGCTGGTCTCCTACTTCTCTTCCCCGCGCTTTCGTCCCCCGGAGCTTGCAGTCAAAACTTTCAAGCGTCGTGCATGGAACAACTCCCTCCTCCATACATCGCTTAAGCCTCTCTCTCTCTCTCTCTCTCTCTCTCTCGCTAAAACGCCAGAACCCAGAAGAAGCCCGGATAGATAGAGAGAGAGAGAGCGCGCGTCTCTTGATCGAGGATGGGGAATTGCTGGGGAGATTCGTCGGCGGAAGAAAGCCACGCCCCCCATAAGCGACCTCCGCATCCTCCAGGTATAATTCTTGATCGATGCGTCGTCGCTCGGAACCCCCCCGTTTTCGGGGTCTCTTGAATCGGTTCTTGGTTTGCGTTCGAGCTCTGCTGTTGAGCAGTTCCTTTCGGATCTTTTTGAAACGCGTTCATACTGTGTTCTCTCGACGATCGCGTGCCAAGTGCGGGAAAGTCAACGCTCGGCATGATGATGATGATGATGATCAAATGATTATCATTGCGCTTAACCCTAAGCCTCGTGCCCATCTGTTTTAGCTGCACTGATTAAATAAATCGCGTTCATATTGTGTTCTTGGGAGATGGACGCTGTTCAAGTTGCTTCGAAAGAACTTTGTCTTTCTTCCTCATCGTTCAAGCTTTAATCTGTTCGACCCGATTCGATACGCGAATGTTGCAGAATCGAGGAAGAGCAACTCCAACCACAACAAGCAGGACGCATTTCTGAGAAAAAAAGCCGGCGACGGCGGCAATAGCAGCCACAACGGCGCCCTCAGGAACGGCGGCGGCAGCGGCGGGGAGAACGAGCAGAAGACCCCGCCATCGGCCCCCATCCCCGTCCCCGCCTCGAAGGCATTACTGCCGAACTTGAAGATGTTCACGTTCGCGGAGCTGAGGAGCGCGACCCGGAACTTTCGGCCCGACACGGTGCTCGGGGAGGGCGGCTTCGGGAGGGTGTTCAAGGGCTGGGTCGAGGAGGGGACGTACAAGCCGTCGAGGGTCGGGGTCGGGATACCGGTCGCCGTCAAGAAGTCGAGTCCTGATAGCCCCCAAGGTCTGCAAGAATGGCAGGTACATCTCTATCCATCTATTTTGAATTATCAACTTGATGGAGTATCTTCAAACATGATGGGCGCCGATTTGTTCATATTCAACGTCAAAGCCTGGAGAGATAGAGATGTTTTGTTCTTGGTTTTTTTTTATAAAGAGTCAAAATATGAATTGATTCTTGAAATTTTTTGGGTGGTTTTTGTAGGCAGAAGTGAAGTTCTTGGGCAAATATTCACACCAAAACTTGGTCAAATTGATTGGTTACTGTTGGGAAGACACACAGTTCCTCCTCGTATATGAATACATGCAGAAAGGGAGCTTGGAACACCACCTCTTCAAAAGTAAGACATCCTCTGTTTAATCTCATGTTGTTAATAATGATTCCCATTTCGATTTAGCCAAGAAATATGTTCACGCGCTCATATGTAGAAGTAGCTATTATTAGCTAAGGGTGATGGGTTCCGGATTTGATCGGTTCGGTTTCCAATTCAAAAAATTTGAAATTGGGGAGTTACTGGATCGGGTCACCCTTAGTTGCTAGCTATCAAACCGGCTGGTTTTAATCCAGTTTCCGATTTAACCCAAGATCCGGCTTGCCTTTTTTGTGTAAAAATTAAATTCTTATAATGAGATTTGCACCATTTCATTGTAAAAACATATGTTGGTCAAGTGGTTATATTGTTAAAAAAAAGTGGTTATGATGTTGTTTCTTCATTATGAAAACTATGGTTTTCAAAATGGTTGCAATGTATTTTTTTTGTCCCTAAAAGAGGCTTTTAAAATCTATTTAGAACTGATTCTTTTCGGAAATCGTTTGAAAACAGGAACAGAACCGATTCTCTCAAGAACCGGTCAATCTAGGCCAGTTAGGTTTGGCTCCCGAGTCAAACCGGACCCGATGCTCCACCATACTATTAGCTAATAACTTATATGAATGTTAAAATAAACGTACTTAACCAAAAAAGAAAATGCCGTAAGTGTCGCTATTCAAAAGCCGAATTGCAAAGATTTTATCCTTTAATTCCGCTTACGTACTAATTCAAAAATTTCCTACTCCATTGCAGGGGGTGCGGAACCGTTGCCTTGGGATGTCCGGCTGAAAATCGCGATCGGAGCGGCGCGAGGGCTCGCCTTCCTTCACACCTCGGAGAAATCCGTGATCTACCGCGATTTCAAGGCCTCCAACATTTTGCTGGATGGGGTAAACATTTTTATCTATCGTTATGTTATGAGTAGAAAAGACTTAGAGAGCAATCGTCCCTTTTAATAAAACAATTAAAAATAAAAAATTGAACCGGTTTAATTTTCTTTTATTTAATCCGAGTCTTAATTAGGCCTTTGATTTTTCATTTTCCAGGAATTTAATGCAAAGCTTTCGGATTTTGGGCTAGCAAAGTTGGGCCCAACAGATGGCAATACCCATGTCTCCACTCGTATAATGGGCACCTATGGCTACGCAGCCCCCGAATATATGGCCACAGGTAACCAGCGAGTTGCTAATTATCGACCACGACGTTCGGCTCGGTTCGCCCGAACGATCGTGGGATCCATCAGATTCAACGGTTGTGTCGGATTTAGGTTTTCGGCTGACGAACATGATGATGACGCTTGCGATTTCGATTTCTTTTTGGCCAGGTCATCTCTACATAAACAGTGACGTGTACGGCTTCGGAGTGGTGCTCCTGGAATTGCTGACGGGCCTACAGGCCCTGGACTCGAAGCGGCCCAGCAGCCAGCACAATCTGGTGGAATGGGCCAAGCCGTCCTTGTCCGAGAAGAGGAAGCTCAAGAAGATCGTCGACCCGAGGCTCGACAACGAGTACCCGTCGAAAGCCGCGGCCCAAGTGGCCAAGCTCATCCTCAAGTGCCTCGAGGGCGACCCGCGGAAACGGCCCTCCATGGAAGACGTCCTGGCGACCCTGGAGCTGGTCAACACGATCAAGTCGAAGCCCAGGGAAGTCCGGCCCAGGTCGGAGCAGCTCGCGTCGAGACACGGCGACCAACGGTCGCCGTTGCATCACCGCCACCGCCACAACCACCACCGCCACCAACACCGGTCGCCATTGCACCGCCGGGAAGGTCAGGAGGGCGGGTCTTCCTCGGCGAGATCGCTCTAGACATGGAGAGAGCGAGAGCGGATGTACTAATTTTGGCGTCACTTCCATTCAATTTCTATAGAGGTGTAGTTTATTGTGTATCGGGTCGTATCGGCGCTCAATAAAGTGATACGATGTACGATGTATGATTACATGTATAGCGAAACAATTCATTCGGAGACTCCGGTCTCTCCTTAGCAAGAAAAGGCACGGCCCTAGTGTCTTTCCGGATCAGTCCCTTCCTAATGCAAAGCTTCCTATACATACTTTGGGGTCTATCTTAGAAACTTTGGATCCGCTCGAACCAAGACTCCTTGTACCCATTCAAGCAATTGAGCTCATCTTTTATCCTACTTTGCTAGAGCGGTTCAATCGCAGCCGGGTCGTACCGAATTTAGGTTTGCGAAATTGCAATCCCCGACGAAATAGACGCTATACCAAACACCCTCTTAACGCGTCCTCAAATTTTAGCGACGCTGCTCAGCGGACTCGAGACTCGGGGCACCAGATGCTCGGCACGGTTCTATCAGTGAGGCTCGCGCGGATCACACCCGATCGATCGGTGGGCTACCATGGCCGGTCCGCTCGGTCAATGTGCGGGCTGGCTTTGGGCTTGCTGGGGGGGTGGTCTTGAGACCTTGCTCTCGAGCCCGTGCGTGCTTCTCTCCAATTTGGGTGGTTTGGACTTCATCGTTCAGCGCTCCACCATGACCTAAAGCTACTCAGAGACCGTGGGTGAACGGTGAAATCCATCAGATTTTCTTGGATTTGATTGGGCCCTTGGCACACAATCTTGTCTTGGCCTTGTTCATCATTGCTAAAGCATAATCACACTTGCTTAGCTGTTCAGATAACGGAACGATTTAGTGCGAGATCATCCCTCCCAGAGGCTCCGAAGCATCCAATCCAAGCGCCTGATTATTTAATGAGAAAAAACCTCAGATTATGCTTACTGCAATAGACTTACCTTTAAGTTTTTTACAAACTTATACATGTGTGACCCATTTATCCTACATAAATAATATCTACCTAGTGTCACGGACCGTGATTCTCCCGTACTCTCTTACCCTTGTAAGTGGAACTTGGTGCCGTCGGGGAGTAAATGATGCAGAGAGGATGATACAACTGGTTTGTAGAAGTGAAGTCGGGGTGGTTTGTGCTATGAGTTCTAGGTTAGAATGAATAATCCTTAGGAGCTCGGGAGGTGAGGTTGGCCTCCCGTGCACAAATTGGTTAGAAGTTGATACTGCTCTCCCGATGAGGTCATGGCAAATCAAAACTAGTTATTGTACTTAAAGTGTTATGTGTATCTCACTCAAGGGATTTGATGTATGAGTTAAACTGGTCGTGATACGATCCAATACGAGGATGCTATTCGCCGTATTGTTCTTAGGAATAACTATAGAATGAAGGCTGCCCCTATTCTTCTCGATCGCTAGGCGCCGCACGAGCTATTCCGCGACCAAAAAACTATCGGCCTGTGATAAATGGTACCAGAGCAGGGATCTCTTCAGTAGGTGGGTGATTTGGGATAAACCTATGGTCTTCCTAGTCCTATGAGAACGAAGAGTGAATCGCCAGGGCTTAGAGGGCTCGGACAATGTGCGGCTCTCATCTAACTTCTATGATGGCAATAGGGGCATAGGGAGGAATCAAATTATTCACTGAATGAGGATAACGTTCCTAAATCAATTGGAGAATCTTAAGAAGAGGTATGTTATCATGTTCCGATAATGGGAGAACCCTCCATTGGCTTGCTAAGATCAGGAGAAGTTGGGTAGGTGAAAGAAAGTGATGCCAAGGGAGCACAAGTCACTGGAGATTCGCGAATAGCTTTGATCAAGGGAAGCTACTAGTGGAATTGAGTGGTCTATTCAGTTGGGTGTGCGTTGCCATTTATGTAAGTCCCGGGGAGTGGCGTTGATGGTTGGGAAATGTGGGGGAGCGACATGATAGCCCACAATGAAGGCGTTGCGGATTGAGTGGCGGATAATGTCACAGACAGTGATTCTCATATACTCTCGTACTCTCGTCTAGGTAAAAATTGAGTGATGCAGAGGGGATAATATAACTGATTCGTGGAAATGGCGTCAAGGTGGTTTATGTTAGGAGTTCTAGGTTAGAATGAATATAACCTTAGGAGCTCTGAAAGTGGAGTTGTCCTCCCGTACATAAACTTGTCGAGAGTTCATGCCGCTTTCCTGATAAACCAGTTGTTGTACCTAAAGCGTTTTGTGTATCCGCTCAAGGGATTGAATGCCCGAGCTAATCTGGACGTGGTACGATTCGATACGAAGATACTATTCACCGTACTGTTCTTAGAAACAATTATAAAATGAAGGCTGGCCCGGGTTCTTCTCGATCGCCGAGCGTCGCACGAGTTATTTCGCGGCCAAAGAACTGTCGACTCGTGACATTAGGCGAACTATATCGACACGACGTGGCTTAAGCGAAACAAAAACGACGTCATTTTGATTGAAAAATCATCTGGCTGGATCTTAATAGAAGGTAAAACGTGTCACGCGCGTATAGATTTGGGATTTTTTTAATGTCGCGAGAACAAAATTTAGGAAAAACAAGAAAAAGAAAAAGAGGCATGCCGTCGAGTGCATAATCCAGGTGCCCCTACACGTGAAGAACCTACTTGCATGTAAAAAAACCTTATTAAAAAAAATATATATATATATAATAATAAAAAAGTACACGATAATAACAATAATATCTTAATTAAAGCACAGTAACACATGGGATAAGAATATAAGCATGCAATATGATTCCACATGCGGCACGCTGCCCAGTGCGGTCGTTGTTTTTCCCCACCTCGCTTTTCCTCCGTCGCTTTTCCTCTCCGGTCACAAATCGGCGTGATCCTGAAGTGCCAACCACGATCATCATTGCTAGTATCAATCAATCAATGGCCTTCTTCATTCATGGCCCAAATTTTTTTTTTTTAAAAATAAATTTAAAAAAATGAGAAGGAAAAAAATGAAAAGGTGTCGATGGCGGTCATTAGATTCCCTTCCGTCCGACGTTCCATTGACTCGAGAGGCTTCTCTTTTTTTTTTTTTTTTCTCTCCTTCTAATTTCGGTATTCATTTCGCCTTAATAATGTGCTTAAAAATGTGGGGGATTTTTTCTTTTGGGGTCATGATGGAATGCGTGTTGTGATTGGGTTCGGAATTTTAGGTTGGCGAGTGGTTGGTGTGACTTCCACGCTTCAATTGAAAACTATCATGGCACTCAACCGAAAACGAATGCGAGGAAGGATCGAACACGAATTTTTTTTAGTGTTCTTTTTTTTTTTTGGGGTCGAGCAAATAAATTTGGGCTCGTTTTATTTTTATCTTTTTTTCCACTTTCGTTGGAAACCGCTAAGTAAAAGAATTTGGACGTAACTTTAAAGTTCTAGATAAATGCATCTCTTTTCCAAAAAGCAACTCGAAAACGCTACGAATCTGGATGTACTCACGCGATCTGATTAGATGGGTTTGATTATATTCTTGAAGAAAAAGAAATTTGAAAAAGAAAAAATGACACAAATGTTCCTCCGAATTTTGGCCCAACGTGTAACGTCATTCTTGAACTCTTAATTTGTTCAACGTGGCCCGTGAATTATTGGTAAATATTCAATGTAGCCGTTTCGTTTGCTTGACAACAAATCGGACGTTATCTGATGATATGGATTATTATATGCTCGATTGGATTTTGGAAAATGACGAGTCGATGTCCATCTTTTTATCCTTCTACTCTAAAAAGGAAAAAAAAAATAAGTTAGGGCGTTAACATGTCCATCGTTATTTGAGAACATGTATTATCATATCCCGTTTTGAGATGATATACTATTTGAATAAACCACGTGTAACTTTTTTTTTTGTCCCCTGTTCAATCTTAACGAATTAAAAGTCACATCAATAAATTCCGTTAACTTGAATCATCGGAAGGACGACACCGAATATATTCATTTGTTCCATAGCCCAGATTGAATATTTACTAATAAAATTTCATAGACGATACTACACATTAAATCAGAATTCATGGACCATTCACGTCCATTTCCCGAGAATTTTAAATGGTCGAGCCGTTTTGTCGTAATGTTGTGAATTGAAGTGCTAATTTAGCCGGTCGATCGCGCTAACTTTTATGGACTGTTTTGGCAATCTCCGTTGAATTTAGACTTGAAAGTTGAAGATTGGAGGGCAACAGGACAAAACGCATTCTCCAAAAGGAAGCATTTTTTATATTTGGCCAGCTCGCAAGGCGACATGCCAAAAAAAAAACTCAGTCGGGGTAATAATTGTTTCAAAGAAAACGACCCCGAGGCCTGTTGATTCGCTGATTAATTATGACAAATCACCTAATTAATAATCATAAATCATGGCAAAAGTGGACCCTTTTATCCCCGCCCTTTTTCGTTTTAGGTAAAAGAAAAGCTGAAGAGAATAGAAGCCTACTTGATAGTCCTAGGAGCTCTAGTTCCTTGGATCTCTCAAAAGGAAATGCCTTTTCAATCTTTGTTTCGGAGCTCTTATGATAAAAAAAAATAAATTCAATACTAAAACTTTCGATAAAGCAGTTGTAGGTGGACGCGACGTGATAAGTCTACAGGATTAGGAAAAATTATTAACGACTCGTAAATTTATTGTATGAATACAAATGGGGCAAATTCATTTCTAAATATTTTTCATTTATGTCAATTGAGTCTATCCAATTAATTTTTGACCGAAAATCGCTAATGTGAACGTTAGCCGGTCTATGTGGCATGAGCAGCTCTGATGTAAATAATTTTTAATAATATTTTAAAAATTTGACTTTTCAGTCTTTTTTCTTTCTTTTTTTTTGCCTTTCATTTTGGTTGTGTGAGGGTCGCCTCGCCCCCAGTCAACAAGGCCCTTGCCAAATCTAGGCGAAAGCCACCTCACTAGCCCTCGCCTAGTGGCTGGTGACCCTCGCAAGCCAAAAATGAAAGGAAAAAAAACAAAAAAATTATAAAAAAATTGAAAATATTATTACAAGTATCCACGTCAGCGCTGGTCGTTGCGTCAGCGATTTCCAAGCAAAATTGGCCGAATGGATGCAATTGGCACAAATACAAAAGGTTTGAGATAAAATTAGCCCAATTGCGTAAAAAAAAATTAGCTCAATTGAAAGGTTCAATACTGAAATGGTATAAATAGAATAGGTTTACGAGTTTTTTGTACATTCCCATACAGGATTTATATACTCTTTATATATACGCAATCTCTCTCCATAAATATAAGCTTTCGGGTTTGACTTATTAATAAGATATCA